ACGTTGTCAGATTTTGTAAAAAGTGTCTGTGTACAGAGAAAAATTTGTTAGAAAATGAATGTTTACCAATTTCACGTCATTTGAATCGGTCAGTGCCGTGTTTGTTGGGTGATAACTGCTAGTCGCACATTATCGAGAAATTTAAGAGACCATCGAACACCGTTATGCAGTTTTATAATATTCAAAGTTTAAAAACACTGCCAAGTTTTTTTATACTGAATTTCAGATATAATATTGCTTAAAAAATATATAAAACTTACGATTAGCAACATAACCTTTAAACCTGTCAAAAGGATTTAAACATTTTAAGGGTACCGTTAAATTAATGTATTTTGTTCTTTAAAATTTTCAGATTTTCCATAAAAAATTATTTATTCAGGACAAATGTTCACTAATTTCTAAAAAAAATTAACTTTTATCATTAAATATTTCTTATTGATCAATTTAGATGTGTATAAACACAGCAACTTGCGTTTATTATCTAGGATAGTCAAAGTAAACATCTTGGATAATGGCACTTCGTATGTAAGTTTGATTATCCCTAGATAGTAAATTTAACTATCTAGATGGTTGTCCTATAGTTAAGATTTTTGTTGTACAAAAATGTGTTTAAAAGAAAAGTTGTTTGTTTTTGTTCAAAATTTAAGGAGAAAAGCAAAAAAATAAAATATATTGAAAATTGACAAAAATACTAAACTTTCAAATTTTCAAAGTAAATATGTATCGAATTTTTGTACTTTTTTCGAAAAACTGTGATAACTTTTTTGATTTTTGTTGTACAAAAATGTGTTTAAAGGAAAAGTTGTTTGTTTTTGTTCAAAATTTAAAGAGAAAAGCAGAAAAATACATTTTATTGAAAATTGACAAAGATACCAATCTTTCAAATTTTCAAAGTAAAATATCTGGAATTTTTGTACTTTTTTCGAAAAACTGTGATAACTTTTTTGATTTTTGTTTTACAAAAATGTGTCTAAAGGAAAAGTTGTTTGTTTTTGTTCAAAATTTAAGGAGAAAAGCAGAAAAATAGATTTTATTAAAAATTGACAAAGATACCAATCTTTCAAATTTACAAAGTAAAATATCTGGAATTTTTGTACTTTTTTCGAAAAACTGTGATAACTTTTTTGATTTTTGTTGTACAAAAATGTGTCTAAGGGAAAAGTTGTTTGTTTTTGTTTAAAATTTAAGGAGAAATGCAGAAAAATAGATTTTATTGAAAATTGACAAAGATACCAAACCTTGAAATTTTCAAAGTAAAATATCTGAATTTTTTGTACTTTTTTCGAAAAACTGTGATAACTTTTTTGATTTTTATTGTACAAAAATGTGTCTAAGGGAAAAGTTGTTTGTTTTTGTTCAAAGTTCAAAGAGAAATCATAAAAAAAGATTTTATTAAAAATTGACAAAAATACTAAACTTTCAATTTTTCAAAGTAAAAATATTTCGAATATTTGTACTTTTCTCGAAAAACTTTAATAACTTTTTTGATTTTTGTTGTACAAAAATGTGTCTAAGGGAAAAGTTGTTTGTATTTGTTTAAAATTTAAGGAGAATAGCAGAGAAATAGATTCTATTAAAAATTGACAAAGATACCAAACTTTGAAATTTTCAAAGTAAAATATCTGGAATTTTTGTACTTTTTTCGAAAAACTGTGATAACTTTTTTGATTTTTGTTGTACAAAAATGTGTCTAAAAGAAAAGTTGTTTGTTTTTGTTCAAAATTTAAGGAGAAAAGCAGAAAAATAGATTTTATTGGAAAAATGACAAAGATACCAAACCTTGAAATTTTCAAAGTAAAATATCTGAAATTTTTGTACTTTTTTCGAAAAACTGTAATAACTTTTTTGATTTCTGTTGTACAAAAATGTGTCTAAAGGAAAAGTTGTTTGTTTTTGTTCAAAGTTCAAAGTTCAAAGAGAAAAGCATAAAAAAAGATTTTATTAAAAATTGACAAAATTACCAAACTTTCAATTTTTCAAAGTAAAAATATTTCGAATTTTTGTACTTTTCTTGAAAAACTTTGATAACTTTTTTGATTTTTGTTGTACAAAAATGTGTCTAAGGGAAAAGTTGTTTGTATTTGTTTCAAATTTAAGGAGAATAGCAGAAAAATAGATTCTATTGAAAATTGACAAAGATACCAATCTTTGAAATTTTCAAAGTAAAATATCTCGAATTTTTGTACTTTTTTCGAAAAACTGTGATAACTTTTTTGATTTTTGTTGTACAAAAATGTGTCTAAGAGAAAAGTTGTTTGTTTTTGTTCAAAATTTAAGGAGAAAAGCAGAAAAATAGATTTTATTGAAAATTGACCAAGATACCAAACTTTGAAATTTTCAAAGTAAAATATCTGGAATTTTTGTACTTTTTTCGAAAAACTTTGATAACTTTTTTGATTTTTGTTGTACAAAAATGTGTTTAAAGGAAAAGTTGTTTGTTTTTGTTTAAAATTTAAGGAGAAAAGCAAAAAAATAAAATATATTGAAAATTGACAAAAATACTAAACTTTCAAATTTTCAAAGTAAATATGTATCGAATTTTTGTACTTTTTTCGAAAAACTGTGATAACTTTTTTGATTTTTGTTGTACAAAAATGTGTTTAAAGGAAAAGTTGTTTGTTTTTGTTGAAAATTTAAGAAGAAAAGCAAAAAAATAAAATATATTTAAAATTGACAAAAATACTAAACTTTCAAATTTTCAAAGTAAATATGTATCGAATTTTTGTACTTTTTTCGAAAAACTGTGATAACTTTTCTGATTTTTGTTGTACAAAAATGTGTTTAAAGGAAAAGTTGTTTGTTTTTGTTCAAAATTTAAAGAGAAAAGCAGAAAAATAGATTTTATTGAAAATTGACAAAGATACCAATCTTTCAAATTTTCAAAGTAAAATATCTGGAATTTTTGTACTTTTTTCGAAAAACTGTGATAACTTTTTTGATTTTTGTTTTACAAAAATGTGTCTAAAGGAAAAGTTGTTTGTTTTTGTTCAAAATTTAAGGAGAAAAGCAGAAAAATAGATTTTATTAAAAATTGACAAAAATACTAAACTTTCAATTTTTCAAAGTAAAAATATTTCGAATATTTGTACTTTTCTCGAAAAACTTTAATAACTTTTTTGATTTTTGTTGTACAAAAATGTGTCTAAGGGAAAAGTTGTTTGTATTTGTTTAAAATTTAAGGAGAATAGCAGAGAAATAGATTCTATTAAAAATTGACAAAGATACCAAACTTTGAAATTTTCAAAGAGCAATTCCACGGGAAGTGATCTGAAGAATTTTCGATGATTTTAGCAATATTAATAATACTTACTGAATTTGTTCCCTCATATACATGGAATAAAAATGTATAAAAGTTTTTTCAAAATTTTCAAAATTTTTTGAGTTACCGCTTACTCAAAATTTTGGTCGGTTTTTCAAAAAAGGCACATAACTTTTTTCTTTGTTAACCGATTAAGATAATTTTTTTTGGAAAATACTCATAATAAGAAGCACTTTAAAGAAAAAAATAAAAAGAAAAAAAAAAATTTTTTTTGCCCGAAAAAATTTTAAAAAAATTTTTTAAATCAAAATTTTGAAAAAAATACCTCTTCGATTTGAAAATTTTTTTTTTGTAGTTATTGTCTATAAAGTCAAGAATACTTCCTATAAATTTAATTATGGGACAACAATAACTTTACGAGAAAAAAAATAAAATGTCCAGCGCGGCATGCCGGGACTCGTGCATGTATTCGCTTATGGCGGCGCAAGTTTCGTTCCAAATCACTCTACAAGTCACAATTTTTTGCCAAAACGATTTTTCTTTTTTTCTAAATCTTCGTAATTAAGTTTTTTATCGATCTCTCGAGCCCGGTTTTAAAATTTTGTTTTTAAACATTTTTTTAATAACAATAAGTTTTAAAAAAATCATAAAATCGTAAAATATATTTTTTTCAGCTTCAATCATTCAGAAAATTAATCAAAAAACCTATTAAAAGAATGTTTGAGTTTTTCTGATGTATAACAAAAGTATACCAATTTATTAAATTTTTTAAACAATTAATTGTTATTTTTTTCCTAAACTGTACTTAGAGTTAGAAACTTCTAGTTTTTTTTGATTGTGCATTTTTTGTAACTAAAACATTCAAGAATAAAAGAAAAACTAAAAATTAATTATTTAAACATTGTTTAAACAATTTATTTTTTGTAAAGTTTTCAATTTACTGAACTTAAAACTAGAAACTTATTATTTAATTTATAGTTTTTTATTTTTTAATGAATTGTACTTTGAAAAAACTAGAAACTTTAGCCCTAAGTGCAATTTATGAAAAAATGGCAACAATTCATTGGCTAAACAGTTTTATAATAAATAATTTTTTATTTCTTATCATCATAGTAGATGTTTTACTCATGAAAAATTGTAACAATTGAGAAAAAACTAGAATTTTCAAACCCTAAGTATATTTTATGAAAAAGTAACAACAATTAATTGTTCAAACAATGTAATAAATAAATACTTTGGTTTTTTTTTCAAATGTAGATGTTTTACTCCTGAAAAATTGAACAATTGAGAAAAAACTAGAAATTTCTAACCTTAAGTACAGTTTAGGAAAGAAATAACAATTAATTGTTTAAACAATTTAATAAATTGGTATACTTTTGTTATACATCAGAAACATTTAAACATTCTTTTAATAGGTTTTTTGATTAATTTTCTGAATGATTGAAGCTGAAAAAAATATATTTTACGATTTTATGATATTTTTAAAATTTATTTAATTTAATTTGAATTTAATTGAATTTAATTGAAATTAATTTTTTTAAATTAATTTTCTGATTAATTAAATTTTGGGAAATTTTTCTTGGACGATTTTGTGAAAACGCCCATTATGCATTATTTTATTAATTTTTCCATTTTTTTTGCCCAATTTTGTTTTTCATTTATAAATTAAAAAAAAGTTCATTGTACCACCACAGTGAAAATGTCTGCGCATGTCCAACCCTACTCAGTTGCTCAGCAAGAGCAATGTTTCTTTCGTTAAATGTGTGACCTCTCAACCTCGCGAGGAAAGTCTCCCTACTGTGTTCAGTGTTACAACCTTTAATCAATAACAAGAGTATTAAAAGCAAACAATTTTATTCAATCAGGGTAAAATTTACTCTAGTTGTGTGAATCGAATGTAAAAACATGAAAGAAAAGCATTTAAACGTTGTGTGATCTATCTATAATATAATAATTGCAACTGATTCGAAAAGATCGATTACTGGTGGTTGGTGCTGGTGGTGCTGCTGCTGCTACTAGTGTTACTCAGTTATCGACCGCCATGAGAAAGTGTAATTTCTCAGTTTTTACATAATATTATTAATATTTCCATATTGTCATGCAATTGTAGAAATATCACTCATTTCTTTTGGTGCTTTTAAAAATTTGCAATAATTTGTTTGGTACGATAATAATTAAATTTATTTTTTACATAATTTTCAGTTTTGCTTCTTACTTTTTTTTTTTTTTTTAATATTTCATGGCATTTAATGTCGAATGTTTTATACCAAGTGTTGTTGTATCAGTTTATTGTGAATACATAAACAGCCTTTGTTATATGACATTTTTACTCATTCTGTTTTCATAGTAGTTGCTATATTTTTTTTAAACTGCAATCATTACTTGCAAAATCTGTTTATTACTTGATAAATTCTTGATACTTTAATTAATGTCATGTGTCTCTGGTATGAAGAGTTGAAATTTTTAATTAATAAATTTAAAAATTAAATTTAGCATTTCTATTTTAAAACTGTGTAAACTAGGATTTATTATTATAAAAAATTTCAACATTTTCTCTACTTGTAAGAATGTGTACTTTAATTTTAGTTAAATTTAAAAAGTAATAAAGAAAATTTTATTATACTGCCTTTCAATTTTTTTATTTCAGATCCAGAATGATGAATTTCTTCATCTCGCAATTGCAAAAAAAAAGTGTACTTTTGTGTGTCTTGATATTTTAGACACAATATTAATTTGATGCATTATGTAAAACATATACTTAAAAAGCAAACACACATAATGAAATTTCTTTTTTGAATGTTCAAGAGTCATTTTTTTCAAGTATATATACTTGTTTGTTATCAATTTTTAAAAAAAACAATTCTGCCATGATATTAAATGATGATGATGATGAATTAGAAATGGCCGTGACAATTATTGAAAATTTTAAATTGCTTATTGCCGAGTATATATTTTACGAAAATAAAAGTTCCTGATAATATTATTCCACCAGATCAAAAGCACCCCGCTCTTTCTTTTTTACTGTCCATCTACACACACAGTTATTCGTAAGTATAATTAAATTTTCTACATTAATTACAATTATAATTAATAAAAGTGTCGATTACTGTAGAATTCCCATTATCCGGATCAATTGACCCTATCCGGATAATCGAAATGAACATAAGATTTATATATTTTGAGTAATAAGATTTCAATCTGCTATTTAAAACGCTGCTGCAAAAACCATTTAAACATTGACGCCTCAAGTTCTTTATTTTAAGAGCAGGTTTTCATAAATTTTCTGGGCGGGCAATAATTTCTCTTTGCGGTACATTCTAAATCAGAAGCAAATTTTAAAACTGCAAAACTGTTTTTGTTTAAATCGACAATCCGGTTAATCGGACTTCCGGATAATTGGAATTCTACTGTATTCCATTCATATAATAATTAAATTAAAATTGTTTAGATAATGATTTTATTTACTTGGATATTGCAAACAATTTTTCATGGATTGTCATGATGAATATCATATAATAATATATTCAAGTTTTGTATTGATGATGAGAAAACCTAAAAAAAATATCTGATATTAATTATTGGAAATGGCCAGCAGCAAAGTTTTTTCGCTGGAACATCGAAAAGAACATCGGTTGCCAAATTTATGCATCCACTTTTGTATTGTCACTTTGTGCCTAAATACAATAATATGCTACGGTCAAAAACCTATTAATCTGGGAGGTATTAAGAGAAAGGATGTTTATATTGCAGGATTCTTTCCTTATGGAAGACATGTTCCTGAAAGTCATGTAGGTCGTGGAGTTATGCCATCTGTAAAACTTGCTGTTGATCATATCAATGAAAATCCTGCTATACTCAGGAATTATCGTTTACACATGTGGTGGAATGATACAGAAGTAAGTTATTGTGTATTTTTATATTTTTGTAAACTTTTATTATCCTGTACACTACAATCCGTGAGTATCAGGACGCCCCTTTTTTTAATGAGTGGAAAAATGCTTAAAACGTAGAAAATAATAAAGACAAAAATTTTTCGTATTTTTTTTCCTGAAAGCTAATGAAATTATGAAAAGACTCAAACACCTATGATCAAAGAATTTTCATTGACTGCGTATTTTTTGTCAGATACAGAAAAAATACTGGATTTTGCATGCTTTTCAAAATTTTTGAATTTCTCGAAAACTAATCAACTTTTTTTTAGCGTACTCTTGGTCTTGTTTCAATCCTCTATTCAATGTAGAATCTAAATTAATTAATGGTATTGTGATATAAATTTTTCCAAAAAAATTTTAAACTGTGAAAGACGAATAAAAAAATTGATAATTTTTTTAATCCTACTTTGACGGTTTCAAATTTTTTTTTGGAAAAATTCATTTCACAATACCAGTTAAAAATTTAGATTTGACATTAAATAGAGATTAATACAAGACCAAGAGTACGCTAAAAAAAGTTGATTAGTTTTTGAGAAATTCAAAAATTTTGAAAAGCATGCAAAATCCAGTATTTTCTCCGGGTATCTGACAGAATATATTTATACTTGTGATACTTGAATTATTATTAATTTTTTTTTTTTTTGAATGGGCAATAAAAAATATTTTAGTGCTTTTATTAGTTTAAAATTATTCAATCCAACGATGGACAATTAAACTATATTATTTGTCAAGACACACCTTTTTTTCCAATTCGCAGTGCAATGCAGCTGTTGGAGTTAAAGCATTTTTTGATATGATGCACAGTGGACCGCATAAAGTAATGTTGTTTGGTGCAGCATGTACCCAAGTAACTGATCCAATTGCTAAAGCATCTAAACATTGGCGATTAACACAGGTGGGCAATGTCAAAAATTTACAGTTATAAAACACAAGTTTAAATTTTAGTGTATAGCCATTATTCACTTTTTTATTTCCTTCTTATTTATTGCATTTACATAATAATAGACATCCAATTTTATTTTGCAAATATATAGTCTTAAAAAATTATCCAATTAATAAGCAAAGTTACAAAAAGTACTTGTGTAAATATATGTTTAAAAACTTTATATTTTGTTTAATTTCAGCTTAGTTATGCTGATACGCATCCAATGTTTACTAGTGATAGTTTTCCAAATTTCTTTAGAGTGGTACCATCAGAAAATGCTTTTAATGCTCCAAGAGTTGCTCTGTTGATGCAATTTAACTGGACAAAAGTTGGCACCATTTATCAGAATGAACCAAGATATGCATTGGTAAATAAATATTTTTCTATTGCGTATAGTTTTCTTTTTATTCCTGCTTCATTCTATATTATATAATGATGAAATTAATATTTTTAAATTCATTTACTTGATTTGATATTTTAGGCCCATAATAGACTTGTTGCTGACTTGGATGACACAAAGTTGGAGGTTATTGAAACACAAAGTTTTTCATTGGAAGTTACATCTGCTTTAGAAAAGTTGAAAGCTAAAGATGTCAGAATTATATTGGGAAATTTTAATGAAGAATGGGCTCGTAGAATTTTTTGTAAAGTGTACAGGTAACTAAACTTTTTTAACGGTCCCAGGTTTCTTTTTAAAAATTATTTAATGTATTTTTTTTGTTGTTCATGTTGTTCAAACAAATGTATAATTTTTTAAATTATTTTTTTTTCTTTTTTAAATATCAAGATTTTGAAAAAATAATGTCATTGCAGACTTGGAATGTTTGGTAGAAAATATCAATGGGTTATTATGGGTACTTATGCTGAAGAGTGGTGGCTTCGTCCAGGAGGCGGTTGTGCTCCATCAGAATTATCTGAAGCTTTACATGGAACAATTTTGACTGATCTCCTTCCCTTAGCAACAGAACAACAAATCACTGTTTCTGGAATTGTAATTAAAACTATTTAGTTACATGCATAATTATTAAATTTGTTTTATATTATTATTTACTTTTATAATAAGAAATTCGCAGTAATTATGCTTTTCAATTTTCAAAAAAGACACCAGATGAATACAGACTGGAATATGACTCTAGAAGAGGAACTGAATATTCAAGATTTCATGGTTATACTTATGATGGAATTTGGGCAGTAGCTTTAGCAATTCAACACGTTACAAAAAGAATACGACATTTTCGTAAAAATCAAACTGTAGCAGACTTTCAATATAGAGATACTCTATTGGAAAAACTCTTTTTAGAAGCTTTAAGAAATACAAGTTTTGAAGGAGTTACTGTGAGTTATTATACTGTTAATAATAACAAAAAATATAGTCTTTCTAAACTAAATAAAAATTTTATAATAATAAAATATTATTTTTTTATATCAAGGGTCCTGTACGTTTCTATGATAATGAAAGGAAGGCTTGTATTTTACTAAAACAATTTCAAAGTGAGTATTACAAAATATATACTTGTTGTCAAATTTGCAAAGAAAGATTTGCACAATAAAAAAAAATTGTGTCTGTTCGTTTCTTAATCAATTTTGATGTTTATATTCTCATCAAATATATATGAAAAAGGTATTATTAGTTTTGGTCAAAAATTTTGACTTTTGCTAATTTTATGAAATCTTATTTACGAGTGTTTTGTGAGGTGTATTATATACCCTGATATCACTTATTTTAATGAATCGTTTTCAAACTTTTTCCAAAAAAAAACTCTCAATAATTATACATTTTTTTTTGTGCATTTCAAGTTATTTGTTTGCGCATACCATCGCCGCATATAATACTGCAACAAAAAAAGTTTATTATTTAAATAATCAACACGTTGTTATTATTATTATTATTAGGAATATTCTCCATCTGTTATATTATTATTATTATACTGGCTACGTGATTTTAAGACTATAGTATCATCCTTTATCATAAATATGAAACATAAAAAATTATAAATTTCTCAATTGTTTAAATAAATATACTTGGTTTTTCAATTTTTATCAAAAAAATTCCTTATTTTTTTCAAGGTGGAAGCGAAGTAAAAGTTGGAGAATATGATGGTATTACGGATAATTTGGATTTAAGTAAGGGACATCCTTTGCTTTGGCGCGGTAAATCTCCACCAAAAGATCGTACTCTACATATTATTGAACATTCAACAGTCAATATTAAGATATATGCTGCTCTTGCTTCTGCAGCAAGTGTAGGAATTGTAATGGCAGTTGTATTTCTTGCCATTAATATCAAGTACCGAAATCAGAGGTGAGCAAATATATTCACCATGTATTCGACATATATATATATGGCAATTGTCATTATATTAATTTATTAAATACATTTTTTAGATACATAAAAATGTCATCACCTCATTTGAATAATCTTATTATTGTGGGATGCATTTTGACTTACAGTAGTGTGATTTTTTTGGGACTAGATTCTCAGTTATCAAGTGTCACAGCTTTTCCTTATATATGTACTGCCCGCGCATGGTTACTGATGGCAGGGTTTTCCTTAGCCTTTGGTTCCATGTTTTCAAAAACTTGGAGAGTTCATTCTATATTCACTGACGTGAAACTCAATAAAAAAGTAATAACAGATTATCAACTTTTCATGGTTGTAGGAGTATTACTATTTATGGACTTGATAATTATGACAACGTGGCAGGTTGCTGATCCTTTTTATAGAGAAACTAAGGAAATGGATGCATACGTAAGGCACAATTTGTCAAATTTTAATATATTGTTTTCACACGCATTTATTTTGTAGTAAATTAATATTAATAATTATAATTTTTAACAAATTTAAAGAGCAATTATTATTATTGTTGTTTATTCCAATTGTTCAGCCACATCCAGCTAATGAAGATATTATGATAATACCAGAAAATGAATATTGCCAAAGCAACAGAATGTCCGTCTATTTGGGAATTATTTACGCTTACAAGGGTCTTTTAATGGTAATATAAATAATCAACAACAACAATTTCTTTAAGAATTGATTTAGCACAATTTATTGTATGTAGATACATCATCTTTGATTTATTTTAATTGAAAATGTCTACATTTTCATTTTTCTTTTATTTTACAGATCTTTGGTGCATTTTTAGCATGGGAAACACGCCATGTCAGTATACCAGCATTAAATGATAGTAAATATGTAGGTATGAGTGTTTATAATGTTGTTATTATGTGCATTACTGGCGCAGCAATCAGCATTGTGTTGGCTGATAAACAGGATGCTATGTTTATCATGTTGGCAGTATTTATCATATTTTGCAGCACGGCCACTTTGTGCCTCGTATTTGTTCCAAAGGTATTGTGTTGTTGTAACTACAATATTAAAAAAGTATAACGTATAGTATATTAAGCAACAAGGAGACAAAGGCAGTTGTGTTTCTTTACGGTGATTTGTTTCCGTGTTACTTATACGATAGGGTAAGTGTATACCAATTGCCGAGGGTGTCCCATTTGTCGATGTTACCATGGTAATAACCAAAAAATATTGTCTAAAATGTCTCATTTGTTTATGGATATAATATTAATATATTTTTTTCACATTTATAACGCATAAGAAAATTAATTTTCATAACGCGGTGCAAAAAAGGGCACTTTTTTGCACCTTGTTATGAAAAATATCGTTCGTAACTAGTGCTAGCAGTTGCCAATTTTTGAACGAGTACTTTTTTTGGAACAAACTGTAGGCGAAGCTTCGCTTCGCCTACAGTTTGTTCCAAAAAAAGTGCTCATTCAAAAATTGACAACTGCTCGCACTCGTTACGAAATATACTAATTTACCACTTTTTTCCATTTACAATGTGCTACAATGTTTAAATAAAATTCAAAGTTTGTTTACTCGACAACATGGAACGATCCTCGACAATTGGTACGTTTACCCTACACGTGTTTATTCCAAATGCATAAAAGCAGCAATTTCAGATGGCAGACGACAGAGAGAGAGTAAAAAGTCATTCAATATTGTTCGACTTGTGTATATGAAAATGACGTAAAATTTTTTCCTAGGACAAAAATTACGCATGGGAACAGCTGTTTTTTTTTTGTCCTATAGGAAAAAATTAAACGCCATCTTCATACGGTCGAATAAATGAATACGACTTTACGTCCAGGAAGGCTGCCATCTAAAAGCGCCATTTTTGTGCATGTGGGATGAAAATAATTTTTTATATAATTAATTTTTTAGTTGAAACATAATTTATTAAATTATTACAACTTGAACAAAAGCATATATATATATATATATTTATTATTTTTTTGATGAGAATATTATTAAAGAAAATGTGCATATAATAATATATGTGATTCTATAAAGTTACTGTGCCATAATGCAAAATGTTACCATTGCGATAATAATAATCAATGTTTTTAACATTTTTTCTCTCTACAAAAAATTCTTCATAAATAACACACTACTTAATTTAATGCACACATAATCTTCCTGCGTGTTTAGATAATAGAATTACGAAGAAATCCACAAGGTGCCATAGATAGAAGATCAAGAACTACTTTGAAACCAATGTCTAAAACAAGAAAAGATTCCACTATTAGTGAATTGGAAGATCGTTTAAAAGAAGTAACTTCAACAAATCAAAAGTTTAGAAAACAACTTCTTGATCGAGAATCGGAATTGCAAGTAAGTGTTTGTAACATTTTTAAAAAAAATTTCGTATTGGTGAAAATATAATTCTTTTTTCAAGACACACTAATAGATGTTTTATTAAATGTCGTTTGATCTAAAATCGCTTAAAAAATACACTACAATCTACTGTGTGTAAGTATAGTTACTGAGTTATAATGTTGAATAATATGATTATAAAATACTTGGACCGTAAAAAGAAAAACCTTGCATCCACATTTTTAATATTATTTTTTTTAACCGTTCTTCTTGAAAAAAAGTGTGTGCGCAGTCCCAAGTGAGCAAAAAAGCGTAAATCCATAAGAAAAAAATCCTAAATGCAAAACATAACAAGTATCAAATTGATATTACTGCCTGCGGCGACACACACTCTTATGATTTTCTGCGCTTTATTATTTTCAGAATCAGTGAAATTTGACTGAGAATCAGTATAGTGACTCTATTATTCTCGCGTTTTGAATCAGTGAAATTTTACTGAATATCAGTTAAAAATGATTGAAATTTCAGTCATTTTTTTTTCACCACTGATTGGTCAATTAAAATATAACTGAAATTTTCATGTAATTTTTAACCGCTTTGATGTATCATAGGAATTGCTTTTAGGCAACATGAACATTTTTTTTTATCAACTCGTGCATAAATTTCTTAATTTTCAAAACTGAATATTTGAAACAATAATTTCCATATAGTCTGAAAAAATTTGTGTACAACAGATACTGATGGTCTTCAAATAAAAAACTTGTAACTTTCCCATGAAAAGTTTGCTTAAAAATAAAAAATTTCAATTTTTTAAGAAAATATTTATGGTCCTTAAAGAATTACTGATTTTCGCAGTGAAATTCCTCTGGTTCAAATCGCGAGAATAGATATATAGTCACTACTATGATTCTCAGTCAAATTTCACTACTGATTCATTTCATATATTTAGAGAGTATAACAAATTTGTTATAAAAGTGCGTCGTTCTGGTGATGAACGTCATAAAATCTGTGAACCATGGAAGAAAAAAAGTAGAATGTTAAAAATATTAATGCTTTACTTTTCAGATGTATTTAAGAAGGCTTGGAGATGAAGAATTAACAAATACTCAAGAAACTATAATTAGTAGGCTTCACATTCCAAAACAAGATATTGTAATAAAGAAAGAAGGTTAAAGCAATATTTGTATTATTTATAAGAAATTTACGCAAACGGCACACCATTTTATATATCATCAACTTTATTATAAAGATAAATATTACTTTACAATCAATATAAAACAAAACTATAAATTGCAGTCCACAAATTGCGTTACTCAAAAAAACTTAATTGTTGATTAATTATTTAAATTTAACCTTTTTAACGACGAGATGTAGATACTGCTGGTTTTCAACATATGAATTTCAATCTCTTAAAATTAGTATAGAAAGAAGCAATAAAAGTTTTCAAAAAGTTATCATACACCCTAATAGTATTTTTGGAGTCGCTTTTTCGAATGGCGTATGGTCAAAATATTCAAAAAAAAAAAAAAAATGATATTAAACACTTCTTTTTTCAATAATGTAATTTTTTTTAAAAGAATTTTTTTTCTCTCTGTTTTGCTTGAATTTTGTTACTCGGGTGTTTTCGGGGCAAAGTACGACCTGATTACGCGAATCTGATATCAGATTTTTCAAATTCAAAATGTCGGATTCAATATGACAGATGACTTTTTTAAAAATTTGATTGATAAAACAAAAAATTTAAAACTTTAAAAATTTACTTTCAAGCGTCAAAATCACCACTTTTTCTACCATATTTTTAACAATAATAAATAAATAAATTACTACCCAGTCTCCCCGACTATAAAAATTGTACACATTATAAATAATATAAAAACACTTTGTATGGATAAATTATTTGAAATGTCAAAAAAAAACCTCGTCAAGATTTTAAAAATTATGAAAAAAATTAATTTAAAAATGCAAAAGGTACCCCCCCCCCCCCCGCGAATACCTCGTCACTCCCATTCAAAGGTTAAGAAAATTTGACTTTTTTTTTGAAATTTTTAAAAAAAAAAGTGTTTAATATCATTTTTTGCGACCCCAAAAATAGTAGGGTATAAACTTTGGAAAACTTTTATGGCTTCTATTTCTATACTCAATTTTAAGAGATTGAAATTCATATTATTATGTTGAAAAACATGGCAAATCTCGTCGTTAAAAGGTTAATAATTATTGTAATATTCCTTTTTTTCATATAAATTATCAAGGCCATCTCTATTTATTATAAATATATATTATTATACTTGAAAAAAATATTACTTTATAATTCTTTTAGGTCCATCTGTCAACACTGAAACCACTGATATATCAGTTTCCATGTGCAGTTTGAATTCTACCACTGTTTTATCACAAACTGAAGGAGATTACGTTAACGTGAGCTCCATCGAACAGCACAAGTGCGTCAATACTTGATTTATTACTTTCTATTTCATTAATGATTTTTATTAGAAAAAGTGCATGAAATTAATCATGTTTTGAAATTTTAAGGTAACTCTCTAAATAGTAAAAAAAGTATTTACTAATTTGAATTAGTGATTGACATTTAAATTAGTACATGTTACAGAGAGAACCCCTTCTTTCACACACACAGTATATTTATGAGCTTATTGCAAATGGATAAATATAACCTGCTTCTTGCAGTAAGAAGCATGTGCGGTAAAATTGAGTGTGTGTGTGTGTGTTTGTGGTCATTTTCAAAACAAATTTTGTCGACTTTTTTTTTTTTTTAAATTTATAAGCATTTGAAAGATTTTGCGTATATAGTTTTTTTGCTTAAAAAATTTTTAAAAAAACATTAAAGCTTATCACGCAAATATTTTTAATATGAATCACTTTAAAAATTTATTTATTGCTTTGCTATAATATTGATTGAAAATAATTATTGTAGTTGACTAGATTTTTCTTTACGATTTTGCATAAAATTCTGTCATATAAATATTACTTTTTATTTAAAAAATGTATTTTATTTTATATAAATGTAATCGCGCAAGTCTTTCTGTTAAAAAGTTAATTTTCAATTAAACTGAATATTTTTTAGCATTTTTCATACAAAATGTTCTATTCCTTCCTTATTCTTTTTGCTATGTGTGAATAACACAATAGAAACAATATTTTATAAAAATTCCATATTATACAGTTTACACTTATACAGTTCCCGATATATTACTATAAAAGAAACTCAGTTTTCTATAAAATATTTTTTTTTTTTTACAAATGTTGCCCCAATATTGCACACTTTGTATAGCAGTATATCGTAAAGAATCCTAATCGTTTCTAAACATTATATAGTTCTTCTTCTCTTTTGATCAAATTATAATGTCACTTGGTCACTTGAACCTTGATTTGTTTTTTTTTTATTTATCAACTTTTTTAAAATTAAACTTGAGTAAAATCACAAGATAAAATACAAAAATGTTGTCAATTAATTCCTTAAAAAAATTTACAACTATTATTAATAAGCATCGATGCAATAATTCCTTTTTCAATTTTTATAATGCAAAGATTATGAAATCTTATATTCTGCCAAGCTTCGTGCAAGATTGGAAAGTAACCGCGCCTCTCGCAGAAACCTTGTGCAATAAACTTGAGATCTCTCTCTCTCTCTCTCTCTCTCTCTCTCTCTCTCTCTCTCTCTCTCTCTCTCTCTCTCTCTCTCTCTCTCTCTCTCTCTTATACTTGCGTTGCTGTGTGCATTTCGCATTTTAGCAAAAAAGAAATTTGTGACAAATTATATAATTTGAGACAATATCATTCATCAATCCTGAGATAGTCCAGTGGTGGGTTTTCCGCAGGAAAAAGTCAATGCTCAACAACATGAACAACGGGGTTTCAAACAACATGAAAAATGGAACCAATTCATTGGAAAAAGATCAATTGTCAATTGAACCTTTAAACCAAGTATTTTCTGGAGAAGAGAATTCAAAATATACTGCCAAAGAGAAAGTAGAGATTAATGGTGATCTGAAAGAGCAACAACAAATTACGGATAAAAATGAATTAAAATTTATCAACAACAACAAATGCTGTGGGATAGTAATAGAGGATCAAAAACGAAAGAAGAAGAAGCAGCAGCATCTAAAACATCAACAATTACATGTAGAACCAAGTGTACCATCATTTGAATCTGTTAATGACAATTCAATTACATCAATGTTAATAAACAACAAAATTGACAGCTGTAATAATGGTATAGTTGAGAGTAGATCTCTAGAGTACAAGAATAAATCGAATGATGGAGTAAAAAGAGCTAAAATTCCAATACCTGTACTATCAAAAAATGTTTCGTTCAATGCAGACAAAGAGTTATGTGACAAAATTTATTCAAAACAAAAAACTTTATTTCCATCATCAGGAATTGTTTCGAAACATAAATATACAACTACTGGTAAATTGATTACATATAACATTAACAATAATAATTAAATTAAAAATTTTTTAATAGGATTATTACTTTACGTATAATAATTGATTTTATTTTTAAAAAGTAATTAATAGTTTTTAATACTTTTTATTTTTATTAGATGGCTCATTGACTATTCCTTCTGTATCTACGCAACAAACTATTTTGAATAGAAGAAGATGTTCAGCAAAAGACAATGAATTGGCACAATCTCATCATGAGCTGTTTGATAATAAAAAAAGAAGAACTAGTGTTCCAACAACAAATACAATTAGCTATATATCGAGCGAAAATATATCTACAAAAATTGAGGATGAGGAGGAAACATTTCTTAATAATAAACCTTGTGCACATAAGAAAACAGCTATTGTAGGTTATCGATGCGAAAAACATGGAGGACGTGGATATAATACTTCTAAAGAATCATCTGTAGCGATATTTAGGAAACCTAATGATTCTTATAATAGTATTAGTTCAACAAGTGTGAATGCCAGTTATTCAGATACAGGTATATACTATACTTGACAAAATTATTTCAAAATACAAAAGATTTTATATATTATTAAGATGAAAAGATATTTAATATGAATGTTGAGATTTCTGCCTTTTATTTTCATATATTATAAAATTAAAACAAGATTTAATTGTATGTATTAGTATGAAATTATTTTATTTAAAATCAAACTCACAACTTGTTAATAATATAAAATTTATTTTTTTTTAGAAAAATATGATGATTCTTCGTTTATTCAGCGATCTGTATCGGAGAGATCACGTGAAAAATTTATTAAATGCAAACATCATGGTGGAGCAATGTCTACCATGATTGCAAATACTGCACGCAGATGTAGACATAATGAATCAAAACTGAGTAGACACGTACAAAGCACTCCCAATGTATACAGTAAATTTAATAACCAAAGAGGAAGCAGCAGGGTAGGAAATACATCAGTTAGTTCTTGCATTGCAGGAGGACGTGCAAGATATAATAATAATATTAACGAATCTCAAGTTTTACATAGTGCGTTATCTGATGGTGAACTTTTAGATCTGACAATTTTGCCCATTTTTCAAAAACTCTTAACTCAGCGATATAAAACAGCTCGAAATAATTATGGGGCCAATGTCGCTAGTTGTCCGAATATATCAATCAAATGCGACATTGTGGAATATCTTTAGTCAATATAGTTAATTCAATCACATATTAACAAAATGGCATACAAAAGAGACTTTAACAAATATTAATATTATAGTTGACAGTTTTCATTCAAGTGATAAATTGTAAACGGCATTGCGATTAATCTGAATATAAATTTGTTTTAATGTATAAAAAAATTATCCGTTTTTTTTAAGATTTCTTATTGTTTTTAATGTTGTTTTAGCATTCTGCAATGCCGTACTTAATATTTAATTTTATTGACACACAAGTTTACATTTTCAAATAAAATAATTCTAAATTTTTAATAAAGAGACAAGCTTTAAAAAGACAGTGTATTTATATTTAAAAATTATTGGAAACTATTCACAGTCAGTCAGTTTGCACAAACCTCTTTAAGAAAATCTTTCTAGAATTATTAATAACCAGATGATTTTCTTTTACTTAATGTTATAAGCACTTATATATATATATATATATATATATCTTACAGTTACAATTTTTCTGTACAATTATACACATGTTTTTTCAATGAACCAATAAATAATTTTTTTTAATATCGACTTTTTACATGCGCTCATAATACCTATGAGACGAATTTTATAAACTGCCCAAAAATTAATTTTTTCAATTTTAACTATTCTTATTTGGGTAAATCCATAGAACCGGTCGATTTCATGTTATTATACTATGACCAATCCTTTTATTTTAAAAAGTATTCTATTAATTATTTTCATATTTTTACTACTTTAGAAAAGCTCTAAAAATTAGTATTGCCGCGATAATATATATATATTATCGCTATAGCGAGAGACGAGACGAGAAAACCATTATACACGAGACAAGACGAAAGAGTTTTTTTTTTTTAAATATCGTCAAGTCGATACGAGACGAAAAAGGACGCGTTACAAGGACGAGAAATCGTGATTTCTATGCATTTTTAACGTTCAAGACGAGACGATAAATCGCCTTAAAATAACGAGACAAGACAAGATTGATAGAAATCTCGCACAAAAAAGTACAAAATTTGGTTCCCGGTCAAATTTGTTTTGGATTTTAGATTTATGTTCAAGTTAAAGTAATTTGGAACACATATAACCAATAAATATTAACAAATTTTACCGGGAACCAATTTATGTACATACTTTTTGTGCGTCGCGTCCTTGGCAGTGCGTTACCCTCTAGGTACAAGTTTCTGTTCTTATATGGGCATAACATTTTTGGTGCATACAAAGAAACAATTCTAAACGATGGTGAATTAAACTTTACTTTTTGTAGAATATATTCAAGGTTAAAAAATATACATATATGTGCTCTTAATTATTAAGAGCGTTACTCATTATTTTTTAATAATAAAATTTAAGGAAACTTTATATTTTTTTACAACCGCACTTATATATATATTCGTCTTGAACAGACGAATAAATCTTGGTATAGGTAATAAACTATAATAATGTGCCTTTAGAATTAAAGAAAATATTATTATTAAAAAGCGTTATTATAATTCTTATATTGAAACGTCACATTCTATCTCTATACTTTATAATGTCAAAAAATTATAAATTACAAACAATTTTTTTAGTAGTAATTCATTTATAGTTCATTATATGAACCAAATTAGTCAATGTGAGAAAAATTGATCAACCATTTTCATTTGTTATTTTTTTAAACTTGCGTAAAAATTAAAATTATTCAAATTGTAGAATTAAAAAAAATATATGCCAAAATGCAGGCTTCGAAGCAGTCTCTAGTAGCAGGTCAAAAAAAGTATGAAAAAGTAACATTTTGTAAGAAAAAAGTGTCCTCTAAATTGAAGAAAAGTAACATAATAAAAATAAAGTAAAATTAGTTTTTTAAGTAAGAAAATTAAGTGAATATATATGTTGTTGTCGAAAAAATTGAAAGAAAAAAATATTAGAAATACGAATTCACAAAATTTTTATTAAATTTTGATATAAACATAAAACATGAAAATATAATATAACTTTTTTGTCGATATTTTACATTAGAATGTAAAACGCACACTTGTTCATAACATTTTGCACATAATGAAATGTAATTGTTAATATAATACTTAAAGGAGATCTTTCATAAAAATTTGTTTTTTTTTAATAACGCAGGCTCATAATTTTGAAAAGTAAAATTGACACCTTCTTTCTCATTATTTTTTTTTAAAAAACTATCAATAACTTTTTTATCAGCCATCTAATTTTTAAGAATGAAACGTAAACATTTTTTAGTAATTTATACTAATAACAACTATCAAAATGGAAAAAATGCGTATTGTTTTTAGTCATATAAATTTTTTAAATTTAAGAATCGCACATAGCCATAATCAAGGCCATAATTTTGTACAATAATAAATTATGAGTCATTTAATTCCAATAAAAAAATTATAATTTTTTTTCTAGATTAATCATAAATCTTTATAAATATTTTTATTATTGAACAATAATAACCGACTTAAAACGCTGTATTATTGTTCAATAATACAATTAATATTTTTAAATTTAACAAAAAGTTTATAAACATATAATAAATAGTACATAGTCACGTTATAAATAAATATTATTTTGGATTTTTAATCAAACAATTTATATAACCAAAAGAATTATAAAAGTTTTTATTCTTAATTAATTGATTTTTTTTTTTTTTTTTATACTTGATGAAACTTTTATAAAGTCAAAAAAGCGGTATATTACCATTATAAATAATTATATGGTGAAAAATGAAAAATTTAGTTTTCAATTTTTTTTTTTTTTTTAAGAAGCTTAAAGAGTAATAAAATTAGATACGAAAAATTTGAAAAGTTTAAAAGTTGTATACACTGAAAAAAGAAGTATCTTAATTTAAGATGTTTTGGTATAGCGACACTTTTTAGTTACTACTTGAAACATCTTAATTTTGAGATGTTAAAAAGTATCTTTGTACACATTTTCTATGGTATTTTTGGGGCAAAAAGTTTTCAGGTTAACTCTAATGGGCTCTTTTATGGAAAACATCGCACTTTTAGTTTTTAGTAACTTACACTTATGGCGCATCTTACGATTCTCAAAAGTAACTTAATATCGCTAAACATTATCTTATTGCAACACAAAAACATCTTAATTTAAGATACTTTAAAGAACTTACAAAAATATCTTACTTTTCCAAGATGGAAGAATTAATATCTTCATCACTGATAAAACGTATAAAGCATCTTAAATATCAGTAAGATGGATTTGGCCATTTATACATTTTTTGAGGTACGTCGTTCTGAAATAAATACTTATCATCTAAAAAACAGCATTGACATTATAGATGAAATAAACTATATCCATTTAATATCATTGGATGTCATCAAAGTTATATGTTTGTAATATTGTTGTAAGTATATGCTGGGGAATCCCAATTGACGTGTGAAATCATGTTCATATAAAACAAAGAGTATATATACTTTAATAAATAAAAATTCTTTTGCATTTGCGAATTTACCAAATGTAGTATTTCAAACTTTGTGACAAATATTATGCTTTCAAGAATTAGTTTTTATTTTTACATAAAAGATGTAATTTCTATTGGTGAGTAATAATTTGTTAAAATATTTTTTACAGTTAAATTGAATACGCTGATTCATTATGTTAAAACCTTGGTGAAGAACGCATTCATACTATACTATATCATCTTATATGTATGTATGTATGTATGTATGTATGTATGCAGGTTCTCAATGTAATAATACTCACCAAGAGAGAAAGAGATGGAGAAAATCAACGAGTAGGAAAGATAGTAATGTTAGTACTGGAGGGGCAAATCTTTTTTTTTTTTTTCTTTTTTTGTAGTTATTTGTTAATATAGTGAGTTCATTACATAGAAGATCTTTGGCTAAAAAACTACAGAGTAAGTACATTGTTATAATTTAAATAAATTTTTCATCTTGGTATAACTTGGTGTTTTTGAAACTTCTTTTGAGAATGAATTGAATATTTATACTACATCGTTTACCATTTCCTCGACCGTCAAAAGTAGATTTTTAACCTTGATACTTTAGAAACATGGATTCTGCATTCTTATTCAATTTAGTACAATGTTTAATTTAAATTAAAAATATTTTTGATAAATTTCTTTAAAAATGGTAAAAATTGTGTAACAAATTGTATTTTTAAAAAAAAGGTGATGAGAAAAATTGGTGTATATTTTTTATTTCAACAAAAAGGCAAAAAGTTTTCAGATTTAGTTTACAATAATCGCAATAGTAAACAAACTTTTGTAAAATTAATTCATGACAAACATCATATTACAATTCTCTATATTTATTGAATAAAAATTGCAACAATAATAAAATTATTAATTTATATATTTTTGTTTGACACAAGTTTTTATTATACAATTTGCCTATAGGACTTTATTATATGTCTATGTAAAGGACTTTATAAAGAAACTGGACTATTCCTTAGATATACCATCATATGAAAATTTTTCTCACCCCTTATTGAAATTAATTTTAATAATATGGATTCACAAATAATTGTAGATCCTGCGCTATTTTTTGTTGGTAGAGGCGTCCGTCTTTCTCAGTGCGTTAAGCGGCAGTAGGTGACTGTCCAAAGTGTAGTTGTTACATCTATTCTTATATTGATACAGCATATATAGTCTCTTTTGTCGCGATTAGAGCGCGTTGTTCCAATATTCTTTTTTATAATTGTTAAATTTAACAAATTTAATTATAGTTTTATATTTTTTTTAGGTATGAAACAATTTCTTATAGTTTGCTCTGCCGTGATTTTCAGCAAGGCTGAAATTTTAATATATCCAGATCAGTATGATAAAATTTCCAAATCAGGTAGGGAAATAATTGTATTTAATCATTTCAAAATTAAATAGGAGAGACCGGGGCGTAATGGCTCACTTTTCAATTTTTGTCATTAATGTCATTTAACTTTGTCATTCTTGCATTAATTAAAATTTTTCAACATGGAAAACTTACCTCAGTATCTCGCAGCTTTCAATTAAAAAAAATATGTCCTAATATAACCAAGTAGATACTTTTTTTCTAGAACAATTTTTTTTTGGAAAAATGCGCAAGGTGAGTCATTATACGCTCTGTGCCGGGGCGTATCAGGAATAAAATTATATATAATTTAAAACATGAAATACTATTCACAATTTTGGTTTCTACTGTATATATTTATAATAAACAATATTGAAAATGAAACATATTTATCTTAAACTTGAACATTTTCGTGAAATAATCAAATTTTATTAAGGTGTATTTATCTCGACTAAATTTATTTAAAATTTCTATTCTCCAATTTTTTTTATAATAAAATGCTATCATTTGTACTTTTATTAATACATAAATTACCTACAAGAAATTAAACTTGACGGGATTATTTTATTATAAAATTTTAAAAATGATTGGTTTTTCTTAGTAGAATAAACGATGAGTAGCCAATAAGCCCCGGGCAAAGTGATCCATTACGCCCCGGAGGTGTTTGTTGAATATTTTGTTAATTTTTATATCAATACCATAAGCATTAGACAAAAATTGTCAATTGTTCCTTAAAAACAAAAATGTTCCAAGCTGAAAACTTGATTTTCAAACATTTTTTACAACTATTTTTGAAAATTGATATAACAAAAAATTAAAGACTTTAAAAATTTACTTTCAAGCGTCAAAACCACCACTTTTTCTAACATATTTTCAACAATAATATAAATGAATAACAATGAAACTTGGTAAGAACTTACAGTACACCAAGTACATTATTCTGAGAGGAGACCGAAATTACTATGACATATTACTTTTGAATAAATTGAAACTATTCATTACGCCCCTGAGCCATTACGCCCCGGTCTCCCCTATATTAATTTGACTGCAAACTCAAGTCGGGCTTATATAGAAAAATCTCATGCTGCGTAGAAAATTATAAATAATTATGTAGGGGAGAGTGCGGCAAAAACGTTTTTTAAAATATCTCCTTTATTTTCTGTCTATTCCAATTGGTATTAAAAATTTAGTTTCAATGCAATCAGACCAATTCATTAAAAAAAGAAAAACCTAAAATATCAAATATTTTAAGAAATATAACAAAAAAATTGTTTTGCAAAAATAAAATGATAATTTTACTGTACAAACGCTTATTTTTTAAAACATAAATTTAAGTATTTAATTTTTTTAAAAACATAGCATGTAAATAAATTAAATATTTCTCTACACGCAACTGTGGGGTGGTGTTTTAGTTTAATTTTGTATTTAAATATTTGAAATTTAAAATAAAAAAAAAAAGTTTTTTATGTGGGACAAAGGCAATATTGAAAATAATTTGGTTAAAAACAATTGAATATTCAAATTTTCTATTTATTAATTCACAATATGAAAGGTTAAAATCACTAAAAATTTTTATTTTTTCTTTAAATAGTTTAATTCTTTTAATAATACATTGTTAACCTCATGTTCCGTAAATATTATACTAATAAATATCACTTGTTAATTTTTTTAAGGCTTATAAATGCTTTCTTTTAGAAATATATAAGCGAAAACGTCGCTGCCCCAGCGTGTGGGGCAAAGGCATTTTTTGCATTGTTTTTAAATTTCATTAAATAATGTATTTATAATTATAATATACTAAATAGCAACTATTAAAATTTCTTGTTGATTATAGTTTTAGAATAATGAAAAACAAAGACCGCATCATAAATTAATTGCGTAATTTAAAAAATATACATCGATAAATGTAAACCGCTGCGCCTATTCGCCCCACTTCCCCATATATTTAGACATAAATTATTATAGAGCGATATTCATAATTTTGTCTATATACATAATTATTTACTCTTTAAAAACTCTACATCGTTAAAATTTTAATTATATTATAATTTTATTTTTCGTAGGAGGTCAATTTGATACTTTGCCTGAAAAAAAAGCACCAACATTACATGATATTTTTCCTCAACACTGGAGTGACCATGTAAGTTTTGAAAAACATATATTTATTATCAAATATGTTGCACAGTTTTATTTCGATAACTTTGCAAAATGATTTTTTTATCCTAAAAAATAAAAAATTTATAGAAATTGACTGCAACACTATAAATTCGTTTTAAGCGACACAAGTTACTATAATAACCACAAAGAAACAAGTTTTAACTTTATTTAATAGATTTATATTATATAGTAAAACATTACTTATTTATATAAAGTAGAGGAGAACGGGGTGAGGCAGCCAATTGCTTCTTATTTCTGTATAATTTTTTTTAAATCGTGCGCTATTAATAATAATATGTAGACTGCATTATGGTAGTTTACTTTATTAGTTGCTAACATCAGATGGGCATTATTGCTGCAGCAGTTTAGCAATTACATACATTTTATGAAAACAGACTTTTTGGATGCGTAACTTTTCAAAGAGTTATTTTGGTGATTTTAGTTAATAGAGTTACACGAATAAAATTCAGTGTTAATGGAATTGCGATATTTTTAATATTACGGGTTTTGTGGATGTTTTCTTAAAAAAGTACTCGTGGGGTTAGGCGCAGCCAACACTAAATTTTTCGTCTTTTTGTGTTATGATTATTTTATTATGGTTCTTCTAAATGTTTTCTCTTTTTTTCCTGCTCCAATACATTTTAAACTTAAAATTGAATTTTATAAACCATTTTTTAAGAATAACAAATTTATATTTCCTTAAAATGTTAAATTGAATTTAATTAATTTTATTATTATAATATTATTTAAATGTAAATTTTTAAAGTTTACTAACAAAATAAAAGTAAATTAAGGACAACTACCTTGTTATATGCTTTACTAATTTTAACTTTAAGTTATGTCTTTTTTAACTATTAAAACAGTCGTCCGCCTCACCCCACGTTTTTTCAAATATATGCCAAAATGTGGTCCTTTGGGAAAAGGATTGTAGAAATTTTCAAGTGCAACCTACGTCAAAATGTTCTATGGCGATTTTGTAGCCAATATAAGACAAGCTTTCTAACTCGATATTAAAATTGAAAAAACTTATTTAAATAACTGCTTCGCTAACCAAAATGTAAAATCTTGGCTGCCTTGCCCCGTTCTCCTCTACACTATACATTTTTTTATTTTCATACTTTGAGCTTCACTAGCTCTAAATAATTATGTTATTCATGTTTTGTGATTTAGATAAAAATATTTCAATTTAACGTAATTTTCGCTTAATATCTATTAATAATTTTATATTACTCAAGAATATATTGCCTCAGTATTTTTCACTGTTTGAGTACTGGAATAATGTTATAATATTCTATAAACTCGTTTTAAAAATGGTAAACAAAATTTCAATAAACTTTTTTTTTATTTCAGGTTACAAATATTATTTCAAAAGGCATAACCAAGTTTGCCTTGGATATGGACGATGCAATTTATAAAAATGACTTAAATAAAAAAAAAGAGAATATAGTTTTTTCTCCACTTAGTTTAGCAGGAACAATGGCAATTGTCCTTTTAGCATCAGGAGGAAATACTTTCGATGAGGTTGCTAAAATTCTTGGTCTAGAATCAGGTGTAGATGTTTCTAGACACTCGGAAGTAGTTCATGAGATGTTTGGTCTTTTAATTGGTATGGTTGATACGAATAAGAACGGCTTTGGACCTCAAGCCACTTATGCAAATGGTATTTTTATTCAGGTAAAACATCATTTCATTATGTAATTTCAAAAATTATTATGATTATGAATTAAAAGATTTGTACTTTTGTATTTTAATAGTATAATGTATAAGGGAGAGAACAATAAAATTTTGAGATTTCTTTTTTATTTAATAGGGGAGAGTCTCCAGTTGTGAGACAGTCAATTTTTTTGAACATGCAATATTAAAAAGCCGATTGGTTTATATAAAAACATTTTTTTTTATATGAGCCAACTTTTTCGTGTACGCCGATGCGGATATATAAACTGCGTTTTTGTTAAATACCAACACTGTGTGTGTGTGTGTGTGTGATAATCGACTAAAAAGCGTCTTTTTCAATAAATGCAAAGTACTTTTTTTCCAATAGTTAATTAATTGGAAAAGGTAAATGTAATGCATTTTCTTTTAGTGTTTTCCTTATATTTTGTGATGCAATATTGCATTGTTCCAATAATCTACGGTTGAAAATAATTTAATTTTCCTTTTTCAAAATAGCGCCAATTTCTGGGTGTGAGACACAGCATATCACCGCAGTTGTGAGACAGTGCGTCAACGCACCCATCTGGGCAGCATAAAAAATACGACTTTGCAGGCATACTATTTAAATGTTGTTTTCATTTTTTTTTTTCTAGTATTTTTGCAAGCATGTCAAGTGGAAAAAAGTCAATTGATTCAGAAGAAATCAATTTTAATGCTCTTATTGTTGAAGCTATTTAATTGTGTTTATTTGATAGTAATATTTTGGCGAATAAATATTATTATTTAGTATATAATAATATATATTATTAATATATTTAATTATTTCTACTAAACATATAACGTTTTATGTCAAACTTGTTAAATTTTAGCAATTTTTAATGAGTGTCTCACAACTGGAGACATTTTTTTTTTTTTTTTGAAAAAAGCGATGTGCTCGGAAAATGTATCGTAAAATTTTTCGAGTTCATCGAAACACTATACTTTCTTTTAATAAAAGTTGCGTATTTCTGTTATACCTTTCGAACGGTGTATTTTTTATTTACAATTTCGTTTATCCGTTTACAATTATTTACGGGTCAAAAATAAAACCCGTCTCACAACTGCGGAGACTCTCCCCTATATATTTATGGAAATGTATACGCATTCACTAAAAAAAAGATTTGTTGGGTTTACATTTTTTATAAGAAAACTTGTTTTATTAGTTGCGATTCAACTATAGAATCTTTATTAATACATTTATTTAATTAGTTCTCGTGTAGAAATTGCCCTACTTTGCCCTATTAAGACTTTTAAGCATGGGCCCATTTTTAGCACAATCCCCCCCCCCCCCAAATTTCAAGTGAGGCAAAGTAGAGAAATTTCTTATAAAACAAATGTTGGCTATAGTAACATTTTAGTTTATTTACAAAAAAAAAAATTAATTTATTTCGTTAGGAAGGATATCCAATTAGGTCTGAATTTAGCGCAATTAATAAAAAAGTATACAAGAGTGAAATTATAAATGTGGATTTTCATAACCATGGTGAGGAATCTAGAGAAACAGTAAATAACTGGGTACATAATAGAACCAATGGAAAAATTTCAACAATTTTATCATCTGTACCAAATCCAGAAACTGATGTCATTCTTGCATCAGCTTTATATTTTAATGGAGAATGGGATCAATACTTTATAGACTCGGCAACAATGAGGTTGGTACTATTTTAAAAATTTGTAAAAGAAATTCATTTAAATTTTATAATTATATTAGGTGCACACACACAAATAAAAATTATAATTTTAAAAAATTTCACGTTGATTTAGTAGCATTACAAGTTTTCGAAAATCTTTACAATATAGTTTTGAGAAAATACCAAGAGAAAAAAATTCCTTTTCATCTTTGGTATTAAAATTTAAATATTAATCTACACCAAATTTTTCAAGTATATAAATTATAAAGTGATATTATATATTATATTATTTAAAATGCTATAATGAATTTGGCTGTTTTGTTCCAACAATAATAACTGCGCTTCATTATATATTGTTATCCATTTTTTAACATTATTTTTATATGAAAATGTTGTTGCATAACTTGAAATTTCTCAATTATTATGAGATAATCATATGCTTTCATTCATACGACACTAATAAAAACTATAATTTTTATTTTGAATAATGATTATAATGATTAAATTAAAAGAAAAAACATTTTCTTTTGCTTTTCAAGTTTCTGCTGTGTAGGACAGTTAATTTATATTTATTTTGTGATATTTGTATTAGAAAGCCATTTACCATCGAGCCTGGTGAAACTGTAACAGTGGACATGATGTATAACGGGGCTGATTTCCCATTTTATGAAGATAAAGCATTGGGAGTAAAAATACTGGGTTTGCCATATAAAGGATTGAAGGTATGAAGATTAATAGTAACTATTTGTGAAACAATGATCCTATAATGTTGTTATGTTATAATGTATAGATCCTATAAAAGATTAGGATCGCCGTAAAGGGTCAGACCTATATTTTTTTTTTTTTTTTACTTATCTTTTTTAGACCGCGCGGTCTAAATTCGTCTTTAAAGTTTTTTTTTTTTTTTTATGAAATTAGTGAAATTTTCAATGTAAGTAGTATAAACGTGTAGTACATTTTAATTATTTTTATACAGGTGTCTATGTATGTTCTACTTCCGAATAAAGTTGGAGCCAACGCTTTAAAAGAATTTAAAAGAAATTTAAACCCAAACATACTTGAGAATTTAATTAATAATGTAAAAAATCAAACTTGCATTGTTGGATTTCCTAAAATGAAACTATCAAGTAGATTGAGTTTAAAACATGCCTTTCAGTCTTTAGGTTTAATTACTTTATTTGATCCGACAAAGGCCGATTTAAGTCTACTTTCTCCGGGGTTAAACGATTCTTCTTCATATTCAACAACAAAGAACAACAACAACAACAACAACAACAACAACGGTGATGAAATAAATTTACAATTGCCAAAACCTCAAGATGGATTCTACTTTCCTCCTAGGATTAATACTGAAGACAATAAAACACCAAGTAATAATGGCAACAACAGAAGAAAACACTACTTCAGGTATGAAGATAAACTTAGAGGTTACACTGTAGAACAATGGGAGAATGGATATAATATAAAAAGGAATCGTAGAGCTGCAAATCTGGAATCTGGAGTGGATAAAGGAAACATTATTTACCAACAGCAGCAGCAGCAGCAGCAGCAGCAGCAGAAGGAAAAGAAAAAAAAGAGAGCAAAAAGACAAAATAGGCCAATTGACCAAGATTTCCTCAATTTTCTAAACACACAAAATTTACCAAGTTTTGGGATAGATTCGCTAAGAAATAGTAAAACAATTAAAAACCCTAAATTATATGCAGAGGACATTTTACACAGAGTGGAAATTAATATAAATGAAAAAGGAACTGAAGCTGCAGCTGCTACTGCTGTAGCATTAGAAAGAACTGGCAGTCAAAACTATTTCATTGCCAATCGACCTTTTCTATTCTTCATAAGGCATGATTTTAGTAAACTAATATGGTTTTGGGGAACAGTTAATTCACCAACACCAAACTATTAATTTGAATTGTTTTTAAAAAATTACTTTTGTTATTCTCTTTACTCAAAGTTGATTAAGTTTAAGATAAGAAAATTAATGTAATTTAAAATTAAAATTATTTTAAAATCAATATTAAATTTTTTTAGAAATTATATCAAGGTTTTTTATTACTAATTAGAATCATAACTTTCCAAGTTGAATCGGCGCTCGTTACAAAGAGAGATCGCAAGTCAAGAAATAAAACAGTGGTGAACTTGCCCGCACGCTGCGATGGTGAAATGTAAAATTTTTAATGTCGATGCATTAATTTCAGCGCGTTCTTCTTACATTGTCTGTTATTATTCTACGACGTGTGTAAAGAACGATCTCTCTGCAGTTGTTCATACTCGATTATTCTTTTCACTGAATATTTAAAGAAGCCGGCCGGCGCGGCCATATATATATTTCTATTTTCGCATTAATCAAATCATCAGAACGTTTTCTCTGTCACTCTAATATGGGACAACGGCAACTTATTGTTGGGGTAAATTTATTGAGAATCACTGACAATTGGTCCCATTCGCACTTTACATTACATGCGTACGTTTCATTGAACACGGAAATTAGACGCGAATAACGAATTATAAGGATTAATCCTTCAAGCAATATGAGAACAAAGTAAAGGTAAGTGTATTTTTAGGTTATATTTTTTGCTTAAATCTAAGCTTATATTTCTTCATTTATTAGAACATTGTAAATATATAAGCCGAATTATTTTCCATCATTAAAAAACGATTCAAGTAAAATATAACCTAAACCTAAAAAAAATTCTTTTGTTAATGGTTATTTTCAACATTTTCTCTGACGTTTGGGTGTTGACACTGCGAATTAACAAAAAAGTCCAATCATTATAAATTTTCATTGACATTCTTTTGTTGTTAATTCTGATTCAAAAATAAACATTTATAAATTTATTGATATAAAACTGGCTTACTTCCATTACGCAATATAGCTGAGAAAAACTTGTATACATTTCTTATTAGTCAATTTTGCAGCAATAAGCTAATCTTTATTAGTTGCGTCATTACTAAAAATCTTTGATGAAAAAGTTTTTACTACACTCTGAGAGAAATGAATAATAGTTGTGACTACTATTTAGTTAGTAACAACGGAGCTGCCAATTTTTATTACTTACTATTAATATTTATAGTTGGTATAATGTTACTAATTAAAATAGGTATGGACCAACAAAAAAGTAGCTGAATAAATTAATAAAATTGTCAAGTTTACATTAATAAAAAAAATGGTAACATCAACCAATAAGTTAGCAGCATCATAGTTTATTAACCAACAATAATTTTGTAAAAAATGGCTACCACACAACTATTCTGCTTTTTTCTCAGTGTATTTGAAATCGTATGTTTGAAATAAGAGAGTGTTGAATTTGTATATAAATATTTTCTGTATTAAAGACTATTACATTTCATTGTAATCGTTTGGCTTTGCAATATTAAAATCTAAAATCTCATCTGATGTTAAAAATCTAACTTCGCTATCTTCAGATAAAGTAGAACCATTTTTTCCCCTTTTATATGACTGCCGTTTTTTATAAATAAATAATATAAATATGACAGACATGCTGACACCAGCAACAATTCCAATTATTGCACCGATTATTCCAGGTAACTGGTTTGTTGTAGAATCTATATTTTGGAAAAATTTTGTTGCAGAAGCATCTGGAAAATAAAAATAATTAAAAAATAATTTATTATCCATATCTTTTGAAATAATAAATATACATACTTTTTTGATAGCCTGTTTCAATTTTTAAAGTATTAACGTTGTCAGCACTTATTGTTATAGGTAAAAACTCAATTGTATTGTATTTTTTTGTCACAAAAGAATTTTCCATTGTACCTATTTTTTCTGTTGTAAATTTGAATAATGTTGTTGTTGAAATAGTTACAGTTGATGGTGTTTTAAATGTTTTAGTTGAAAAAAAGTTGATTGTTCTATTATGAATATCATCATCATCATCATCTTTTCCTTGTGCATTAGTCGACTCGAAAGACAGTATAGTAGTACTATCAGCAACATTAACTGTTTCACTAAAAGTATCTGCGAAATGATGGTTATCAAAAATATGTTATTGTGAACAATTTTTAACAATTAATTTTAATTAAATTCTGGTAAATTAAAACGTCATCATTGACCATAACATTAAATATGTTAATTCAATATAAAAATTGATAAAACCACCTAAAATGCAATATTCTGCATAATCTGGACAGCAAGTTGAATTCTCTGCACAATCTAATGTACAGCGACAAGAGTAAACTCCAGGGAATGAATTATTGTTAAGTAGGTTGTTGTCATATACACATCTTCCACGACAACTTTGTGCTGCATTTTGAATTTCAATTTGATCTAAAATTAACAATAATGTTAGTAAATTTTGTTTTTGTTATGATAAATTAACTAATACATAATATTATGTCTGTACGTTTTTTGGAGAAATTTTTTTTAATTTAATCTTTAGATTTTTAGAAATAATGAATTTCAATAAAATAATGCGAATAAATTTATTATTATTACTTTCACTAAAAATGTCTCCAATATTACTAACCATCATCAGAAGTCATATTAATTGAATTATTCCTATGCTGACATTCGTTTTCTTGTAAAATTGCAACATCATCCACCGCTATGTCGCTCACATAATTACTGCCCCTTATTCCTTCTATTATAATCTATGAGTATAAAAAGAAAGTCTTTTTTATAATAATATAGTTTAAATGTAGAATATTCATCCATGTGCAATTGTACCTGGAAATTGTTATCTGTTTCTGGTAAACGAAAAACTTCATTGATCCATTGATTGCCTTGATTGCCTTCTTTGTTAAACATAAGTTTTGCTTTAGATTCGGTTTCTTGTTTAAAGTAAACTCGTAGAGCTCCTATTGTATCTCCATACATGTGGTACCTGTAAACAAAAGTTATTTTTTTATGTATGCTATATATATATGTAGTGATCTTTCTATTATGGTTAAATGTAAGAAAAACATTTTTTAAATAGACGTTTTGACCATTACTTATTTCTCTTTTATTTAACTTTTTATATAAAACCTTATCACACTTTATTGGTCACGTATAATTTAAAATTTATAAATAAAATTTCGAAAATTCGCTTATAATCTTCAGAAAGCTCTCATATTATATATATATATATTTTTGTGCAAAACAAAAGTGAGCTTTTCGCCCCTAAATTTATCAGAAACAAAACTCACTCTCTCATAATATCTTTACATTTATATATGTTTTTATAGAAAATACTCTTTTCGCGCTGACCATCCAACATAATTTTAGAGAATATTAACAAGTGTTATTTATTTATAACAAGTGTATTTACAAGTAGAATTTTGTAATCATTATATATTTACTATACTTACCAGAAGGAAAAGCATCCGTAACGAGTTAGTGATGAATTGTATATAGGTGACATAATTCTAGCTGTATCATTTACAAGACGGCCAGATGCTTCTATGTATAAATAGTGACCTAAAATAAAATATATTGAAAATATTTTACATAAGAAACCATAATTATGTTAAGCAAATAAATTTTATTTTATTTTAAATAGAATAATCGTAAACTGAATTCAAAAGATATTAGACTTTGTAGAAATTAAGCCCCCCCCCCCCCCCTTCCAATAAATATATTTACGTGTTTTCGCACTCGTCAAAAAACACGTCAATTTTTAGGGTTCCGTACACCTACGCGGTGTATCGGCAGAACCCTATTGGTGAGACTCTGTTGTCCGTAGCCAAATCGTGTCCCCCCCCCCCCTAGCGGCTAAACTATTTGACCTAAAGAGCTCAAATTTGGTCCAGATATGTATTTTGACTCGTAGATTACATGAAAAATATAGCGAATGTGATTAGACGTGATGGGCATGTCGTTGTCAAGGAAATAACAAGATTTTTGGCCAAAAATGCATAAAAAGTGACCATTCCCCCCCCCCCTTAACTTCTAAAATATTCGACATGGAGAGCTGAAATTTTGCATGCTGGTGTATTTTTACTCGAATATTACAGGAAAAATATAGAGAACTTGATATGTAATGATGGCCATAGCGTTGTCAAGGAAAAACTAAAAAATTTAAAAAAAAAAATTTTTTCCCTAACTTTTACATTATTTGACCTAATGAGCTGGAAATTGGTATCCTGGTGTATTATTACAGTCTGACGACAAAAAATTTATTTAAGAAACTTTTTAAAAAAGAATTTTTTTTTTAATTTTTTTTTCAAAAAAAAAAAATTTTTTTAATTTTTTTTAGTTTAAACACGTGGCATTAAATATTTTAAAGAAGAGTGAAATTTTAAGAGAATAAATGAGAGATTGTTTTCTGACTTTAATTTCTTAACTAAAAATAAAAAAAAATTGGACAAGTGCGAGTTGTACTCGCACTGCAATGGCGGGTTCCGTACACAAATATTAAAACAATACTTGCAACATTTATCGGTAATTAGTAGAATTAAAATAAACAATTAAAAAAATATATTGAAATATATATATATATATATATATATATATCTAATATTGTAAACAATAATAAGCAGAGGAACAAAATTTTCAAAATTATAGTTTCTCTGCTTATTATTGTTTACAATATTAGATATACAATACTTTAATTTTTTTTAGTTATTTCTTCTTATCAAATGATTTTAATATATTTTTAAAATTGTTTATTTTAATTCTACTAATTACCGATAAATGTTGCAAGTATTGTTTTAATATTTGTGTACGGAACCCGCCATTGCAGTGCGAGTACAACTCGCACTTGTCCAATTTTTTATATTAGGTTGATTGCAATTTAATTGTAATTTGTGGAAGCTCAATTTATAAAATAATTCAACACAAGTTACTCTTTAAACTTGGCATAAAAATTGCAATTATTACCATCGTTTCCTGGGCCTAAAGTATGGTCATAAGTAGGACCAGTACCTATATGGGCACTTGGTGTTTCAAAATTATGTCTTCTCCAATCGAAATCATGTTTCGGATCTTGTTCCCACCAACAGAGATCAGATTTCTCAAAGTCACAAGATGTTGGTGCAATTGCAGAGGTATCTGATAATATTTTATTTATATTAAAAAAGTTGGAATATTTCATATACACTATCAAAAAAAATTTACTAATCACTAATAGACGTTTACAAATTATATACTATACTATATTATAATATTTGCCATAATTGTTGAAATTCCCTTAATTTGAAGCAAGACTAAACGACATAAATTTAATATGGCGCTTCACTGAGAAAAATAATATGCTCATTTCATATTTTATTATATTACTAGAGAAAAATAGTTTGCAGAAAATTTTGTTATATACCTCGGCAATAAGGTATTGACCCATTCCATTGCCGTCCATCGCAATATATTTCAGTTGTTCCGATTAATCTGTATCCAGGTTCGCAAAAATATAAAAGAATAGCACCATCATATCTTGGAACAACGAGAGAATGTTCTGGTTTAGCAAGATCAGAGCACTGTGAATCTGAAATTGATATACAAAAATATAATACATATATAAATAATAATTTTCTGAATTTTTTTTAATATCGTTCAATAATTTTTCTATATCTAGACGAAAACATTAATCCAACTATTTTGCATGATAATAGCATATTTCTAAAATAAAAAAGTATAAAATTTCAAAAATGAATTAGAGTGTTGTAGGATATGTAATATGCGTATTCATAATATTATTTATATAATATACCTATTTATGGAACATGGTAGTAGAAATTAAAAAATCTCTTACAACAAATATGTAATAATAAATAATTAAAAACACATACACAACTATATCCCAAATTAATAAAATACATTATTTCATAATTTTTCTACTCACTAACACATATAGGTGTGGGCATGTCCCATTCTCCGCGAATACAAGTTGCGTACTTATTGCCAATAAGTATAAATCCTTCATAACAACTAAATCTGATGATCTTTCCTCGTCCTCTGGTACGTACTCTTCCATTTTTTAAACGAACTGGTGAACATTTATCTAAAATAGTAGAAAATATCTATTTTCAGATTTTCATAATATTAAACTATTATAGGTGTTGTCTTTTTTTTCGTTTATATTATTTTATACTTTTTTTAAATGTTGGGTCAAAAAATGTATATCCACTATTGTAATGTCAAAGTATGGCAGTTTATTCAAATAAAAAAATGTAAAGTTTATGAAAATTAAAAATTTTTGTTTGTCATTATTTTGACATACTAAATATTTGCTTTTTATTATAAATAAATAGATAATTGTAACCTCCTTAATATTATAGTAATCTTACTGGGATATTAAAATGTCTGCTGAATGACATTGACGAATAACCTTTTAATGTTAATATTAAAAGTAAAATGAAGAATTTTTATGATTTAAAGTTAATTTATCTATAAACAAACAATTTGATTAATTTATATTTTTTTAATTTGTTTACTCTTTAAATAAAGAAACAATTTTTAAAATTGTAATATATATAGCCTTAAAAAAGTTGTCTTTTTAATCAAGTATATGTTTTCTGTTTTAGCGTTTTCTTGATTTTTATATTTTCTAAATGCTCTTTGCGAATAATGTGTTTATTCATTTATAGGAGTTATCGATATTACTCTGTAATATTACAGAGTAATATATTAAGATCACTATGAATAAGAATATCCATTTTAAGGTGATGTCAAGATATTACAAGTGCTGCTTTGGTATGTAATTACATTACATATTGTAAGCTGACTGCTTTTACAACCATGTTTTATAAGTAGTATAAAATATCTCATTAATTTTAAATGAAACATTTTTTATACTTACTTGAAATTGATACATCTACTGCGTTTACAGAGTACTGCAATAATGCGATTAATAAAGTAATATTTATATATTTCATATTATTTTGAAAAATATAATTGCTCCACTTTTCCACTGTATTAAAAGGTTTTTAGAAATATTATACAACAAAAATATTAAAAGGCACAAATATATTTTGAAAATAAAAATGACTTCTTGTTTAACTGCAGATAGATATTTTAACTTTTTGAATTTGTTGATGACGGCATTAAAGAGGCGGAGAGACTGCTTCCGCCCAACTTCATTGGTTATTATCTGTTTCCTCTTTCTTATCATTTTTGAATAATATTAGTCCTTGAAATAATTTTCTTATACTGATGTTACTCGATATGATAGTTTATGGTAATAAATGCTTTAATAATATTTTTATTTTTTTTTTTTTTTTTTTTTTGCTTTTGTCGTACAATCTCTAAGAACTCAAAAGAAATATACCACCTTAATATGACAAATAAATAAGGTATATCTTTGTATATGGACATAATAGCTTGACAATCTTGTTTTTTTTATTCTAAAGAAAACAATTTGAAATTTATTTATTTCACCGTTCTGTTCAAGTAAAAATAGTACCAATATTACTGCGCGATTAAAACAGCAGTGTTTATATTACACTATTAATGGAGATTGCCTCAAAACATTGAAGCAGAATTATTTCCACTTTTGTGTAATTAGTTATACATTATATTACATGTCATATAATTTATTTAGTGTTAGTATTGAAATAATATAGGCGCAATCAATATAATATATTACAATAATAGAAACTTTTATTCATAATTAGAAAGAATGAAAAAGTATCAATTTATTTATGCTTTTAAAATATTTTAATGTTATCAAATACATTTAAAAATTTAGATGTGACTTAATATTACTGTTGTTATGGACAATTCTCTCCTATCCAGCCTTTGCTACTGCTCCTTTAGACTTCTACAAAATACATATACGTTTTTACTACGCTGTTAAACGCAGTTATATACTTGAAATCCACTTTTCAATATATATAAATTTATGTGATATGTGACCTGGTCTATGAAAAGGTACCTTACGTGTCAAAAAATCATTTTTTACTTTTTTGGTGATTCAGATAGAGTTTGAAACGCTCTTTAAGATGGTGAAAAACTAAAAAGTCATAAATTGATTACAAGTTTCTTAAAAAATTTTTTAAAGTCAAAAGAAACAAGAGTAAAAATACGAAAAAACTGATTTTTTGCTATTATACAAATTAAAATAACAAAGACGATAATTTTTTATTATTTAGAAAAGTTGACAGTTTCTTTGACAACTGTCAACAGTTAAAATTCAAATTTGATATCATATTCGTAATCAGCGACCTCAAACACCTTATTACTGTCTTTTTTTTTTTGATAAAAAACGATCACTTTTTAGAGAAGTTGACAGCTGTCAAATGGCAGTCTGCCATGGCAATCCCATGGCAGCGTTTTGCGTTGCGTTGTAATGAGAGAGAATGCAGCAAACGTATATTTGCGTCTTTTTCTCTCCCATTACGACGCAACGCAAAACGCTGTCATGGGACTCCACCCTAACTGCTGTTTTCTTATGTAATGTCTCTTTTCATAGACCAGGTCACATATTTATGTGACAGGGACAGTTAAAAGGGACCTACGGGTCGAAAAAATCGATTTTTACTTTTTTTTTTTATTGATTGTTATACAGTCTGGCCGCAGAACTGTATACGGTACCCCAGAAATAACCCCTCCACTTGATTTCAAACTGTACGCTGACGAACTCATCCCCACTATTTAATTTTCAGGACTGTACACTTATATATTTAAGGAGCAAGTTTTCAAAAGTTGATAAATATATTTTTTTTTAAATCGAGATAAACATAAAAAAATTTATTAACAGCGAATTTTCAATTTAAAAACTTTTTGACATAACCAAATTGACTTTTAATTTTTATGTTTGTTATTAGAACAAATTACCAAAACCTTAAAGTTACTTTATTATGTGAAAGTTTTATTAAAAACAGAACGTATTAAATATAAAAACTTTGTTACAAATATTAAATATTACAAATTTTTTAGTTTGAAATTAACTGAGTGGTTATGTCAGGAAAGTCATTTATTTCGATTTCTCAAAATAATAAGAAAATAGGAATTTATCAAATTTTGAAAATTTGCTCCTCATTTATCGTCTGGGACTATAATATACATAATTTTAGATTTAAAATTAATTGAAATCATAAAAATATATACTATTCTTAAAATTATAAATGTTAGAAAAATTAACAATTTTTAACCAAAATGTATTGCCTCATAAAATTAAAAGAAGTCCACTGATTTATCCAAATTATGAAAAAGAAAATAATTTGATTAAATCAGTAAAATTTTTAATTTTAAGGAAGAATTTGATAAACAATCGGAACAAAAGTTAGTCCACAATGTCATAATTTAGTATTTTAAAAAAAAGTCAAATTAAATTTTCAATTCCTTTTGGTAAAAGCGTAAGGAATTTAATTTTCTAAATTTTGAAAATTTTAAATATATATTTGAATAAAAATGATAATTTTGTCGTCAATAATGAATGATTTAAGTAACATAACCTACAATTTAACAAATGTTTATTCTTATTGACAGAAAATTGTAATTTTTATTCAAATGAAACTTTTAATCGTTTTAAATATTCAAAATTAAATTCTTCGCCTTTCCAACAAGACGAATTTAAAATTTAATTAGTTTTTTTAAATTACGAAATTATGACATTGGAATAACTTTTTATTTGACTGTCCCTCAGATTCTTCCTTAAAAGGCAACATTTTCAAATATACGGCACTGAATTTAGTAGCGCCACCGTACACTGTGGAGCACTTAAAAACTAAAGCCAGCGTACAGTTTGGCGACAGCGTACAGTTTGAAAGCGTTCAGTTCGGAGGCCCGACTGTAGTAAACGGGCCTCTCCCCAGTGGGCACAGGGACGTCTTAAAGACGTCCCTTTTTGTCCGCGGACGATTCGGGGACAATGATGGCAATGTCTTTGAGTCATCAAAATAGTACATTGCGCCACACGTGTTGCGCACGATACTTTTCATAACAAAATCATAAAAAGGCGTTGACACTGAAAAACATATATAACTGAAAAGAATGTTGAGAAACGCATACATAAGATTCGGAACACAGAACCACTGTCAAGCGTACTTACTAGCTGATCGCGCGGGGGGGCTCGGGGGGGCTCCCCCCGACGGGGTCCAGGGGCGGAGCCCCGGTCAGGGGGTTCGGGGGGCGAAGCCCCCCGACTACAAAAAAACCAACTCAAAAGAATAATAATAATATTCGACATTTTAAAGAATCGCATTTTATAATACCCCAAGCCACCGGACCTAGTACCTAGTCGTGTACTTTGACGTATTAATAAAAATAATATCATTAAAGAATAAAAACAGAATTTTTCACACGAGTGATCGCGAAAAGGAGGTTAGAAACTCTCAGTATTTGACAGATACTGTGTTGTTGTTGCTGCTGCTGTAAGACACGGTAAATGTAGTTAACTGAACGAAAACATAATCACGCCTCTTCTTGGACGGAATTGCAACTACTCGAGCGTTACAAAAATACTCAAACAAGCACAAACAAAGCTCTTTTTTTTGAACTGAACTGTCATTCGCAGTATTTTCGTAACTACGTACTAAAAAGAATAACGACTTTACATTGGCCTACGGAGAGACAAATAACGCCATTTTTATGATTGCGTTATGAAAAGTCAATTGAAAGACGTTCTATGTCTGGTCCAAAAGACGTCTAAAAGACATAAGAAAAGACGTCTAAAGTACGTCTTTTGGACGTCCTTTTTTACATTCCTTCAGATCTTAAATAAACATATCTTTTATAACATTTTCCAAGTTAAAATTCAGTAATATTGTATTAAATTTATTTTAAGTTTAATTTTATTTTTTCTAAAATGTGGAGAAATAATGAAAAAATTCCTACGAAGCTGGGATCGAACTCGGATACCTTGGGCTTGAAAACACTGCGCCTTAAGCACCTCAGCCGTTCAAGACAGATATCAACCTCTACAAAGTTAACGATCTCACTACTTGTCAATGAAATGAATTATTTAACTTGGAAAAATTCCAATAAATTTCACATTAATAAATTTCCAAGTCCAAGTTGAACTTAGAAAATAATATTTTCTATTTATGAAAATTTTTCTATTTTCAAATGTTGAATGAAAAAGACGTCTTTTAGACACCTAAAAAAAGACATCTAATGGCCAAGACATAGAACATGAATAGGACGTCTTTAAGACGTCTTTTTGTACAAGTCCAAAAGACCTCCGCAAAAAGACTTAGACTTAGGACGTCTTTTGAACAAGTGTGCCCACCACTGGGTCTTTCCAATGCATTAAACCGCAGCTTTCTAGCTGCATTAGTTTTCTCACAATTTCACTTTAAAGTTAGGTACTTTAACAAAAAACAGTGCAAAAACATCAACTTGGTAAACTTCAAAGTGGTTTTTCTCGAAATCTTTTTTTTTTCTGACCGTAGGTCCCTTTTAACTGTCCCAGTCACCAGTTTATGTATACAAGTTTGTTAAAAAGTATTCACAAATTAAAGTAGAGAAATACTAACCAATCCACCTTCTGTACGATTTATAATTTTACAAACGGGTCGACTATGTACACCAAAATATGTTTTGCAAGTGCAATCTTCTTCTAGTTCAAGGTCGGCAAGTCCTTGTGCTACTCTACGGGCAGCAACTTGAACAAATTGTTTCTTTTGACTTGGTTTTGATTCCAAGTAGTTTTGAGCACTAAATGTAGCGCCTCCAGACTGCAAAGAAAATCAACAAATTAGTTTATAAATATTTAAAAGTTTAGAAAAATAAATAATACAGCTCTACATACATTTACGGCAAAGTTAGCACAGACATCATTTTCGGAAAGTATTAAATTATTTTTTAGCTCACTACTTCCTTCAAGTGGTTTTTTCTTACTATCAGTTAAGATGTAAGCGTTATCGTAATCAAACCCTACAACATTTTTCTGCACTTTTCCTGATATTTCAATGCTTCCTGCTAAAAATATGTGATGATAAGTAAGACCCATTTTTTTATACGTTTTGTGGCCCAACAAAAGTCGAAGTTGTTGAAGCTGAAAATGAACAATATGACTTGTTAAATAGGCCTCTTCGTGCTCTATACTTTAATAATATAGATAAAACCCTGTGGGCACTGGAACATGGGATCCCTTTAGAATGTCCTTTGGATATTGCCTTAAAATGTCCATGGATCCGTTCAAAGGCGTAAATGTCCTATGACAGATATCCCATGTCTCCGTGCCCACATGGAATTTTTCTATAATTCAGATAAACATAAAATTGAAATTATTAATGTATAGAGTAGCTTGGATTTCAAAATCTATAACAATTGTTTGTGTTGAAAATTTAAAAAATTGTCATTATTTTGTATTTGGCTTATACGATTTTGATAATAATTTTGATATAAATAACCAACATATTTTAAAAATTATAGGCAATCTATTAATTATACTTGCCGATAATGGTAAAGGACTTTTTTCACAAGATGATGCGAATACTCCAATTATTGCTTTAGCTGCACCAGGTCTAAATGGATAATTAACAGCTTCTTCATAAGCATCTGTTAATCTAAATGTTCCTAATTCTACATCCAACCTTTGTTCCACATAATTCAATTTCTTTTCAATGTTACCTTCTTTGGCTTCCTAATGTGACAATATTTATTATTAAAACACAGTAAAAGTACTATGTATTTCCATGATACGCTTTAAATTTTTTAAAAATTTACATAAAATTTTGACATATAATTTTACAGTAACTGCGCAGAGATTAATTATTAACTTTAATAAATAGTTTCCATTCGTTAATAATTTATTTTTTACTCTCATATTTTGCAGCAAAATTTTTAATCGAAATCTCCATAAAGTAAAAAAGTTGTGCAAAAAGTTATGCTAATGATTTTTGTGATTCGGGGCCATCCACATATTACGTCACACGTTAAAGGAGAGGGGGGGGGGGGGTCAAGCAATTTGTGACACTCTGCAGAGAAAATGGCGCTAATGTATATAATAGAGTGTGACATGGGGTACGGGGGGGGGGGCAAAAATGACCAAAAATAGTGTGACGTAATATGTGGATGGCCTCTTCCAAGAGAATTTTTCTTCGACTAAACAAACCAGTACATATTAGAGATTTTAATACTTTTAGTAGAGTATACAAATGTTTACCTGAAATGTAACAATTGGATCAAGATTTTCAAACTTTATGTTTTTTACTTCTCCATCAATATTCATATTTCCACCAGTTGTATAATGTTGTGGCCATTTCATTTTATTATTAAATCCAATAAGGCCTACATACACATCACTTTATGGAACAGTAAGCAGGAAATAATCAAGGTTAAAACAACTTGAAATAATAGTACATTATGCACCAAGGTCGCGTAAGTTCATCTTTATGGCCCACACAGCACATGATATTTCCTAAATATTTCCTGAATATTTCAGTGCAAGGTCCTTGAAATATTTCTGCAAACAGGAAAATGTCCGCCCATGTGAGAACATTGACGCGAAAGTTGAGAATATATTTGATTGAAATATTTTTGAAATTTTCAACTTAAATGATGCGCACTGGTCAAACTCAGTTTATATGGCCTGTAGAGCTGCGCAGTAGTTTTTGACTTTCTAGAATCCTATGGGTTTTAAAATATTTTACAAAATTCCTATTAGTTTCATGTGTTTAACAAATTTTTTAATTTTGTGAAATATTTTCACAATATTGCAGAATCGTCATGTATAATATTGCAGGAATATTTCAATGAAATATTTTCTAAACTTTCGCGTTAATGTTTTCACATAGGCGGACATTTTCCTGTTTGCAGAAATATTTCAAGGACCTTGCACTGAAATATTCAGGAAATATCATGTGTTGTGTGGGGGACGAGCGTGATGTTTGCAGAATGAGTTGCGGCTCGAGCGAAGCGCGAGCCGCGACTCATTCTGCAAAAACGCGATTGCCATAAAGATGAATACGATCCGAGGTGCATATGACTGTTTATGCAACACATACTGTAATAAAAAAATACTAATATCAAAAACACTATTTTTTATAAACACCTGAAGACAAAAAGGAGACTGTCTGGCATAGACAACAGCTAGTGTACCGATATACATTAAAAACGGACGCCCCTGTTTGGTCGCGCGGGGGGCGGAGCCCCGCGACTACAAAAAACCAACTTTAAAGGATTAAATTTTATTGTAGCAATTTTTAGATTAGGTAGGTTAAGTCAGGTGACACAGCAGAGTATTGCCAGGGATCCTCACTAAACGCAAATGCGCATGCATTTGGTGAGAGACCCTGGCGATGAGTATGGATGTGACAGCATCTAGTTATATTATATTCTACTTTTGCACGGAAATAGTAACATTATAGCCCGGTTATTGGGTCTATAATGTAACTAACTCAAAATAGTAGTATTCCCTTCTAAAATTATTTACTCCAGGCTATAATGGGTAACTTACAACACGAAAAACAGGTGTCGTAAAGTGCGTATTACAGTGCTGTGTTGCATAAATTTATATAAATATAAACACTTACGTCATTCCTTGTTGTTTAAGTTCATTTCTTAATTCTGGTATCATTGATGTAACTAATTCCTTATAAACTTTTTCATTATCAGCTGCTTGTTCAACCACAAAGATAATATCTGCTTCTTTCTTTGGAATTTTAACACTAAATGCATCACCAACAGTAATACTATTTTGCCCCTCTTTACAACTACCTAAAACCATTTATGATTTACATTTATTATTCATATATAATATGGCCTGATCATTTAGGAAATGGGAGCTTTGATTTAAAAAATCATTCTTCTTCTAAATTTTAAATTTGATGTTTGTAATCAAACAACAGAGTCCCAAAAAACTAATGTATTTCCTACGAGCGGTCCTTTGTTTGTGTACAGACAAAACATTATATTTGCTCAATATAATTACACATTTCTTTGAAAACTTTCCTATGATTATATTACACTGGTTTACAGTGAAATTGTCAATCGAACAAAACAATTTTTTTTCGAATAGTAAGTATTTTTTTAGTAAGAAAATCATAGTTTTAATTTTTTTCCCTCGTGCAGTTTTTCTGTAGCTTCAAATTTTACATTTTCGAGGTGCAACGCCACTTAAACTTACCTGTAGGAAAATTAGCTTGTCAAAACATAATAAATGAGGTATCATTGGAAAGGTTATTAAATTACCTTTCGATCCACAGGTCACAGAATGAAATTCAACAAAAATTGAGAGAGTTACAGTCGATTAAAGATGAAATTTCATGACAATTTTGATGATTTTTAGACATTTGAGTACCTTCTACTATTTTTTTCTACATCAAACAGGAAAGAATGTTTAGGTTTTAATTTTTTTATTGATAGACTATATCATTACACAAATTTTGAGCCCTTGTGGACCTCGATTGGATTAAAAATGACAATTCTACACTAAATTTAGTGAACAAAACTACATTCTTCATTTTTAGTATCCCTTAAACATTTGCACACGGAAAAAATTAATTTAGTACATTTTACGAAACTAATTTTGGAATAGCGGATACGGAGAGGAGTTTAGTATAAGATAAAACAGAATCAATAGTAATATATGATGACTGCGTTTCTCGAAAACTCAAAAAAAATTCTATGGAATTCACAAATGATCGGTTGGACGTTCTAATTCAAGAGTTTTGTAAAATGTTTAGCCTGAAGCGCATGCGCCACGGAAAAAAATATTCACGGGAGAAAAAAACGAATAAAGCAGAAAAAAGAATTTCTTAATGTACCAATGAGCTCTCAAGACCATTTTTTCTCGTCTTCTATAGGAGATAGATGATTGGTTCGACACATGTGACTGCACTCTACAACGCAATGGTTCGCTTGGATTGGCTTATTTTATTCTGACACTAACTTAACGGAAATACGCATACATATAAACGAATTCTGACGCAACGCACATACAATATAACTCGCACTTGTAGATGAAAGAATTGAGTTTCTTTATATACTAACTGAGGAGATTAAAACTGCGCTTGTGAGAGATGTCAATATACTGAATATTAATTTTAAAAAAAATCATTTTTTAAAAGTTATACAAAATATTTTATGGTTTTTAAAATAACATTTTTTGATTATAATTAGTTATAAAATCTCTATAAAATTTTTCAATTTTTAGAAAATAATTTTATTCTTAATTTTAAATTATAAATAAATTGACAAAAAATTTTCAAAATTAAATTCAAACTCAAAAAATGTTTATATTAAATTGTCTAAAATTTGAAGTAATAACAGTTAAAACTTGAGAAATTAATATATATATATTGTCATCGGTAAATATTATGATAAACTATAAAATTTATTGGACTGTAAATTATAAAAGAAATTAATAATAATTAAAAGTTTGGATTACAAAAGCACATAAAAAATGTTACGAATTTGGAACAATGAAATGTGAAATACGTAAAAGAAAACAATTATCCAAATGTTACCGGCAGGTAAAGCAGCGTTCTCTTTTTCCTTCCACATATTATCTCTATATACAGCAGACAAGTTAATACCGACGCGACGAGACAAGCTTCAACATATCTATTTATAACGCGACTTTTGGTACACCCCGTATAGAATTTTACGAAACTTTGTGTTCGAGAATTCACGATAGACAGCGAAGTGGAAACTCAAACCACGCGTTTTTAGATTGCACGAAACATTTTTACCATTTTCTGATAAAATGTTCACCAGAAAATACGAAACATTTCTACATTCAAGCTTGTTTTATAAATTACAACACTGGTTGCAGTTTCTCGACAATTGTTCTGCTTAAAGTAGTGAAAGTTTCTGGGTTTTTGAAAAACTTCGTCTAGGAATCTTAAATATCCGCTAGTGCGAAATTAGTTTCGTAAAATCTGCTGAACTTATTTTTTCCGTGCAGCAAAAATTGAAGTAATAAAATTTAGTTAAGCTCTAAAGTTACTAAAATCACTAATAAAGGATTTCTGAAATCGTAGATTTCGAATCCAATGTTAGTTTTCTAAATTTCAAAATGGCGGATCCAATATGGCGGACAAGTTTTTAAAAATCGATTAAATTCGTCTTAAATTCGTTACTCGGGGGTTTTCGGGGTCGCTGATTACGAATCTGATGTCAGATTTCAAAAATTAAAAATGGCGGATCCAATAGGTGCGAATTTGATGGATTTTAAAAAACTCGTTCACCATTATGAATCCATCCTTTTCAATTTTCGAAATCTGACATCAGATTCGTAATCAGCGACCCCGAAAACCCCCGAGTAACGAATTTAAGACGAATGTAATCGATTTTTAAAAACTTGTCCGCCATATTGGATCCGCCATTTTGAAATTTAGAAAACTAACATTGGATTCGAAATCTACGATTTCAGAAATCCTTTATTAGTGATTTTAGTAACTTTAGAGCTTAACTAAATTTTATTACTTGAATTTTTGCTGCAAATGTTTAAGGGATACTAAAAATGAAGAATGTAGTTTCGTTCAGTAAATTTAGTGTAGAATTGTCATTTTTTATCCAATCGAGGTCCACAAGGGCTCAAAATTTTTGTAATGATATAGTCTATCAATAAAAAAATTAAAACCTAAACATTCTTTCCTGTTTGATGTAGAAAAAAATAGTAGAAGTTACTCAAATGTCTAAAAATCATCAAAATTGTCATGAAATTTCATCTTTAATCGACTGTAACTCTCTCAATTTTTGTTGAATTTTATTCTGTGACCTATGGATCGAAAGGTAATTTAATAACCTTTCCAATGATACCTCATTTATTATATTTTGACAAGCTAATTTTCCTACAGGTAAGTTTAAGTGGCTTCGCACCTCGAAAATGGAAAATTTGAAGCTACAGAAAAACTGCACGAGGGAAAAAAATTAAAACTATGATTTTCTTACTCAAAAAACACCTACTATTCGAAAAAAAATTGTTTTGTTCGATTGGCAAAAAAAAGTTTTTAATTTGTAAACCTGTGTTATAATATTAAAATAAACTTACTACACACAGCCGGAACGCTGACAAAGATGCGTGCATAATGACAAGATGTAAAATATGCATTAGCTAGCAAACACGCTCCTTTCTTTGAACCAACTTTTACAGAATAGTCGCAGGCTTCTCGGTAATGTTTTGGATTCACATAATTGAAACAAGCACTGAAAATAAAAATTACTTTGGTATTATACCTATATTACTTTTAATTAAATTAAAAGGTTTATATATATATAATTCTCTAATGGGATATTGGTATACGTCAGAATGACATTTTTCTCTTAATATGGGAATATATTTGATTGTAAATAACACATACCTCATTGGGGAATTACCAGAAAAATATTCTGTACAAATTGCTGCTCGTGGAGCTAAATCTTTATGTTCGACTGCTGCTGATGACGCTGGACAGTTTGAACCAATTTTATAAGCATTTACAAAATCTGTTTCACTTTCTGTAAGCTGTAATGAGGAATATGACTTTAATTACAAATATATGTTTGAAAGTTGTATTAATGTTTACGACTAATTTCTCTCACTTTGCCAGACGGGAGAGTAAAGTCATCGAAAGGTTCATTATTGCCATCTCCAAATAGTCCACGTAATCTTCCAATATAAAAGCCAGATACTTGTAATGAACACATCATTGGACTACTATTGGCATTGCATTTAAGATGAAGTCCATACTTTGATTTGATATTGAAAATCGGAGGTGTTAAGAAGGCTTTTAAGTTTGCTGTTTCGCTTGGAAATTCAGCTGATTTGTCATTGACTAATATCTAAATAAAAAAGAAAACATTTAGAATATAGTTTATATTAATTTTTATAAAATCTAATGATGATTTTGCAAGAAAACCTGTTTTTTTTTTACTCACATTTCCATTTGATTTAATAGTAATACTTTCTGAGGGCTCTGTGACAGTTACACTTGCTAAATTTCCATTATTGAAATTGGCAACAACAGAGAAATTTCTATTTAATACGTCCTGAGATAAAATATAATTGCAAGTGCCTGATACAATAAGATGACGTCCATCAAATGTAAATACATGACCTCCATCAAGTAATATTCCAAACATACTGAACGGTGGTACAATATCTTCCACTAGTAAAGTTGGTCTGAAATTAATATATATATATATATGTATATATTTATAAGAAACTATTATTTATATATTATAAATATATATTTCTATTGTTGTATTTATTTATGAATATATACATATATGTACAACTATTTAATAATGAAATACGAACAATTTTATCAACATAAATATTAGAATGAATACAATATAAATTTACCTGTAGGTGTAATATAAATCCATAGGAGTTGGTAATTCATTATTGCGCAATAAATTTAAAATGGAAATCCGAAGAGTAGAAATGCCTGGTAATTTTCGTAAAAAGCTAAAATCGGCAGGGACTCTTGCTTCAAAGTAGTTGAATAAATTTTCGAGTGTCACTTGTGGATGTAATAGTTTTATGATGGATTGAACCGCTACAATTGTATGAGTATAAATATTCTTAATTTCAGTAACATCATCAACCTGTTTTTATAAACAAGATACATAATTAATTACACATTCAAATATTTTTTTCTCATTTATATTATGTTTAGAAACTTATTCTCGCTCATTTACCTTTTCATGCTTTATGTGTTTAATTATATAATTGTAAGTAATATTGAATAAATCTTTAAGCTCTTGAGTTGGTAAAATACTCTTTATATTAAAACACAATTCTTCAATAGGAGCTAAAATAGTTTGTGGAATTTGGTATTCTGCAATATTTTGATACTTTTCCTTAATAATATCATAAATTGGAAGAGATTTAAGCTGTTGTACAAGAAGATCAACAAATTCTTTAACATCTTTCTCAATTTGACTCATAGCTTTAAAAATAATCTTAGCTATATCATGAGTCAATTCTGATACAACTGTTAGCATTTCTTTCATTTCTTTTTGATGTTCATTAATAACATTAAGTAAAGCTTTAAAATAAATTAAAACTAAATTGGAAGCCGCTTCAAGAATATCAACAGTAACTTGTACAATTTTTTGACAGGATTCTTTCAATTGTGGCCATATAACTTGTATTGATTCTGTAAACTTATCAATTATTTCATTTACTTTTTTTTGTAAATCCATTAAATTTTCTGTTAAAAGCTTGATTGTTTTAGACAAAGCCTCAAAAACTCCACCAAATAATTTGTTTCTACAAAAAAAAAAAAAGATGAGGAAAAATAAATATATTATAAATTATCAACTGCGTCAAATAGTTTTTACGCATTTATATGTAAAAATTTGAATTAAAAATGTATGTATATAAATATATATATATAATGATTTAGATTCTTCATTATAATGAGGCACTCGCTATTAAAAATTTTGACGCTGAAATTTTTAAACGAGTCCTCTACCTATATGTGTTAATATAAATACATGATAATTAGTTTTAATAAAATAATTAAATTATTAATTGATATTGAAATATATACTGAAATAAATTATATTCTTACAATGTTACTTGAATTTCTTTAACAGTCTCATCTGCATGGAGTTCTTCAATAAGTTTGGTTAATTCAGTTTGGAAATGATCTATAAGAGGTTTAAGATTTGGTTGGGCTTTTTTTAAATGTTGAACAAAATCTTTTAATTCTGCAACAATTTCTTCACCTATATCTTCTAGAATGTCTTTAATTTGCTTTATGGATTCAATAGATTGTTTGCGAATATATTCCTACAATTTATAATAATGAAAATAAAATTGCACTATAAAATTAGGTTATATAAAAAACAGCGTATTAAAATGAAACTTACAACTGTAGATATAATGTTTTCTTTATTGTAGTCAAAATCTGGTTTGAGGAATTTGCTTTCATCTAAATGAACTAATGCAAAGAATAAATTCTTTTTTTCTCCTTCTTTGTAAACATCTAAACGAATTTCAGCCAACTGACCAAGAACAAATTGTCCATTGCCAGTCATTTTTGTATTAGGTTTATCTAAAAATAAAAATTGTAATTATACAAATTCAAAAATCAGACTATATTTTTTGTTTTATACCTTTAACATAGTTGGAGAACGTGAAGCTATTCCAATCTTTTGCTTCAAAGTTAAAAATTATTGGTTTATTTGTTAATACACTCAATTCTGAGTCAATTTTCTGTACATTAACAGACAATGTCATTTTTGAGTTATAATTGATTAATTCTTTATTTGGAGATAATACTAAAAGATTAACTTCTTTTTCATTGGCACAAAAATCAAAACCAAAGCTTTTTGGTTTTTGATGTTCATCTGTATAAAAGTACATGGATCCAATTCCAATGGCTAGAGTTGAAATTGACAAATGCTCTTTTACTTGTATTTTCAATTTTTGGCCTGGACTATTAATTTCCATGTAATTAGTATAATTAAATCCATGAGGAATTGAAACACGAGCCAGTTTTGCAATGACATTTATTTTTTGAGATTTCTTGGCAAAAAGATCAATATCTAAATTAGTGTCAATTAAATTGTCACCTCCATAATGAATTCTTCCTTTAACTGTCATATCCTTAAAAAATATAAAGAAATATAATTGTATCAAGTTTGTGTTGTAATAAAACAATATTTTATATTGTCTCATGAAAAATACAAAAGACAAAAATATTTTTCACTACACACATACTTTTGGTTGAGATGGATATGTAAATTTGACATCACCGCTAAGAGATGCAGAATTTCTCTCAGCATTGAAATGTCCACCAACTGACATTCCAGTTTTGTCTGATGGTTTATTTTTTCTGTCTAAATAAAGTGCAACATCCATCTTATAAGCTCCAGTATATTTAGTTTTTGGTATTTCATATGAAGACATTATTGCTAGTTCACGATTTGGTAGAGTTAAGATTGCACCTGTAGATAATACAATGAATAGTTTTTCAATTTCGACGCAATTGATGCGTTGATTTTTATTACATTTAAGAAAATTATTATGTGCAAAATTAAACTTGAGATGCAAATATAATTACCAGATTCTTTTGAATTGGCATAAAGGTGAGTAGTATATTCAGTCTTATCTTTTGAAGAATGTAAATAAAGGCTTGATGTATGATCATATGAAAGATTATTTATTAAATACTTTGTGCTTGTTTTTAATCCAAATTCGGCAGGAACATTGAATTTCTTTAAATCAACTTCTACAGTTAGTTGATGATTAAATTGTGATTTTGCTGAAAAAAAATATTGCAATTAAACCATATACTAATTGAAGTAGTAAATAACTTGTATATATAATCTTTTTAATGTAAAAAAATGTGATATTTAAAAGAGAAAAAAATACTAATAGTGTATAATTTTATTATTATAAATATATACTTACATTCAGTATCCAGTAGTGATTGCAATTTAAAGTGAGCACAATCTTTACTTTGTTCACAATAGCTATTAAAAACATAAATTTCTTTATTAGTGACTTTAAGTTCACCAACTATAGCTGAAGGACCGAAACTTGCATTTAATAAAATTGCATCTCCTGTTTCATTGTCCATTTCTTTTGTAAGCTCTTGATGTATATATTTGAATAATGAACTTTTTGTATTTTCCCCGACTTTAAGGCTACCTTTACCTTCAACAATTACTTTTCCAGCCTCTACGTGCTTTTTATAATCCGTACTGAAAATGTTAATTACATTTGTACTATACATATATATCAGAACATTTATATTGCGATAATTATTACTGTACACACAAAATACTCTACAAATTTTTCAACATGTACATATTTGTTTAAAAATTTAGAAAATTATAAACAAAAGAGTTTGGCTTTTATTAAATTTCATTAAATAATTTTCCAATTTCATATGCTAATTTTAATCAGGATACAAAAATCTATATTGCGTTTAATACAACAATCTATTTTTACCTTCCACTAATTATATTCTTTCCATCGCTTGTTACAGTAACAATAATTTTCCGACCAGTCTTGGCAGGTTTATTTGCTATTTCTGCATGAATTTTACGTTGTTTCATTTTATCACAGTCCAAATTTACCGTAATGATAAAATCATCTACACTTTCAAGCTTAATATGGTAATCAGACGTTACAAGTGCTTTAGGTGAATCAAATTTAACTTCTCCTAAAATTCAAAAAGTTTTAAAAAGTTGAGAAAAAAAAATTATTTCATTGAATAACTTTTTAAAAGTATATAAATCAGTCAACTTTTTTAAAATATAAATTAATAAAGTAAATAATTTTTTAAATTAATTAGCAATTATAAATTTAATTGTTATACCTTTAAATTCATTTTCTCCCAGCTTGTTAAATTTAAAAAGTAACTCAGTTTTTCCAGCAGGGCATGTAAAAGTTACATGCATATTTGGCGTTACAGGGTCAATTTTTATTTCACTTTTCATTGTATATTTATTATTATTTAGGGTGACGGAAATGTCAGTATTATGTTTTTGATCATCAATTTCTTTCTGCAAATAAACAATTTTTAATTAACATCATTTTATTTCACATCAAAATGCGCAATTATTATTAGCGCCAACATGCGGTGTATAACTATAATAAAGAATACGGAAACGCATGCTAAAAATATACCTGTACATTTTTATAATTTAATTATCACAACTTATAATCATGCAAAATAAAAAGGACTATTTAAAGAACTCTTACCTTGTGACTAAAAAGTATGTCCAAATCTTTAATATTTTCTATTGGAGTTTTTACTTTAATATTATTTTTGAAAAATGTCATGTCTGACAAAAATTCAGTGTTCAAATTGACACTTGATTCTTTATCTCCATACTTCACATTTAACGTTGCTGAACCTTTTTTAGAATCTGCAGTAGGATCCGCTTGATATTTTCCATCAATAGTAAGAGGTGGATTATTTAAAATGTTTAAAACAATTTTTCCAGAACCTTCCGTTTTACTAGTGTCACTAAAGGGCACGCCCAATTGTTTCACATGAGCATTTAATTTAATATTCTTATCATCATTGTAAATCAAATTAGTAGAAAGAATATATTCCATGGCAGTGTTTGTATCTTTTGAAACTAAAACACTATGTGAGCAATCCAATTTTAAATTTCTCAACTTATCATTGGGTAGTTTAACTTCAATGGTACCACTGTAAACTGTTGGTTTATCAATATAATTTCCTTTGGAATACTTTCCACTTCCCTAAATATTAAAGGATTAAAACAATATAATAATGTGTGTATATAAAAATTAATGAATGTTTAAATAAATTTTTTAAACCAATTACCTGAAATGATGTATCACTTCCTATCGATGATTTTCCTGTCCATAGCCCACTATTTGGATTATATTCAACATGTAAATCAAGTTGAACTGGTTTTGGTATAACAGATCCTATCAAGTTGATGCTAATTTCTGCTACTTTATCACCTGATTTTTCTGCATATTTGTTTCGAAGAGTAACACTAACTTGAATATCTTTATTGTCATAATTGACAAGCTTTAATTGATGTGTTACCTGAAAAGTGAGTTTTCTCAAATCAATATCTTTCCCTTCATGATTGTAAATAACTTTTCGAGAAGGTCCTCCTTTATTGGTAGAATGTGTCAATTCAAATTGCATTTGTGACAAATCTAATAATTGTGAATCAGCAGGATTTCTCTTCATTGTTCGCTTTCCTGTGAATGTAATATAATGTCCATTCGGCAAAGTAATTTCAATATTACCATTTAAGGAACCATCAATAAATTTTCCTTGAAGATTTCCTTTGACATTAACTTCTGTTTTATAGGACATTATTTCAATGACGTTTTTTAAATCAATTGATGTTTTTGTGATATCTGAAACTGTTGTTAATTTTATCCGTTTACTGGGATCTTTTTCAGCGTCATAAAGAATTTCAAGATTAGCTGAGTGCTGTGTACCACTAACTGTAATATCAGCAGTACCCTTGATTTTTCGACGTACTTTTGGAATTTCAATATTTATATCGGCACTACCTTTACCATTTTGATAGGAATATTGACCACTCGCTAAAATGTATTTCTTTAAATTTAAAACAACATTTCCTTTAGGATTATTTCCAGCACGATGTATTTTTATATCAAAATCAACGTATTGTACACCATCAACACCAATTTGAGCATGGGAATTGATTTTCTGTAAATCAAACTCTAGTCCTGTATCTATTTTAATTTTTTTTCCATTTAAAAGTACATTTCCGTCCAAATTAACATTAATATCATTAGGTTTAATGTCGTAAATTACTACTGCATCAGCCTCATATTTTCCTCCAGGTGTCAATTCCAATGAATTTTCAAATTTGCTCTTAGTGTCACTCACGATTTCTCGTTTAGACTTTAGTTTTATTTCATTTTTTAAAACATGTCCTTCCAATTCCAATTGATAGTCACCTTGATGGGTAATGCCAGTTTTTCCAGATAATTTTGTTCCCAACTTGAATTTATCATATTCAAAAATAATTTCGCTTTGTAACGACTTTTTAGTGAAAGCACCTTCTACTTTAAAAAGAAAATTTAAAGCCGAATATTGAAGCTTATTTGAAAAACCAAGAGCAAAATTCTTTGAATCAAAATTGTATGCAGCTCGTTGATTTAAAATTAATTGATTTTTTGATTGTTGAGATTCTGGTCCATGTGCAAATTTAAAGTTTTGTTCAAACTTATTCTTTTCCCTCTGATATTCCCAGTCAATGCGAAAAGCAATATTAGGATCTTTATGAGGTACTGCAGCAACCATCAATTTAAAATGGTTTTCCTTTAATCGTTTGCCCGTTAATTGTACATCAATAACCTCATCTCCGTAAGAAAATTTTGCATCGAGTGCACGAACGTTTGGAGTAGCCGTCATTGTTCCATCTAAACTCATAATATCTTTATGGTTTGAAGTTAATACAACTTTTTCAAATTTATACATTTTTCCGCCTTCGTGATCAGCTACTGAGACAATTCCTTCTAAAGTGTACTGTTGACCATTATCTTCACCACCACCACTAATTTTTGTACCAGTCAATTTTTCAATATGCTCAGGAACTTTATATTCCAATATAGGTTTATATTTTCCGGAACCTTTTGCTTCAACACCAATTTTACCAAAATATTCAATTTGATCATGATGAACAGCTAATGTCAATGAATGCTCCTGAGGATTATCTTTTAAAATGGCTTCAGCTGAAGCTTTATAATATGGAATATCAAATGTTACTCTGGCAAGTTTATCAGGCTCAAGAGCACCTTCTATATCAAGTTTGAGATATCTACTACTTCGGCTATTGGGTGTTTCCAGCAATACTTGCAGAGATCGTGAACTGGGATTCTTAGTATTGTAAAAGATTTTAAAATGATAATTTGTGACATCAATGTTATCAATATAAAAGGCTAATTTTGCTGGACCGCTGAGAGGAAATAGTGGTTTTTTTCGCATTGATTCAATAGTATCATATGGTAATATTACTTTTCCACACAAACTAAAACCAAATACACTAGCAGACTGATCAAAACAATCAATATATTCACGACTTTTACCATGAAACTTTGGTGCAACATAATTTTCACCTTTTCCATCATTAGAGCTCATCAAAATTTGACTGGATAAACTTATTAACTCCTGTTTTCGTTTAAGCATATTTAAATTGACGTCAACACCCTTCCCATCAAGTATCTTGACAGTAATTTCAGAACCAGTGGCAGTGTGTAAAGTGGAAACAAGTTTTAAACCGGATTCTACATCAAAACCTTGAATAATTAATCGGCCCTCTACTCTAATGGAAGCACTGGGTTCCATGGCTAATTTTACTAATGCATTTTGTGGATCTTTTATTATTCCTGGAATATCAATTTTCCCACTTGTTTTGAGATTGACAACACTCGAACCAATTACTCCCAAAGTCATTGGTACACCTAAGCCAGTAGGATACACTAGGTCGGCGTCTAAAAAGACTAAATAATTTTCTAAATTATAATTAAAATCTTTAACTTTATCTATTCCTTGGTCAAGTGCGTCAAATATTTTTTTAACAATATATTCAGGAGTATACTTTTGATTTGTTGTTCCCTCGAAACTTAGGTAAGCTAATTCAACACCAAACATTTTTACTGACAAATCCAAGTCCAATTCGTCATCTACATTCTCTGTTTCACGTAAATGTACGTTTTGAGCAAATTTCTCAAGTTCTGCTGGTTTCACATCACGTTTGCCACGAGTAATTTTTTCAAAACGCTCCTTTATTTTCTTACCAAGCAGAGTCAAGTGATCAACACCTTCATCTATCAAATCATCAGGTTCCCCTTTCTTCAAGTATCCTTTTGGACCAAAATATCGTTCGATAACTTTGTCCAAATTTTCAATCCGACTATTAAGTTCCAAGAAATTAAAAGATCGACCAAAAATTTCAGTGGTTAAATTTAAGGTGGTTGACCGTGGAACAAAACTACTTTGACTATAAATTACGTTACTCTCTACTGTTGATCCAACTCCTAATGCATCAACATTGTAGGACAACTCATTATTAAATGAAAATTTTCGAAAATCTTGAGGAAATCTTTGTCGCGCCTTGATTAATCCAAGTTGTTTTTGCGCTTCTTGTTTATGAGGATCCGCAGAAGCTCGTAGATTGCGGAGATGAGATGTAATGAATGATCCAACTTGATTAATGTTTTCCTTATCCAGAACTTGTTTAATATGATTAGCTACGTGCGGACATGGACATTTTACAAGAGATAGATAAACTTTAATCCTTATTTCACTGTCTTCTTCGTGATCATCAAGTACTTTGAAAAGGATATTTTTCCAACTCATGGAACAATGATTAGGTAAAATTTCAATGGCTGCTACTCGAACTCTATTCCTTACACTCTTGTCAACTGAAATATCTACCATTTTTTTAACAGATGCGTCATCCAAATATCTTGTATTACCAAGTGCTTTCATAGCAGATAACAATAAATCTTCTTCTTTTCTAGTATTTGCTTTTCCATTGCCTATTTTACTTGATATTTTAGCAAGAGCTGCTTGAACTTGAGGCACATTCTCACATTTATGCTCTTGGCAATATTTTCCAATTAATTGTCCAATACCTAAATATGCGATTCTTGGTAAATTATCCTGATCTAACAGAGATGTTACTGTGGTAACTGCAGGCAGATTAACATGGCGAATAAAAGGCAAACTTGTGTAATACATAAGAGCTTGTAATTCGTTTATTTGACGTGACACTATTAATTCTACCGCAACCTCAGCTGCCTCACCACTTCCGGCGCGGAATAAACCATCCAAAAATATTTTTCTTTCCTTCTCTTTACCTTTAACACTTTCAAATACTGAAAGAATATCCTTTTTACTGGACACACCTAGTATTTTGACAAATTCAACAAAACGTTGTGCGGCATCTAATTTAACAGCATCTGGACATTGCTCTCTAACAGCATTTAATGCATTCGTAATAGAATTTACTGAAGACTCTTTAACGACTGGGTGAGGAGACTCGAAGAAAATAGTTTTCGGCACAGATACAACATTTGAAGTTGATGCATTGTCATCTTTTTTTTCATTTTTTAAAGTAAGAACTATTTCAATAATTGTTTTAGCACCTGCATCTCCATTGCTAAATGGTTTAAATTTATAAGTTTCTGTAGAAACTGCTCTATTTAAAACTCCTTTTTTAAAGCGTTGTTCAACTTTTTGCTGCGCTGACAGTAATGGTGCTGACTGAATAGTGGATCTCGCATCAAAAGTCGAACTAATTATACCTTCCCTAATATTTTCTCGATTTGTACACTCATTTAAGTTTCTGTATTTATTAACTGTTACAACATCTTGGTCACTTTGAAAGCTAAAGTCAGTTGGACAACCGCCAAAAACATCTCCCTGAAACCCATTTATTAATTTTTAAAAATTTTATATTCATGAATAAACATAAAATATATAATTATCATTATATTGTATAGTTTACCTCATAGCGAGTAGTAGAACCACTGTCTTGCATTACAGATGATTGCAATAAAGAAATAACAGCTCTTTTAATATTCAAAGATGCTTGTGAATCTTCAGGTTGTGCACAAATTTCAGTATCAATGTGTCCATTATGATAATTAAATTGTAAAGCATGTTGCTCTACATCTTTTAACGCAATAGGCTGAAAATAATCGTATTATTATTATTATTATTATTATTATTATTATTATTATTATTATTATTATTATTATTATTATTATTATGTTGATGAACAAATCTCAGAGTTATCTAAATAAAATTGAATTATTTATTAAAATAAATCAGTATCCTAAAAATATCTTTAAAAAGACAAAAACTGTACTTATTATGCGTTTATACAATTCACTTGTAGCTATAATATTACGTGCTAGTTTGGATTATATTTTAATAAATTGATCTAGAATATCCCGAGATGTTAATATCAATTAATGTATATTTATCAATTGGTGTCATGTTTTATAATTTCTTTCGAAGGTTTATACCACTTTACACGCCTAAAGATTTAGAAATTTTCTACAATTTTTTTACAATTCCCATAGATTTTATTTATGTAGATCTTTTCTTGTTTAATAGAGATACTACTTGTAAACAATATGAAAAACTTTTGTTTTATTAAATCATCATCCAAACTAAAAGTATTAATTTTATGCAAAAATAACAAAATGGGAACAGTTGAAATAAAGTTGTTTTGAAAACAAGATTTTTTGGATAGGTTTTCGGTTAAAAAAAATAATACAGGTTCCGGTGACATCAGATGATTCATGTGATAAAGTTGCAGAAATTTTCTTAAGAATCTGTTTAGTTGTTTCCAAGAACAGCAACTTTACACAACATAAAAACGGTTTTAAAATCTTTGGTTGTTCATTTACAGCGCCCATATATAAGCTCAAGCAACACGAAAGAAAATATATTTACTCAAATCTTTCTAAAATTTTTATACAACTTTATTGAAATTTTTTACTTTTGAAATTCGACGAAAAAATGTATGTTTGAAAAGTTAACAAAATGGTATAAACCCTTAAAAAATTATTACTGTTTTCAAAATACTTACAGCTCCATTAATTAAAACATTTTTTAATCTTATTTGTCGAATACAGTCAGGTTTTGCGCTTAATTCAACAGTGGCTTTTAATTTAAAAGTCGCTTCATTCTGAGCATCGGTTACGGTTGTTACCGATTTTCCTTCCAATTCGTATGAATAAACTTGTCCCTCAACATAATTCTTTTCCGATTGTGCTATTAAAATAAAAATACTTTTGAAATTTTGGATATATTAAATACAAACCCAAACAGCACAAAGTTTTCAAGCACTAATTATTCTACATTAATAATCCATATAGTAAAGTGCTTTTGCATGTGTTACATGTATGCTATATGTAAGACATTAATAAAGGAAAGTTTACATTTTTTATTAATTTTATAACTTAATTTTAGATGAAAGACTCAAGTAACACTTTTGGTTTTCAGTAAAAAAGACATTAAATATTCCAAGTATTATTATACTCATCACACAATATTAACCTTAGGAATTTACATAATCTATTTATAATTGCTTTCTCATAGAGGAAGGATTGTATTAGCAAAATTTTCGATTGTGATTTTTTGACATATATATTTATAAACTTATTTTCATTATACCTAATCTTCTAATACTTTATGTACGATTTAATGATTTTTAACTCTTTTATAAAAAGTAATTCTTATATTTCAATTATTATTATTTCTATGAGGAAGCAAAGTGTTCATGAAATGAACACCAAAATTATAAAAATGTACAACTTGGCAGCGGTTTTTCAATTTAATTTTTATAATATATAAACACCCGTTTATACTCACTTCCATGACAGCCAGTATTACACTGATCTAGAAAAAGATGGAGAAATTATATTAAAACTCAATATATATGTGTAATATGTATAAATATTTATAGGATACATATTGTGTAGACTATAATATATGTTTAAGCTGAAAATAGAAAGTTATTATTTTTCAGGAAATATTCAATTAAAAATAGGGATAATGGAAAAATTTAACAAAACTAACTTTACTGAATTAGGTAATGAATATTTATTGAAAACATTTTTTATTATTTAATTATTTTATGTATTCTGTTCTCTTTATAAATTATGGAATTTATAAACAATTTCAGATTGCTTTTGACACTTTTTTCTAAATTTTAATATACACTTTTATGCAGTAAACGTCAGCAAAACGTGAACAGCCTTTATCGGCAATGTTCTGAGAACACGTCTTCTTTTAACCTCTGACATTTTTAAATATATCTTTAGATAGCAGTATTGACCTTAACCATTGAACATGGAGAGAGTGATGTTTTCGCCATACTTTCCTTTCACAGGCATTACTCTTGCTACATATTTTAAGTACTACGACATATTCTTTTATAATTGTTCATTTGTTGCTAATGTTTTTAGTTGAATGTAAAATGACACCGGTCTAATTTCCATTGATGGATTTTAATAAGCACCGGGCAAGTTAAAATTTACCTCAAAGCAGCAACATAAAAAAAAACCCCGAATTTAAGAAAAAACATACATGTGAAGACTCTTCGGAACTACAAAAAGTAGTAATTAATAATAATTTGATAAGCGTTTCTTGAGAGGAGATAATTCTTTTTATAAGATAAAAACGATCGAGAAAAATTGTATAAATGTTTTGAATGATTTATGAAGACATTTAAAAAGAGTTATTCTTTTATTTTTTGTCTATATTAAATGATACGCATTTATCGCGATCGACATTTTTTTTTCTTGGAAAATAAGGGAAAAATAATAAAAGTCCACCGTCTCTCGCAGGTCAATGTCAATGAAAACTCAGTTTAACTACAATTGATTACTCAAAAAGCCACCAGAAAAAAATAAATCAAGGATCAACAAGTGCGGTGAATGATCATTTTTTGATAAAATTCATAAAAAAAGAAACAATACATCTTTTTATTTTATTAACATTTTAATATTTAAAATTATTGACGTAAATATTGAAAATTGAGATTATGAATTCTTAAATAGTTTCAACTGAATTTAATAATTTTAAGAAGAGAAATATTAGAAATAATCTGTTGATAAATGAAGGGTGGCATGACAAAAGGGGTCAAGCAACAATTTCATGATTTTACAGGAAACGAAAATAACACATTTAAAAATTTTCCTGATCATTAATGAAAAATCTAAAAAAAAAACCGTTTGGAGATATTATTTCGCTTTACCAGTAGAAATATAATTATTATGAAGATAAACCTACATATTAGTGAGAAAAATAATTAAAAGTGGACCATTTTGGGGTTACGTCAAATGCGCATATTTTGTTATAAAATTAATTGTCAAATAAATATACAATTTAAAGAAAAACTGAAAAATTAGTTTTTTTAATATTGAATTGACGAATTAAATGCAGATGAAAAGTTTGCTTTAAGAAAGTTGTTTGTTTTCAAGAAAATTGTTAATTAAATGTTAACTTTTGAAAGTAAACAGTACAAAAATTTTCAAATGCAAACTACAAACAAGAATATTTAAAAAGTAACAGAAAAATAATATTTAAATTATTGAAAAATAGATAAAGAATAAAACTATTTCTAAATAGACATAAAATTTTTCAGCGAAATTTAATATATATTTAATGGCATTAAAAAGAAATGATCCACAAGTTTTGAACGTTCAAATGAACGAAACACTTTTTATTAGAAATGTTTTTATAATTTATTGTTTTGCAATAAAAATTAAAAACTTAAATTTTACACTTAGAAACTTTATAATTAATTTATTTTATATCGACAAAAAATTATTGTAATAAATATTGAAATTAAAGAAGAAAATAAATAAATTTCGTTCATTTGAACGTTCAGAACTTTAGGATCATAAAAAGAAAGCAATATTTTCAACCATAGGGTAAGTGTACTAATTCCTGCGGTATTTTGGTCAAGGCGTCTTTTAACTATAAAATATAATTTTTATATTGATCAAATTGAACTTATGTCTTATTAAATTTGTAGTTTGTGTTATTAAGATATGTTTACAATAAATAACATCTCTAAAATATAATTTATTTTAATAAATTTAATGAATTAAAAATAATATTCAATGCGTTTAATTCTGCGCGTTTGAGTCAGTTGCTGCGCGAATTTAATTCCTTAATTTCGTGTTTATGTGTATAATACTGCAAACTACTATGAAATCAAAATGGGACAATGATTTTAATCAATGTTTAATTGAATAGAATATAAATTTATTAAAAATAAATATATATCATATATTAACAAAAGTAACAAATAATTTCTGAATTATTACATTTTTGAAACATTTAGTTAAAACTTAATAACAGAATTCTTCCTTAATTAATTTATGTATTTATTAAATTTTCTTTAGTTTTTCCTCCATAATCTTCATTTTTTCTTTCATTTTCATAATTTTTTCTTGCTCTTTTTCAAAATAGATAGTCTATTGTAACCAGTCTTAGTTGATTTTCTGAGGGCGCAGAAATTAAATCAAGCCCAAATTCTGTGTTAATTACTACTCTTAAAAATAAAATATAATAACAGACAAAAATAAAGTAAAGTTTAATTTTTCTTTTAAAACAAGGTTTTCTTTATCTAAAATCATCATAATAATAACCACTTTAAGTCTAAAAACAATAATAAAGCCTTTTTTATGTAGGTATTTTTGCACCGCCAGCAAAGTTAGCAATGAAAATAAATAAAACCTTGAACACGTCAACTTTTAATTAAAATAAAATACATAAATATTAAGTTTTGGTATATACTTCCTATATCTATTTTAAAACTTACATCGTTAAGTAATTTTTAAAAAAAAATTCAAAATTATTTGTGCCCTGAACAAATGTATTCACTTAAATTATTAAAATGCCGCAGAAACTGAAGCACCCGCAGCAATTGACGCACTTACCCTATTAACCTATTCATAATAATATTCATTTCTTTTGTTTTTTAACTGAATTGCATTGTAAGTAAAAATTTAGGCTATTTTGTATTCTTATTTTTATTAAAAACGAGTTTAAAAAACAATTTACAGAAAAATCCTTTTATAGAAGGTAAATAGGTAACACAATATTAGATCATTTTCTTCTTCAATGTTCACATTTATTAATTTATACGTTTATAATTTTAAAAGTCAACAATAATTTTTTCAAACAGTTCAAAAAATGTGTGCCAATAACTTGAGTGTAGAAAAAAAAATTTTGCACGTTTTTTTTTGTTTTTAAATAATCTCTTTTTTTTTCAAAGTGAAATAGAAAAATTAGAAAATAGGTAAATGAATTTACCTGATTTTTTTTATAAAAAAATTTTAATTTCGAAAAATTGTTGCTTGACCTCTTTTGTCATGCTACCCTTCAAATATAGAAAGAGTCTTAGGCTTAAAAAGTGATAGATATTAACAATTTAGGCAATGCGATTTAAATTACGGCTCATCATCGCTTATAACCATATTGTCTTTAATTTTTTGTTTGAGTAAATCTTTTATTGACCTTAAATAGAACCCTTTACACATGTTTTAAGCTATATTCTATACCCAACCGTTTTTGTTTGGGGTGAGCTAGCGCACTATCATCTTAATTTAAAGCATGCTCTTGATGAAAAAATTGTATTGAAATAGACATATACATTATTTAATAGGTGTAATGCGGTATTAATTGCTGCTCAGAGAATTAGTTTTTATAAAAATGCACGTTTAATTGATATGTATTATCTTATTTCAAATGGCTGCTGCTGCTGCTGCTTTCAAATAGCCAACTCTGAGCTAAAATTATCTTTATATCATGACTATTCTTTTACAGCATATTAAGCTATAACATACAAAAAGTATATTATTAATTTCTAAAATAAAATGAAGTAAACTTTTAACTGATGTTTGCTGTCAAATCTCTCAAAATTGACTACCACAGCTAAAATGTTTTCAAATGCAGCTGTGAACCAGTTCGCTGTGACAATCAACATCAATAAAAGTTCAAGTTTGCTATGACAGCTGCTCTGCCGTACAAAATAAAAAAAGTCTATAACTACCATTTATTTTCAAGTTGATATTAGCTTGTTCGCCTACGGGAATAACAACCTTTAAGCAAATGTTAGTTATAGACTTTTTTATTTTGTACAGCAGAGCTGACCCTTTTTGTGTGTGCACCTATATTAACCCTAGAAGGAGTAACTGGGGTGTCTGGACACCCCAAGCAAAATTCAAAGTATTCCCATGGCTTAACCAATAATTTTCTTACGCTCAAAACCCGTTGATAATTTAGTTTGAACCTCTATCTTTTAACACCTGTGTGTGCCGCAAAAAGTTTTGCTCTAGGAAGAGCTCTATCTCCTGTTAAAATACGTCTGGAGTGTCGGGACACCCCAGTTACTCCCTAACGTTAGTAAAATTGTCAAGATAAGTAAATTCAAATTTTTTAAAAAAAATCGTTTTTAATCAGTTGAAATCATCTGATAAAGTGTAAATTGATATAGGCTATGCATGAAAAAGTTGTATTTTATAAAAAAGAAACATTTTTATACAAAAATTATATTTATTACAAATTTCTGTGCTCTCTTTACAGTCAGAAATTAAATTCCAATACAGAAAAATGTAGTATATGACAGTCAAATTTAAATTAGAAATTATATATTGTTATAATATTATTGTATTCCTTACTAAAAAAACCAATCAATTCATTATAATAATTTTTTTTTACATCAAATATAAACCTTATAAAACAAGTTTAAAGCGTGGGGTGTCGGGACACCCCAGTTACTCCTTAGAGGATGAGTAAATTAACGTACTCCTTCTAGGGTTAAAATAAGAATATTCAATAATGACTATATAAATAAAGTATTTTGCTGAACAAGATACAGGGTCAAATTATGAAACATGTTTCAGCCAGAAAGCAGTGTTATTATTATTTTTCAAACAATAAAGTACTTTTAATTAAATTAATTTTTATAAAGCAATAATAAACTGTATAATTAAATTATACAAGTAGAGTCAGATTTGTTTACTTTAAAACTCAAATTTCAGCCTTTAGTTTTGTAGCACTCCCTTACAATATTTATTCCTACGTACATCTACATCTAGTTAATAGTTTCTGATATCGGGATTTTTTAATGTAAAGATTATATAAAGATTAACAACTTTTCTTAATTTATAATATGATATGATATGCTCAGTGGATAGAAGCAAGTTTGTCATACCGTTTTAAACAATAAACTACATACTGTTACACATGATATTTTTGAAACCAACTCGATCATCACCCGCATATTTTCTTCCCTGCATTATTTTTTTGGATGCAGGCGTAGTGGATCAAAGAGTATAATAATTATGATTAAAAAATTCAAACATTATTATATAAATATTGAAGTTTCAATAGTAAATTTATAAAATAAATATTGAAAACGAATTATATTAAATTGAAACCATAAACATTTTTCAGAATTTCTTAAGGAATATATGCGTTTGGTACTTGAATTAATATTATAATTATGTGGATAAAGTAATTTTTAAATCTCTTCCGTGAGAATAGAGTCCCCTATTTTTTAGTAAAGTCAACTGATTCAAATTTAGAGAGTAGAAAGGCAGTTTTCTATATGTATATGTATATACAATAAGAAATTTCACATTTAAAACTGTAGAATAATTTTAGTTTATTTCATGAAAAATGAAAACTTTAATAGTCAAATAATGTAATAAATATCTACATAAATTTTTGAAAATATTGTATACAACTATTGAATTTATTGCGTGTTAGAATACAGATACATACAATAATTTCACTTGGTAGCAGTATATAAATATGGGGATGTCAGATTAATTTACCAAATTTCCGGTTTGGAAGATGTATTATAATGATTTCAATGATTCACACTGCTCTTTTTATTGTTAAGGAAAAAACTATAAATTTATGTGCATTTGCACTAAACGTTTTGAATGTTTTTTTTTTTTTTTTTATTGAAGAAAGTAAAAAAATAAACATTTATTTAATTAAATAACAAGCAGATTTTTGAATCGCCCTAAAAATTGCAGAATTTTTGTTATTCTATTTTGTAACTACAGAGTTGTCGAGTTAAAAAATCATTAACAAAAGAAAGAGTAATAATTGAAGTAGATGTTATTAAACCAAAAAGCTAAACTATCGCCCCTCAAGAAAGAGATAAATATTAGAGTAATTACCTTAAAGAAATATTCACCTTCATCGCACACTTGACACAAAGTATTACTCTGTTATTAAAAAGGATGTAAATAATTTACAAATACCCCAGAAGAATATTAGTCGTTTCACCAAGTTAACAATTTTGAAATGATCGTAAACATTTTTAATTTTTTATTTTAATTACTTGTTGAATGAAATGTACAGAGTTTTCAAGTATGGAATGACATGTAGGTGGGTTATTAATTTTTATCATCACTGATCACTTAATTATTTTACTTACTTGCTAAAATCGAAGATGTAAAAAAGATGAAACCAGTGAAAACAGCCAAGAACAGTGGATGCTCCATGGCGATAACACGAGTAAGTGAAGAGTGTGATGCCCTTTTATGCTTTCGTGTTTCCCCTCCCTCTTAAATTTTCAGTTTCCTACCCCTCTGATTCAATCACTTTTATCATAAGCAATTTACAAAAGTGTTGACAATTCTAAGCAGTATTATTAAATCAAAATGTAAATTGTTAACTAAACAAAATCATAATTATCTCAAAATGATAATTATGAACAATATGTAAAATTTTGCGAGTGAAAAAATTTTCAACTATAGATTATTTTTTCTCCGCATCGCAGTTCATTCCACTGTTTTCCACATATCTGAAAAAATAAGCAAACAAAGATCACTTAATTTAATTAGTCACTTGATTACATTATTTACTTGAAAAAAATTAATTTATATAATAATATCCATATTTCAATGAAAATCATAACGCGCCGCTCACATTTCTTTCGTGCACGAAGAATCTTTACATTTATATACAATGTCCATGTTTGTATACATCTTGAATAAATAAATACAATATGTATATTGAGTAATACTATGTACTATGCGTGTACTATAAATTCTACTACTTACTTTTTTTTACTTATAAAATACTACGGAAATAAGGGGTACAAAATTTGTTATTTAAAACAACTTTTAAACAGTCAGATTTTTATATACTTTTCTCAATAATTCATTATTTGTCATTGATCTCAGTTTTCAATTTATATCGTAATTAATGTTTTTATTTCTCTTTTTTAGTAGGAACAATTTCACGTGAGAAAAAGGTTTTAGTATATACAAGTTCTCAAGTCCGTTTGATTGTCACTAGGTCAACGGTCAACTCTTATCAGGCTTTGTAGGACCTATCGCGCGGTGACAGTTGAAAAGCAAATATTCAAATAAATAAACAAATAACAACATTTCTATAAATATTTGTTCTTTCAAAGAATATAATATTTCATTGTAATATGATAGAAAAAAATTTTTAATTTCAATTCGTACTCTCGCTTAATCAGAATTAGCAAAATTTCATTGATTGAAGCAATCAGAAATTGCGATAATTACGACTGATATTTAGTGAAAACTTTTCTGACTCATATTAAAAGCGAGTATAACTTGAAATGAAAACATTTTTTCCCCTTTATACATCACAAACAGAATGATGTAGATGTTAGAAAATATTCTTTTAAAATATTGCCAAAAAACTTTTTTTGAAAAAGTTTAAAACATGAGAATAAGACGCAGTTAATCTTTAAGTAGATTAGATTAGATTAGATTCATCCCTACAACTCTTATGGGACTTGAAAAGGACATTTTTCTAAAAAATGTGATATTTGGATTTCTAAAATCCAAAAGAAATATAAAAGAACAAATGAAAATATTTGAATTTTAATATTTTTAGTACAATAATTATTAATAAAAGAAGGAAATTATTAATATAATTTGTTTTATTTGAGTTATCAAGAAATAATTTTTTCACAATCTTTTTGTCTTTTAAAAATGCTTCTAAAAAATTCAGATTTCACAATGACTTTTTTCAACTTTAAAAAAAAATCTCTTAATCAAATGGTATAGGTTTTTTTTTAAAAATTTGTTTTCCAATTATCCATATTATATATTTTCTTATATACACTTAAATTTTCAGGGAAGAATTCCCGAGATTAATTAAATTCATTTGTTCGTTTGATTTTTATTGTAAACAGTTGAATAATTTTTAATTTTATTATATCAATATAAGGCAGGGTATTGCTAAATGATCGATTTGGCATTGACGAAATATTATATAGATATATTATTGTCGTCTATAAATTATAGATATACAATGATTTTTACTCTTGAATTTACAAAATTTAAGGGATTTGATTGAGATTGTTTATTAAGATACTCTTTGAAAATTATTATAGATCTTGATAATGCGGATAAAATATGTTAACGTAGAGAAAAATAATTTTTTTTATAAAAGCATGAAACGTAAATTGATGATGCATAGGTAAAAAAAAAATAAATAATTTTCAAGTTGCTAAGAATTACACGTTTCTGATGTATCATATAAATAATATACAAAATTTACATATATAATAATAGTTATTACATTGTTTAAAATTAGTGCGCACTAGCTACTTATTGAACATTCAAACGATTTATAGGTTATTTTTGGTTTTCAAGTGATAGCTAAAAATTGTGAAATGGACACTTTAGTCACATATATAATATGCGTATAGAACATATACATTAGAGATGTAAACATATTATCGTATTATAGATATAAATTATCAAAAAAATAAAGCACATCTTTAGACAGTAGTCTGATTAGAATGTAACAATATATAATATTATTTTTTATTTCTCTAAACTAAACTGACTAAATTTATTTATAACATATATATTATAAAGATTACTTTTCCTATGTCCTTTTTGGAAATGACAAAAATCATAGTTTCAAAAAAAGTTTACTCTTAATACCATGTTATGTAACATCTACAAATGCTCGTCTTACAATAATATATTTTAGACTTTTTCACATTATCTCATCTCACATGCTCTTAATTTTATTCATAATATATATCATCAATAGAAAAAATGTAATAAAAAAGGAAAAATGATCTTTTCAAGAACGCTATAGTAACAATTAAAAACAAAAAATTTAATAATTTAATTATAGTTTATTAGAGATTATTTCTTATGAATGACGTTATGTTACTAGTGTGAGTACACTGTAATTCAGCACTTTTTATAGAACAATAAGTAAATAAAAAGCACTATTCCGATAACAATAAAGTGACTTTAAAGTTGCAATTGACTCTGAGAAGAAACTTGCGGTCCTTAATTAAAATAGGCAGTCCATAACTGGTAATTAATATTAAAATGTGGAAGCGTCATAAATCTGGAAATCTGCAAAGTAAAATTTCAAGTTAATTCATTTCAAAGAAACATGTTAATAATATGCCATAATTTGAGTTCATTTGTTAAAAAGGCTATGTAGGTATGAAAAAGTGATTGATTGCGGACATGAATTTTTTGTTAAAACAATCAAACTAAGCTTTGTCTTAAATGCTGAAAATGTACTAAAGTTATTAACAAAAAAGGAGCACATTCATGAATTCACTATATATTCAGCGCGCAAGTCCTTTCATTACCTATGGTACATATGGCGTATTCATTTTAGTTTCCTACTATTCGAGAATTATTTTAAATAAAGTACAATTTTATCCAAGTTGTAAACAGTGAAATGAGAATTTCCTTGATTTAAATTAAAAGAGTATATATATTTAAATGTAATATTAAATTTTTTTCAGTGTCAGCTTGGCAAAAGTATATACCGTTTTCAGCATTTATTACAAAGCAATTTTCAATATTAAGAGTGTTATTTGTTAAACTATCAGTAATAATCTGGAAATATTACATTTTTCCTACTTTTTAAAATCTTTTATTTTTTATAGTTGAGATGTTAGACCAATCAACTAATAGATTATTATTATTAACTATATATTTAAAAAAAACGAAAAATGTTTATGATATTGTTGATAAAACTAAAAAAAAAGTTTACTCTTTTGTCAGAGGGTCAGTAGTTTTAATAAGTAGAAGCAAATTTTTAAAACAGACGCAGTTATTGTTCGAGTTATTTTGTCAATATACCACCGCGAAGAAAGTAATGAAATTATTATATGAAAAATTAGTTTCTTCCAAAGATATTAAATTTAATACACTGTATAAACAAAGTCTTTGTTATGTATTAGATGATTTTTATAAAAAAAAAGCTTGACGCAATGCTTTAAGTTTTCCTTGCGTGGCATAGATCCTTTCTGCGAAAAGGATTTTATACCCAAACAGATGGTATTAATGTTGTTGACAACCGGGAACTTTTGCGAAGGATTAACATGTTCGATTTAACAGATTTGCTATAAAGCATACAAGGAGTACTCCCGCACAGAGCGAGAGCACTCTAGAGCAGATAAACGAATTCGCCATTAGCAGCGGAACTCACACACTAAAAGTTAATAGTTATCAAAATTTATAAAAGTATTTTAAAATTAAAAGACAAGCAAAAGAAACAACAAACTGAAAATTTTGCTTTTTGTCTTTAAATTGAAAAATGCCAATCGCATACGGAGCATGCGATTCCAGCGATTCGCAGCAAGTCAACAACAACTTCCAATTGGAAATGTCATTGCGAATCACTAAATGCATGAATATGTATTAATAGTCAGACTTTATTTTTACAGTGTTGTTTTTTTTATATCTTTCAACTTTTGTTAATTATTATAAAATAGAAATTAATAGATACTCTTATCCTCAAACGGACGATGTAGTTTCTAGTATCATCATCATAGAAATATAAAGCCCGTAGTCTCTGAAATGCATTGCAATATACATACATATATTTATAATAAAAAAAGTATATAATACATAATCTGATAAATTCTACTGATTTTCTAGGAAAACTTATGTCGAAGAGTACTAATCTGATGCGAACACCGTACACGGAAAAAAGTTTCCCGAGGAGTTGACTACTCTAATGTTCTTATTTGCAAACGTACAAATAATATAATATTGTCTCGACAAATAACTGCTTTTGTGTATTATATGTCAAAAGGTTTTATGATCAATTTTCTTGCGATTGCAGGATAAGTTAGATTTTATTGCCTCGATAAAAATCAAGTATTTTATATTTAAAAATAACTCATTGGAATTTCTGAAAGTTTGACAACTCTGACTTTTATTTAAACCCCTATTTAATAACTAGTTGATTGTTTTTTTCTGGGTGGGTTATTGCTGCCTTCTATAATTAAGCTTTTTTAAGACCAGTTTTATTGTTACATTTTGATAATTCATTATTGCCTTTGATCTTATTTTTAAGCTTTAATTAACATGTCAATTATTAATGGTAAATTTGCACTTTAAACTCATTTTTCTCTAAATTATATTTTTGACACTTCTAACTTTGAATCTCTATATTATAACTAAATAAATTTTTCACCTGCAAGGTTCTAAGACCGCTGAAAGTGTTATGGTCTTATAATAATTAAAGAATATTAATTTATTTTTATTCTTAAATTGAAAGAAAAAACCCTTTTAAAATATTTGGAAATGTTTTGAGGAATTTTGTGCTGTAATGCATATGTGTTATCTAACATTTAAAGAATATTTCAGTATAATATTTACTTATTCGCAAATATACATTTAATAATTTTGTAATTTTTTTTTTTGATGAAAATGATGTTAATTTTTGCTTACCTGAAGGGATCATCAAAATAGTCCGATGGAATTTGAAATAATTCTGGATTAATATCACTTCTGAATGCAAAGTCTTGAAATGTTACTTTTGCAGTGACTGTTGGCAGAATAGGTATGTCAAGTTTAACAGGAAAACCAGGAGGCAATTTCATCAACACAAACTGTCTTAATTTACTAAAATGCTTGAAAGGTGCGATAACTTCAAGTAGATTAAGCAACATATCTACTGTTAATGGAAATTCAGAGCTCATGGCAACAGTTGCTTTAAAGGATTTACTACTTTCTTTGTACACCAAACTCCTGCCAAGTAAAGGACATTGACCCGTTGGTGCAGCAAGATACTCTTCCCAAGGAATATTCGTCTCTGGAGGAGGGTTTAAAGAAGCTTTTCTAACCGGAGGCTATAACAACATTATTGTACATTTAAGAGTACATAGTTTCCGACTATGTAAAATTTCATGTAAAAACAGTCTCGAATCCAAACAGTGAGATATAAAAGAATAGAGATTAAACTATTTCTCTTTTCTTTTCCATCTCATACTTGAAATTCTCGAATTGAATTTATGATTAAGTAATTTTAAATGTCAACTCCCCATTCAAGTTCATAAATATATTGTTTTAAAAGTCGTTCATCAAGTGAAAAAAAGTACGTAATGTTTTCCATAGCAGTAAATTTTGATGTAAATTTTGTCAAGTGTTATTACAGGGTTACCACACTTTTGCTCATTTCAAATTCCCTCACTTTTCCAGGTTTTCCACATTTTTAAAACTACATTTATATTTTACCAAATTAGACAAAACTTAGACTTTTTACCTGTCTCTAAAGAATATTCTTATTCACTCGCAAAATGATTAGATACATGAAAATTTAATCATTATTCTTTTTCATAGAAATTAAGATTTTCAAAAATTTCCAATTCAATAACATATAAAAATACTACATATTATAAAACATAAAGATATCGATCACTTTAGATCGATATCTATAGTAATCGCTTCGCTTTCTTCATGTTTTATAATAATTAAAACTTGACAAGATCATTATTTTATATTATAAGAATATTGTTACTGTAACTTCTTCAAAAATTATTTTCATCATATCGATTCAATTATTCATTTCTAGAATTTTTAACTACAATAATTTGTCTTCAACTCAATTTTTAAAAAATAATAATTTTTGAAAAATTTGTTTGAGAATTTTCCAATCTTTTTGTTTACAATTCAATTTTACGAAATTTCGTTAATTCTGAAATTCTTCAATTTGAAACCTTTTTGAAAATTCAATTATTTTTAAAAATTCACGATATAATGCTTTCAATATTCAATTATAATCTAAAATTTTAACTAAAATTCATTTTTAAATCAATATTTATTAGAAAAATCTACAAGAATTCAATTATTTAAAAACAAAAATAAATATATTTTATTAAATAATTGAATGTTTCTTAAAATTGAATTATCATAAAGAATTTTATAAAAAAATTTTTAAATATTGAATTATCTTGACAAGTTTCAATAAAATTTTTAAGAATAATTTCATTTTTCGAGAAATTTCATTAAAATTGTATTAAAAATAATTTAACTTAGCCAAAAAATTTTATAAGAATTTTTGAAAATAATTCAATGCCTGTGAAATTTTAATTATTTACGAAAATAATTCAATGTTGGCGTAGAATTTTAATAAAATTTTTGAATATAATTGAATTTAGGAGAAGAATTTTATTATTTATAAAGATAATTGAAATTATGACGAGAATATTTGTAAATTTTTGAAGAAAATTGATTTGTTAAAAAGAATTTCATTAAAATTTTTGAGAATAATTTAATTCTTTGAAGAAATTTAATTAAAAACGTATTGAAAAAATACTTAAATTCTAATAAATAAATTGTAGCAAAGGTTTTTAGAATATTTTAATTTCTTTAATGAATATTTAAAAAAAAATGTTAATAATAATTATAGTTTTCGAGGAATAAAATGAAAATTAATTGAAAGTCTGCGATGAGTTTTATTATTTTTAATAAAAATAATTGAATTAAAAAAAAGAATTTTATTATTTATGAAAATAATTAAATGTTTGCGTAGAATTGTATTTTCAATAATCGAATTACAAATTATTGAATTGAAGAAAGTTTTTGAAAATAATTGAAATTTTGACAAGAATTTTATTAAAATTTTTGAAAATAATTGAATTTCTGCAATAATTTGTAATTGCTTTAAACTAATTTCAGAAGAATTTGAATTCTTAATTTTTTCTAATTAAATTCATTAAAAATTGAAATTTTACAAAATTTCAAATTACAACCTTTTGAAGTTTTAAAAAGTTTAGACTACCTTGCTTGGGTAGTACCTGGTAAATATAAAGAATTTACTAAAAGTTTAATATATGGGACTTGTTTACGCACTTTTTGATCCGCAAAATAAGTATGCGACGTCGAAAACGATATAGTTTTATTTAATTTTAACTCTTTGAGAATCAGTGCGTTGCTTTTAGGCAACATGAAGATTTTTTTGTTAACTGGTGCATAACTTTTTTTATTTGTAAAACTGAATAGTGAAACAGTAGTTTTTATCTAATCTAATAAATTGCCTATTCCAAATATTGATGATCTTCAAATAAAAAAACCTTAATAACTTTCCCTGAAAAGCTTGTTTAAAAATGAAAAGTCATGATTTTTTAAGAAAAAATTTGGTCCTCAAAAGGTTAAACATAAATTTTGAACTTGAAGAAATAATTGACCACAACAACAATATTTAAGTGCGCAAGTTTTTGAAACAATAAAAATGTTATATACTGTTTCAACTTTTTTATAGTTAATAAAAGGAATCATGTTCTTAAATCTACTTTGTGTAAATCCTGTTCCTGTTGATCATTGATCATACGATACATTAACTTGTCACTTAAATAAAGTTGTAATAAAACAAGAAAAATTTCCTTGTCAATGTATTTATGCATATACAGTAGAACCTCGATTATCCGAGGTAATGTGGGGAAGATGTACCTCGGATAATCGAAAACTCGGATAACACGGAACCAATGAAAATTTCAAAATTTTAAATTATTTTTCATGTGTTTAAAGTGTTAGAATAATATTAAATGACAAAAATGGACGAAATTTTAAATGCAATGATCACAAATAGTGGTTTTGTAAAATTTATTTTCCAAATTTAGTCGCTCGATCCGTTTTATCCGAGTTATTCCGCATTATCCGAGCATGTTTAGTGCCTCGGATAATCCGGAATCTCGGATAATCGAGGCTCGGATAACCGAGGTTCTACTGTATTGCTCATTTCAAGTGAATTGTCATATTGTGCTTATTTAAATAATTCTCAATTCTCAAATTTTTACCAACTTTTATCTCTTAAATTTAATACATTAAAAATGTGACCAATAAAGTGCTAATTGTTAATATAGAAACTAACAATTTATTTCTTTGCAAACGTTTCTGACAATGACACAAGGATCTAAATTCATTTATGTTGAATATTTTATCCAGTCAAATTGCTCGTTAAATCTATGATTTATTATTACAAGATTATTTCTAATAATGTTTTTAAAAACAAGTTGAATATGTATGACAATTCAATTGAATTGAACCACAATATACATATAATAAAAAATTAGTAATAATTGAATAAATATTTTAATAATTACTCCTTTCAATCTTTGTGAGCTTCCTTTAGTTAATAATTCCATTATTGCTTTATTTTTTTGCAAATCTTCTTCACTTAAATGCTCTCGTCTTTTCCTACTAGCCAAAATCATACCATTGATTTGATAGAAGTCTGCGTTAAATGGTCCCACCATTTCCTTTATTATTATTATTATTATTACAATAATTAAAACTTATCCATTGTCATAACGCGTAAAATTAATGTCTTCTCTTATTTATGTAAGAATAAACTTATAATGAATAAAAAACAATTTGTATTTACAAATAAAGAACATACCCTTTTATCTTCTCTAAAAATCCAACCGGTTTGAGCTCTTGAAAATGTTATTCCTTTTGTTGACATCTGTGCTGCCATAATATCACTAGACATTAGAATGTCAACTTCATCTTCTATTTCCATTTCAGTATCCTATAAATAATAAATTGAGCTTATTATTATTATTATTATTATTATTATTATTATATTATTTTAGTATCAAGTGGAATTTATTTAATAGTAAACTTGACATTGTTGAATGATTGATTCATTTTGAATTTGCATAAAGGACTGTCCAGAATGGATTTTCTTTTATTGAGAACGTAATCGCGTTTATGTTTACGTACTCAATTCTGGATAATCCTTAGGAAGAAAAAATTTGGAGTAATGTTAAAAATGATAATTTTCTTTTATTTATTCATGATCATCATGAAATTTTCTTTGTCATTTTGTAAAATGAACCAGATAATAATGTTTATTTTCAAAATTGATATCCAATTGAAAATGAATCAAAGCAAAATGTTTCTTGTCTAAATCAAAAGCATTATTATAAATATTAAAAAAGAATGAATATTAGAAACCTCGTATCTCACTCTTTGAAAGAGTTTAGCTTTATTATCGAGGACTGTAAGAGATTTACTAGGTTTCTGATCGCCATTAAATATAAATGTTATATCTCCTTTTGTCCATCTCATATCATTGAAATCTGCAAGTGTTGTGTCAATTCTTATTGAAGCTCCACTTTTATGAATTTTACATACATCAGATGGTAAGGTTCTTGAAACCAATGGAACTGAAATATTACAATTATTATAATAGTAATTTTCAAACATTTTACTTGTTTGATTTGCCTTAACGAAACAAAAAGTTCAACACTAAGACAAATTCATTGGCCCTTCTCATTAAATACTGCGACTTGTTAAAATTAAAGATTGTAAAGAGAATGAAATTAATTATTTAGAAAAAGTTTTATAAGATAAGACATATTTTGTACATTACTCACCCCAACTTTGAAAGTCCCATTTCAGTTCCATGTAAAAATCACCCATTTGTCGTAATGCTGCTACCAAGTTTGGTCTTCTCTCTTCCATTTGTTCTCTTGCTTGCTGTTTCAATTTCCTTACTAATGATAGAACTGCAAATCAAACAGAATTTTTCCAGGTTTTTAAAACTATACATTCATATTTTACAAAATTAAATAATTAATCATTATAATTTTTCCATAAGAATTAAAATTCTTCAAAAAATTCAAATTCAAACCTTTTTGAAATTAAACAACTTATAAAAAATTGCAATAAAACATGAAGGAATCAATCGCTCCGAGCCTTCGACTCGGAACAATCAATATTTTCATGTTTTATAATAATTAAAGATGTCCGAAAGATAAAATAATTATTTTATATTATAAGAATATTGTTACTGTAACTTATTCAAAATTACTTTCATCACTTCAATTCAATATTATTGATTTCCACAATTTAAAACTTAAATTCTTCTTTAAATTAATTAATTTTAATCATTTTTGAAAAAATTCTTTGAAAATTTTCATATCTATTTGTTTACAATTAAATTTTATGAAATTTCGATCATTTGGAAATTCTTCAATTAGTAATAATATATAATATATTAGAAAATAAAAACTTGAAATAATTTTTAAAAAAAGGCAATTAAACTTTAAAAAAAAATTAAATCTACACAATTTTCAGTTAAAAGTATGAAAAATTCAAACATTCAAAAATTATAATTTGAAACCTTTTCAAAATTCAATTATTTCTAAAAATGCACGCTATAATACTTTCTCTATAAATTTGAATAAGTAAAAATGTTTACTATGTAATTGGAATTAGTGACTGACTTTTTGCTTTTGAATTACACTTGAAACCTTGGTTATACGGAATGTGATGGCGCTGAAACGGGATGAGGGGTGAAGGGAAGGGTCGTGCTTGACTCGATGATGTCAGTAGCGTACCTATTACTGGATCCTCTTTCCCCTTGATATAACCAAAGCCTCAAAATTGTTAGTGAGCTATCGGACAATATTAATTAATTTATTTATTTGTCTACAAATGTAATTTAATAAATTCAAATTATGAATTTTACACTATATTAATAAATTCTAAAGATATAAAAAAAATTAGCAGGCGATTCTATTTCCACCGAGGGCAAAAAGAATCTACGTACTGTCCTGCATATTTATACTTTTTCGTCAAGGTGACCTATTTGGATTATACGGACACACACCCGAGTTGTCCGTATAACCAAGGTTTCAGTGTAGTAAATTTTACTATTAAATTACAGTAGAACCTCGGTTATCCGAGCCTCGATTATCCGAGATTCCGGATTATCCGAGGCACTAAACATGCTCGGATAATGCGGAATAACTCGGATAAAACGGATCGAGCGACTAAATTTGGAAAATAAATTTTACAAAACCACTATTTGTGATCATTGCATTTAAAATTTCGTCCATTTTTGTCATTTAATATTATTCTAACACTTTAAACACATGAAAAATAATTTAAAATTTTGAAATTTTCATTGGTTCCGTGTTATCCGAGTTTTCGATTATCCGAGGTACATCTTCCCCACATTACCTCGGATAATCGAGGTTCTACTGTAGTAGGAACGACTATTTATTAGTAAAATCAGCTAAATCAAAAGCAAAACGTCAGTCATTAATTCAAATTAAAAACCATTTTTACTAATTCAAATTTAGAGAGTTATTATCTAAAATTTTAACTGAAATTCATATTTAAATCAATTTTTATTAGAAAATTCTACGAGAATTTAATTAATGTAAATAAAAAAATATAATTTATTGAAGAATTGAATGTTTCTTAAAATTCAATTCCCATAGAGAATTTTATCAACAGACTTTTAAATAGGTAATTAAAATTTTTTTGACGAATTTTAATAACATTTTTAAGAACAATTTAATTATTCAAGAAAAGATTTTGAAAATAATTCAACTTTCGCCAAGAATTTAAAAAAATTTTTTGAAAATAATTTAATTTTGGAGAAAAATTTTATTATTTATAAAGATAATAAATTCGAAAAAAAATATGAATTGCACTTTTAAAACAGTGTTCATTAAAAAGATTGCTTCAGGTGGAAATCCGACTACTGTCGGATTCTTACTTTTTTTTTGTAAATTTTTTTAACGAATAAGAAATTTTTTCTTGTAAACATGATTGGTATACTAGTTTTGTAGGAACATTAGGAACAATTTCACATAAAAGAAATTTTAAAGAAATTTTAATTTAATTTTTTTAAATTTAATTTTAATTATTAATATAAACGCGATTTCTCCAAAATTTTAATAAATCTAAAAAAGTCATATGTTGTTAAAATATTAAAAATAATTGTAAAAATTTTAATGTTATTATTTTTTGTACAGCTACCAATGTATTTGAATTTTTGGAAAGTATTTAAAAATATTGAAAATAATTGAATTTTAAAAAATTAGAATGCATAAATTCTAAGAATTATTTTTATCAAAACTATTTTAATATAATATTTTTGTAGCTAATTTTCATTAATTACCATTTTTAAATTTACACTTAAAGATTTTTCATTAAAATTTTTGAGAAATCAATTATTTTTAAAATTTGCAATTAAAATTCTTTTAAAGTTTATTTTCAAAAATTTTTATCAAACACTTTGAAAAAAATCAATTATTTTTGCAATTAAATTTTACAAAATTTCAATTATTGAAACTCTTTTTTTTCATTGTAAATTTGGAAAATTTATTTAGTAATTTATAAAAATAGTTGAATTGTTTCAAAGAAATTATTAAAAATTTTAGGAAATATTTGAATTCCTCCGAGAAATTCAATTAAATATGTTTTGAAAATAATTGAATTCCTGCAAAGAATTTTACTATTTATAAAAATAATTGAATTCTTGCGAAGAATTTTACCATTTATAAAAATAATTGAATTGTTTCGAAGGATTTAGTAAGACTTTAGAAAATAATTGAATTTATTCGAAATATGTTAAAAATTGTTTTAAAAATTCAATTCTTCCGAGAAATTTAATTTCGATATTATTTTCAAAATTTGCAATTAAATTTTACAAAATTTCAATATTTATTGAAACTCTTTTCAATATTTATTGAAACTCTTTTCAATTGTAAATTTCGAAAATAAGTTGCATTTTATACTAAAAATTATTGCAATATTCGGAAGAAAAGTCGAAAACTTGTCGTAATTTTTGAAAATAAGTCGAAAAAAGTCGAAAATGTTATAATATTCGAGGCCTGAATTATAGGAAGGCCTTTTAAAATAATTGAATTTCTTTAATGAATTTTAATAAATTTTTTAAGAATAATTGAAATTCTGCGATGAGTTTTATTAGTTATGAAAATAATTGAATTATTGCGAAGAAATTTATAAAGAATTTGTAAATAATAGAATTCCTGTGAAATTTGTATTATTTAATTAATTAATTCCAAAATTTGAAAATCATATCGGATTAAAGAATTGAATTTTATTATTATTAATTTTTTTAAAACTAATTGTTGTTTAATATCTGTCAATACTTTTCTCACATCCAAAATTGAATGACTTAGTATTGTAAAATTTAACTAAACTTTTTTTGCGTGATTTCAATCTTAAATGCATAAAATTAGATTTTAAACTAGAGTAGAATACAGAAATGAATGTAACTTACTAGTCTGCCTGTCGCCATAACTGATAGCCTCTGCTAATGGGCTCCAACCAGCCACATTTTTTACTTTCACGGGCACTCCATGAGCAAGCAATAGTTGAACACATTCTGAAAACATTAAAGATTGAATACATTTATCAAGTTGTGCCTTATGTTTAGACTTTTAGAGCCTGAGCTGAATAATATATGTAGAATAATAAAATTATTGTCAATTACCTTTTCGACCCAACATCACAGCCAAATGTAGAGGAGTATTTCCTGAAAAAATGAGATTGTGTAGCAGAGAGAAGATAAAATAAAACAAGATTATAAGAAAAATTGATGTCGAAAGTAAATTTACCTTGTTTATCTTTTTGAGTAAGATCATGAGTTCTAATTAGAGTACTCATAGTTTTAATGTCTCCATTATAAATGCACTTGTGTAAGGGAAAGTCTTCACAAAATGTAGATTCTGCCATGTTTTAAATGCTCCTTTCTTACTATTAAAAGTATGCTTCCGATATTTTTAACATTACTTTCTTAAAACTATAGAGTCTAAAAACCAAAACTCTTAAGAATTATTTTTTTACAGATTTTTAAAATGTCTGTAAATTGCCCATTTTGCACCAAACATTTTTCAAGATTTCTATCAGCTCGCAATGCAAATTTTGAATCATCATCCTGCAAAGCTTAGAAAATGTGATAAATATTTAAAATAAAACTTGAGCAAATATTACAGTGCAATGGTCAGGTAATATTGGCATACAGTGTTGAAGCAAAAGCAATACATATTAAGAGAGAATTGAAGAAGATTTAAGTCTTTAAATTCTGACAAATCTGTTATTGACAAATTATCGGAAATGTTTTCTTCTAAAATATCAACATTTCTGAATATATTATTTAGAAACTGACATTAATTATTCGTCAAAATATTGAAATACAATATTGCCTCATTTTTTAATGAAGAAGAATGTTATTAAAATTTTTAGACTTATTCTCTAAATTTAAATTAGTGAAAAGTCGCGTACACTAATTCAATGTAGAAGAAATGTTTACTAATTTCTTAGTTAAATTTTAATCATTATTTTATTTAGTAGATTTCAATTTTTTTTTACTCAAGTTGAAAATTAAAAAATATTATAAAAACTAGTAGAAACTTTTACTGATTCAGAATAAGAGGGTATTTTTTATGAGCGCTGTACATTTTTAGGCATTTTAAAAATTTAAAAACAATCGCAATCGCCGCGTTTTTTTAGGTTAATTTTTTATAACATTTAAAAGAAAAAAATATTCTTTATCACTACCAAGTTGTAATAAGTTTATATATATAAATTATTAATAAAAAAATCTCCATTTTTGTTTAGTCCTCATTTAAATGAGGAAGAGAAATTTTCAATCTTGTTAAGAACTATTAAGTGGTATTTTAAAGTACTAAAAAAATAATTAAGTTATTAAAGTAATAGTTGATAAAATAACGTCTTACATATTTTGTGAATCAGACTCAAATTACATTAAGTTAATGTATAAAACCTTAATATTTTTTTATTCAACATCTATTGATATAATTAAATGTTTAATTTTTGCATCAAGTATACGATAAAAATGAATATTTACCATTTTTTCTATTTTAGATTTGATGGGTATTATATTCTGCTTCACATTATATTTATTCAATATAATCAATCTTAGAAATTTCACAAATATGGAGCTGTCAAGTGTCCTCCTGGTACAATAATGCTCTGCTATCGATTCAAGTACCTTTCATTTAAAGATTTCGTATAATTTATCTTTTATTTATATATAGAGATATATATTTTGATGTTAAGTACAGGATGAGCATAAAATGCATAGAAAGTGCAGACAAATCATTTGTACACATACAAAATACAATTTCAACACACCATTGATTGCACTATGCATGTTTTGATTAAACTGTTTTTATTACTTTTAATAGTGAAAATATCAGTTTGTTTAAGGCTAATATTGGTAAAACTTGAGTAAAATACATTAGTTTTAGTAGAAAATAAGATTTACTTTTATGTAAAAAATAAAAATATTTAAAAGATTTAAATTAGAGAGTACATACAAGGTATATAAATGCTCTTTGTGAAACGTTCATTGGGTGGGGATGTATACTTCGTAAGGCTATATCCACAATAGGCTCTCTTTTTATGTCCTTAAAGGTACACTCTCACCTCTACTGCCTGCCTGCCTGCGCAGGCAGCAGGCGCAATGAGAGTGAGAGAGAAAAAACATTTAATTTGAATTTTCTGACTCTCTTACTCTTATGTGTTACCATGCCAATCTGCAAGCAGACAGGCAGTAGGAGCTGTGCTAGCGCCTTTAATTCTTGAATACATCAAATAAAGGTGATTATATACTTCCGGTGATACTTTTGTCATGAAGCCACCATTCGATTTCATGAGAATTTTCATGGTCGTATCACTAAATTAGATTGATTAGTTGCAAGAGAGATAGTGCTATGTATCTGACTATCTCTCTTGCACTTTTACGCTTAGCTTACACATGAGATCGCACCCTAAAGCTGCGGTTACACCTCTGCAGGCTGCCTGCCTGTGCAGGCAGGAGCAACGAGAGTAAGGGAGAAGTTTGAAGTCACTGACTCTCTTACTCTTGTACGTTACCATGACAACCTGCAGGCAGGCAGACTGCCTGCAGAAGGTGTAACCGCAGCCTTAAGCAGAATGAGAAATCTCAAGCCTGTGAATACAGCATAAGGCTGCGGTTACACCTCTGCAGGCAGCCTGCCTGCCTGCAGGTTGTCATGGTAACGTACAAGAGTAAGAGAGTCAGTGACTTCAAACTTCTCCCTTACTCTCGTTGCTCCTGCCTGCGCAGGCAGGCAGCCTGCAGAGGTGTAACCGCAGCCTTAGTTTTATTTGTTTTGTTTGATTTGACAGAAAAGTTTAAAAGCCGTTTAAAAAAGACGAATAATTAAAATTATGGAACGGCAAAAGTTAAATCAAGTTTTAAAACTGTTAGACGAAGCAACAATTGAATCATCAAATGGAGAAATAACAATAGACGGCTTAATACCAGTGGAAAATAAAATTAAACACTTAAAAACTGTACTGAAAGAAATGAATGCGAGAATTTTATATCTCAAATCAGTTAATGGAGAAAGTAAGTTAGAAAATTCGAATATTATTTAAATTAATAATTAATTATTTAAATTTAAACTTGATTAAAACTAGGTTTGTATTTAAATTATATATTAATTTCCTACTCATAACCTCAAAAACAATAACAAAGTCTAAAATTCGAAATTGTTGAATCATTTGAAAATTTTAGATAAAATTACTGAATTGCCTGAGAATGATTTAAGCACAACTTTTGATGAATTAACAGAAGAAATTACTGCACAGTATATTATTAATACTAATGGAGTAAATTTAGGTCTTGAAACTTATGCTTTGGAGGAAATATTGAATAACAAGGATACTCATGAATCGAAAGAGTAATATTTATTGAATAATAATTTATTAAATGGATTTTTTAAAATTATTTTAAAGATTATATTAATACTTTCTTTTTTCCAATAGAAAAGTTGTACAATTATGCAATACACTTTTTAATTGCAACGATAGTGCATTAACTATTCAAAGCGAAATAAATGAATTGCAGAAAAAATTACTTCATCTCAAAATTAAAGATCTACAAGAAGTGCAAAAATATCGAATATTTTTAAAGGAACAAGAAGAATTGAGAGTTAATAAACTCGAACAATCAAATCCTACAGAAGCAAGGTAAATATAAAAAATGAACAAAATTTTCTATTAAAAATTTTCTCATAAATTACTGATTGCAATAAAAATTAAAACTTCAAAATTTTATATTTAGAAACTTTATAATTAATTTTTTTTCAAAGTGACGCAAAATTATTATTCATGGTGGCTACATGTCAGAAAAGTCAGGAAAAAAATTTTGTCAGTAAATTCAGGGAAATTCTAAAAATTAAGACTTGTTTCGACTTATTTTAAAAAATTGCGACTTTTTTTCGACTTTTCTTCCAAACATTGCAACAAATAGTCTAATAAATAAATAATCTAATATAATATTTTTTACAAGTATTTTGTTATAATTTTTAAAATTCAACTTTTGAAGAATTTTCATTGCAAATTTTGAAAAAATTGAATTATCAAAAATGTTAATTTTTATTAATAAAAATTAGCTTTTAATTTTTTAAAATTCAATATTTTCAGTATTTTCAAATACATATTTCCGAAAGTTCAAAAACATAGAAAAAATAATAACATTTTAGAATTATTTTTAACAGTTTAGAGAAAAAACCATTGTCAAAATTTTGAAATAATATTCATCGATAAATTAATTAGAGTTTTCTTTAAATTATACAAAAATTCTTTTAAAAAATTAAATTAATTTCGAAAAATTAGATTAAAATATTTTTAAAAACTAATTATTAGAAGTATTTTATCTTAATTTTTTTAAAATTCAATTACCTTCGAACAAAATAAATAAAAATATATTTTTTTTAGACTTATTAAAATTTCGGAGAAATTTATATATTAATTATTTAATTATAATTATAATTAAAATTCTTCAAAAATTTGATTATATTTATTTTTTTTTTAAAATTCAATTATTTTTAAAAGATTTTACAAAATTTCAATTGTTTGAAAATTTTTCAATATAATTAAAAAACTATTATCTTTCAAAAATTATTTTAAAATATTTTAAAAAATTAATTGTATGAATTTCTTTATTATAAATATTATACCTTGAGAACTTATGAAAAAAAACACGGACAGTTACAATTATAATAAAAAAATAGAATATTTAAATAATTAAATTCCAGAAGTACTTTCTGAAAATTATTTTAAATAGGTAATTGATTTAGAGATGAAGTTTAGTTGAAAATCAGAAAATAATTGAATTTAAAGTTTTCCGTAAACTTTCATATTTTCCTGTAAAAAAAAATGTTGTCAGGGAAAACAATTGAAATATCAATAAATTGTCAGGGAAATTGAAAAACTGAAACTTGTGACCACCCTGTTATTGTGATAAAAATTTGATTTGAAGAAGAAATAAATAGAATTTAATATTTGCAAAATTTCTTTTAGATTCAAGCAGAAGATAGAACTGTCAATTCAAAAGATTAATTTAATGAAGAAACTTATAATGAAACTCATATCAGGCTCCACTAATTTATTAAACAACGATGAAACAGATATGTTAGAGTTATTGAAAAAGCATAGAAAAATAATTAATATGGAAACTATTTCGAATATGCTACAAGAGCAAGATAAGAGTTCTGATTAATATTAATATTCGAAAATAGAAAAATAGTCCTGTAAGTAAAACTAAAGTATTTAAGAAAATTGAAATTTAAGAATATTTTTGTATAAATTAATATTAATTAGAAATGATATTAAAAAATAGAACAATAGTCTTGTAAATGTAAGATTAAAGTATTAAAAAAAAATTAAACTAAAATTTTAAAATATTATCTTAATTTTAACAATAAGGTCTACAACATTTACTATATTATATTATTAACGAATGTTAATTTCAAGCATTAGATAAAAGTTTTTGTTCAAGGACAAAGTAGATATTTTAATTATTTTGATTGAAAACAAAAGGATTCCTTTTGTTGTATTCATTTTATCACTGTTGGCCACAGCAGCAGATAAACATCTATGATCTATGCGAGAAAAGTCCATTGTTCAGAGAATGTATGCAACGTATATAACTATATACACACTTTTACAACAGCTGTCAGTGGCCTATAGATGGGATACAATACTGACTGGCAGAAAGTATTTACCAGCGAACAAGTGATGATGTTGTTTGCTTTTTAAAAAAAATCTCATGTTTTCATAATAAATTATTTCTCATTTAAGTAGTTCAATAAACAATAGTTTCACAAAATGACTGAGGAAGAAATAACATTAAAAGTATTATCTCTCAATTGTTGGTAAGTCTCAATTATATTTAGAGGTTATCTTTACCATATTTTCAAATATATTTTTAATACTTTAATTTTGGCGATTTTTCTCCAAATGGATATTTTGTTACTTTCTACACAAATAATGTAATTTTGTTCTTATTATTTATTTTCCTCTAACTATTAAATACCTATTTTTCAAATTCAATTTTTTATTACTTATAAAGGCTTCGCATTACTTTTAAATGCTTTAAATATAGTTTAAATCGGTTAATATATAGTTGAAATAAAAAAATTATTCTCAAAAATTGTAACAAAATTCTTAGTAATAATTAACAAAAATTTAATAAAATTTGAATTGAAATAAAATTGAATTTATTCATCCATTCACTCAAAAATATTAAGAAAATTTTAAGAAAAAAATTTCAATTACTTTTACAAAAATAATAGAATTCTTTCTGAGGAATTAAATTATTTTCAATAAATTCTTTTTTAATAGAAATTCTCGAAATAATTCAAATATTTAAAAAATAATTTATTGAATTCTTGGAAAGAAATAAATTATTTTTTAATAATTTTGATAAAATTTGTTTATAAGAATTCCATTATTTTCAATTAGAATTTTATTTAAATTTCTCGAAAGAATCCAGTCATTTTCAAAATTGTTAACAAAAAATTTTCTTTAAAAAAATGAATTATTTTCAAAAATTATAAAATTTCTTTCACAACAATTATTCAAAAACAATTTTTATAAAATTTATTTGGAAGAATTCTATAATTTTCATAAAATAATAAAATTTTTCGCAGAATTTCAATTGTTTTTAATACAATTTTTAAATTTATTCCTCGAAAAATGCAAATATTCTAAAAAATTTTATTAAAATTCTTTGAAAGTTTTCTATTGTTTTCCAAAATTTTGATAAAATTCTTTGAAAATTTCAATTTTTGTAAAATATTTTGGTAATAATATTTAAATGTGTATTTTAAAAGTTTACAAATCAATTGAAATAAATTTTATGTTTTAAAGAAAAATTTGGAAAATATTTCAATTTTACAACAATGCGTTGAATTGAATATATTATCACCAGGAAAAGAAAATCAAGTAAATATTTTTGATGAAAATCAGGAAAAAGTCAGGGAAATACGGAATCAAATTTTTTTGATTTTTATGAATCGACTGAAACAATTTTTTTAGTCGTCAAATTTAATTTCTGGATAGCTATGTTTTTTACTACTTTTTACAGCCTCAAAGCAACTTTTTATAATTTATTATCTAGTACGAAGTATGCTGATAAATTTTTGTTTTCTTGAAGAATTTTCGAGAAATTTCAACTTTTTAAAAACTTGATTTTTAATTTTCTTGTACAATAAAAGCCATTTATTTCATATTTAATTATTAATTTATAATTATTTCCAGGGGTATTCCCTATGTCTCGAAAAATCGAATCGCTAGAATGGATGCAATTGCGGATAAACTTGTCGCTGATGAATTTGATATTGTGTGCCTGCAAGAAATTTGGTCTATTCTTGACTTTAAAATGTTTAAAGCAAGAACTCAAGAGCAACTTCCATATTCACATTATTTTTATAGGTAAATTAGAAGGAGAAAATTTTCCAATTTTCCAATTTTTCTTCTTTTTATATTTTTACTCAACTAATAAAATTCTCTTGAAGAATTTCTTTAAATTTTTTTTAAACAATGGAGTTTCTTTAATAATTTTAATTGCAAATTTTGAATGTAATTGAATTGTATAGAAAGAACTTGTTTCAAGTTTTTAAAATAATCGTTTTGTTAATAATCGAAAGTAAAAATTTTAATAAAAATTCTAGAAAATAATAAAATTCTTCTCAGAATTTTATTATGATTTTTTAAAATAATTGAATTCTTGCCAAGAGTTTTATTAATTGTATTAGAATTTTTAAAAAATATTTAAATTTTTTCGATAAATTTTAGTTAACATTTTGTTGAAAATAATTGAATTCTTGACTTAATAAGTGAATTTTGTAAATTTTGAATATAAAATTATTGAAAAATTGAAGCCAGATAATAAAATTATTAATATACGTGGATTTTCAGTGGCGTTGTGGGATCAGGAGTTTGCGTCTTCTCTCGCTATCCAATTCTAGATGTTATGTTTCACAGATGGTCCGTAAATGGTTACGTACATAAAATTCATCACGGCGACTGGTTCGGTGGAAAAGGAGTTGGCCTTTGTAAAGTTAGAGTACAGAATATGGATGTTAATGTCTACATTGCTCATGTAATTACAATTTTCCCAACATTTATTCTATATATACACTTCTATATATCTTGTTTTCTTCTAAAGAAATTAAATTACACACAAATTTCACAACAACGAATTGTTTATAATCAACAATAATTGTTTTGCACTTTCAAATGAACGACGATCTTTTTTTTTCTTCTTTTAATTTGTACTCTTGAATTAAAAAATTATTTTTTTTTCGTAGAATAATTTTTAAAAATATTGAAATAGAAAAAAATTTCTTTCATCAAGTTGAAAACTTTAGAACAATATTTTTCACATGCAAAAAAAAAATTCTTTTTCAAATATTTGATAAAAATTTGTAAGTTAAAAAAAAATTTGCTTAGAGAAGTACTTTTTTCTCAATTCGTTGATCATAAACGTTATAAAGTGTACCAATGTTACAATGTGTAAATTTAAATAAATAAAGAATTTATTTTATTTAATTTCTTTAGAAACAAATTGTTATTTAAAGAAAATTGTTACTTTCTTTCAAAAAATGAATGAATGAATGTAATAATCATAATTATTGCGAAGAAAAGTAATTAATCAATTGATATTTCTTTTTCTTTTCTGAAATTAATTACAGTTGCATGCTGAATATGATAGAGAAAATGATGAGTACACGGCGCACAGAGTTTTGCAAGCGTTTGACACTGCTCAGTTTATCAGAATGACAAAAGGCGGTGCGGATGCGGTGATACTTGGTGGTGATCTCAATACGGAACCAGAAGATTTGGCTTATCGCTTAATTTGCGGTGTCGCCGGCTTGCATGATTCCTGCTCAAATAATTCTACCTTTATAGGGACCAATGAATGTGCCAAGAATAGTTACACAAGTTCAAGTTTGGTCAACAAATTGCCAAATGGCAAACGTATCGATTATATTTTGTATCTAGGTTCAAATAAATTTGCGGTAAGAAACATCATTTTTTTAACATTAACATTTTACATATTAATTCATTTAGATTTAATTTAATTTAATTTAATTTAATTTAATTTTTAGGTACAAGTTATAGATTTTTATCTACCTTTCCCAGAACGTGTTCCACAGAAGAACTTTAGCTACTCCGATCACGAGGCAATTATGGCTCATTTAAAAATAACTAAAGGTAATAGTCATATAATACTAATTATAGTAATAAAGATAGTAATGTTATAATTATTAATATCAACATTATATGTGACTGTCCACGAGAAAACAGGGCTTAGGTCCAAAAAATAAATTTTGAGTTTTTTATGGTAATCTATGTTGCTTTTTCAAATGCAAAAGTCAAAAGTTAAAAATATCAATTATTTTCGACAATATATCGTTTTAAAGATGGGTATGTCAAGCGTAGTTAACTTCAATCGTCGACTGTCCACGACAAAACACGGCTTAGGTCCAAAAAATCAATTTGAGTTTTTTATGGTAATCGACAGATTTTATATTGCTTTTTCAGATGCAAAAGTCAAAAGTTAAAAATATCAACTACTTTCGACAATATATCGTTTTAAAGTTGGGTATGTCAAGCGTAGTTAACTTCAATCGTAGTACTTCAATCGCTCGCCCTGTGAAATTCACGTTTGGGAGCTAAGCCCTGTTTTCTCGTGGACAGTCACATATGATTAGTATTCAGGATATAGATATCAATTTTTGATTTATTGAAATAATAATAATAATAATAATAATAATAATGATATTCCCTTCCGAAATTTTTTTTAAAAAAAGAAGTAAGTAAATATTTCGATTGAAATATCGAAAAATATGACATAAAACCAATATGTCTATACTTTTACCTTGCACGGATCGAAATATCTACTTACTTATAAAATAATAATAATCTATGCTAATAATCAGTTAAAGTTTCTGTGTAAATCTGGAAAATTCTAGAAATTTCATATCACTTTTGTTGTAATTATAGTTGAAATTTTTATTAATTCAGATTTAGAGAATTTTTTTTGTGAGAAAAATTTAGAAATTATTTTAATTTTTTTTTTAATTTTAAAAGATATAAAGTACCTATTTTATAAACAGCATTATAATTCTTGAAAGTTTTATAATTTTCAGTCTTAAATAATTTAATTCTTACGTAGAATTTTATAAAAATTTCTTAAAGTAATTGAATTTATTCGAAGAATTTTATGAAAAACTTTTGAAAATAATTCTATTCTCACGACGAATTTTATCAAAATTTTTTAAAATAATTAAATTTTTTTAAAGAATTTCATTAAAATTATAGAAAATAGTAGGTTTTTTATTAAAAATTAATTTTAAAACAATAATAATTCTTTCGAGTAATTTAGATAACATTTATATTGAAAATAATTGAATTCTTAGAAAGAATTATTTTATTTATAAAAATTTTCAAATAATTGAATTCCTCCGAACAATAAAATTTAATTATTTTTTAAAATCATTGAATTCTTTTAAAGAATTTTATTATTTATAAAAATAATTGAATTTTTTCCTATAATTTTATTAAAATTTTGCCTTGAAATTCTTTCAAGGCATTTAATTGATTTGAAATAATTCAAATCATTTGAAGAATTCGTCTAATAATAATAACCGAATATTAATACTATTAATTAATAATAATAATAATTGTTTGTAGGAAAGAATTCAACATCCAACTTCGACGTGAGAGATTCACTGAAGGAAGCGATCAACATTTGTGGTTTGGCCCTGAAGAGCGTACGACGACAGAGGATATGGTACTTAATATTCAGTTTGCTATTAGCTATTCCTTTGATGTATTCAATGGGACTTGAATATTCATCAACGTCAATTGGACTGAGCATTGGTATCAATATAGGCCGACTTCTCGGTACCGCGGTTCTATGCTACTCCTTATTTATGAGTTCCATATGGAATAGTGTCGAGAAAAATGCATTGAAAGCCGGTCATTCGGCAATGGAAATTCATCTCAATCAACTAATTAATAATTACGAAAGAAAATAAATTATCCATCATTTTTTATTCCATTTTATTAGGTATTAAGAATTACTTTCTTACGAATTCAATTTGTTCATCAACTTTTTCTTTTAAAAAGAATCTAAAGTTTATTTATTATACATAGTTCATGCCTTTCGGCTTTTAACGAAAAAAAGAATCTTAAGTATTTTATGAAGGTCGGAAAGAAATTGTAATTTTTTTTTTTTTTTGCATTGCTCAATTGTCCGTCCGTAAAAATTCAAATGTTCAAACATTAAATATTTGTGTCTTGTCAATGAATAATTTTTGTTTAGATTGAATTTTTATTTTTCGTTTCACAATTTTTTTTTTAAATTCTAATAAGCTAATGGGAAAAATATTATTTTATAAGAAATCTATTTTAATGCTCCAATATAGATTCAGGTTAGAACTATTTTATAGACTTTTTTGATGCATTTACCAATTGTAATTTAAAATCTAAATCTATTTATCAGTATTTTATTGATTTATCGAAATAAAATACTGTGAATTTACCGAAGCATTATATGCCTTCCAAAATGTCTCGCATTAGTTTAAAATAATAATCTTCACTATATTTAATATTAAATTTAAAAACTTAATAGTAAGTAAATTAATATTCTTAAATATTAATTCAATTATTTTAATTTAAAAAAATTAAAAATTTGTTATCTAAATTTCGTAATTGAGTGAGAATTTATTTTGTTTTTTAATTATGTAATAAAAAGGCCTAAAAGAAAAAAATAATCACAAAACAATTTTAATCATTATTGTCAAAGATTTTTAAACAAGTAATATTCAATTATAAATAATAAATATTTTTAAAAACCCGTCAAGTGATTGTAATGCATGCTTTCAAAAAAATGAACTAATTTTCATACGAAATAATTTGAATTTAATACAATTGTGTTTAAAATCTAAGCTATTTAATAGCAAAACAAACAGTATTACCATTCTTGAAATGAAGAAAAGTAAAATTAACAAAAATGCAAGATTTTTCAAGGATAATATCGAAAAAATAATTAGATCCCAGAGAAAATTTAGTTTTATCGAATGTATTTTTGCTATTTAAGTAGATAACAATTAGTCTAAAAGTAGTTCCATCGTTTACAGTACAGAAATACATGTTCATTATATTTTTAAGTCATTCGAAAAACCAATTCTGTATATCTTAATATCAACTAGTTTATAGTCTTTTTTATAATAAAAAAAAAATGTATAACAATTCATTTTGTCATTATTTTTAAACTGTCAAGTTTACTATTGAGAAATAATCATTGGTTAACAGGTTTGCCACAGGTCAGGGAAATCAGGAAATTTAGGGAAAAATCATGGATTTTTATTAAAGTACTGGAATTATTTAATTTTTTAGTAGGGGAGACTGGGGCGAAAAGTTAAACTGCAATTGCAATTTTAATTATAAAAGGGTGTTATCACCCTAAATAAATGTCCGGAGTTGTGTGCAATTCTGTTCATTTTTGTGGTGTCTATATTAAAAGTTTTTTTTTAACTTACTTAATTGAAAATTTTTTCGAAAAAGAAAATATCAACTTTTAAGTATATTTTTTGAATTTATTCACATCGCGATTTTTTTAGATCCTTATTTGGGTCCCCTGAAGAGATACCTGAAGGTATTTGCTAAATAACTTTAGTCAGATTTTTTATATTTGTTGTTAAAGCCGAAAACGCACCCTGGGGCGAAAAGTTAAATGTATTTTTACATGTTGTTAAAAATTTTTTTTTTATTTTTCGTTTTTTTGAGTTTATTTGTTTAAAAATTATTTATTTGACATTGGGCAAGTACTTTGTCAAAAAACAAAACCGTTCACGTGAAATAAACCAAAAAAATTTTTTTTTTATAGAAATTTCAATTTTTTAACTTTACAACTATTCTAAAGCTTTTGTCAAATAAACAAAGATCTTTTATTTACTAAATTACTTGTTTACGTATACTTTAATTTATGTACTACTTATCACCTGTCAGAAAATAGTTTTAGTAGGCTAAAAATAGAATTTAACTTTTCGCCCCAGTCTCCCCTATATATTTCATTGATTATTAAAAATAATGTATTTATAGAAGAATTTTAGTTAAAAACACTAAAAAAATTGAATTTTAGAGAAATTACAAATGTTTGCAGAAATTCAATTATGTTCAAAAATTTAACAAAATTCAATTATTTTCATATATAAATACATTTTTTTACAGAGATTCAATTATCTTCATGAATAATAAAATTTTAACCAAATTCCTCGAAAAATGTAATTATTCTTGAAAATTTTATTAAAATTCGTCGATAAAATTTAATTATTTAATTTGTTGATAAAATACCTACTTTATGAGAATTCAATTTTGAGAAACATTTTTTTATTCAATCATTTTTTTAATTTTGTATTTAAATAATTGAATTCTCGTAGAATTTTCTAATAAAAATTGTTTTAAAAATTAATTTCATTAAAAATTTTAGATAATAATTGAATATTAAAAGCATTATAGCATGAATTTTTATAAATAATTGTATTTTGAAAAAGTGTAATTAAATTTTTTTATTTTTTATAATTTCCGAATAATCAAAATTTTGTAAAATTGAATTGTAAACAAATGGATTTAAAAATTCTCTAGGAACTTTTGCAAAAATTATTAAAAATAATTGATAATTGTTCATTTTTTTTTTCTTTCTAAGAATTTTAATAAGATTTTTGAAATTAATTACATTTTTTGAAGAATTTACTTAAAATTGTATTAAAAATAATTCTTTTGTGAAATTTTATTAAAATAGTAGATTTTGAAAATATTTGAATTTCAGCGAAGAATTTCATTATTTGTGAAATGTAATTAAATTTTTTCAAAAAATGTTTGAAAATAATTACATTTTTCGAGAAATTCATTTAAAATTGTATTAAAAATAATTTGAATCCAAGGAAAAATTTTATTATTTATGATAATAATTAAATTCTTACAATGAATTTTATTACATTTTTTAAAATTATAATTGAATTAATGTGAAAAATTGTATTACTTATAAAAATAATTGAATTCTTGCGAAGGGTTTTATTAAAATTTTTGTAAATAATTTAATTATTGTTTATTTTTTTGAAAAATTTTATAAAAGTTTAAATTATTATAAAACATGAAGATAGCCATATTATTACTTCGAGTCGAAGACTTGAAGTGCTCGATATCTTCATGTTTTATAAAAAATAATATTTTTAAAAGTTATTGAATTTTAAAAGGTTTATATTTGAATTTTTTTAAAAATCTTAATTGCTAGAGAAAAATAATAATGATTAAATATTTATTTAGAAAAGAAGTTATTGATGTTTTAGAATAATTTTATTTTTGAAGAAATTTGTAAATAAATGTAATAAAACATTTTTTTGAGTATCTAATAATTATTTTTAGAGAGAATTAAAATATTCTTTAGGGTTCAGGGAAGAAGTCAAAATTTTGTCTGGGAATCAGGGAAAAACAAAATTAATTTTTGTGTCAACCCTGATTAAAATTCTTTAAAAAACGCAATTTTCCAATTTGATTAATTTGTTGATAATATTATTTTCAAAACTATAAATATTTTTATAAACTTGTAAACTTTCTTTTAAAAATTTTATCTTTAAATTAAAATTTATAAAACCCTTTTGTTATTAAGTTTGTAATACATAAAGCAATATAAATTGAAATAATTTTAGAATCGTTTCAGCCTCTTTTTTGGCATTAATTTATATATTAAATAAAACTGATTTCTTCAATAAATATAATTAACTTTTGCTATTTTAAATTATAATAGCGAAATTATTCTACATTTGGCATATTATTTTACATTTTACAGTCAATTTTCATTTATTTCTATTTTATGATTGAGAAGAAAACTTAATTTATACGAGAATTGGTAGAAAAATTGTAAAAAAAGTTATTAAAAGTTTTTGAAAAAAAATCTCGTGCGTCATGAAAAAGATTTTTAATTTTTACATTGGTCGCAGTGTTTTTTTTTTTTTTAATTATTTTGAATCAGTTCACCTTTGTGTCTTTTTTTACTTTTCCGATTTGAGAAACAAGAAAAATTCCTAATATATGTTTCTATTAAATTAATAACAAAATATAAAAATTGAAATTCTTTTTTAAACATTTTTAAAATTTGTTTCACCCTTTTCTTAAAAAATAAGAACTAAAGTACATATGTACCAGAAAAATGTAAATAAATAATTTCTTACTTTTTTTTCTTTCATTCTTTTTTGGATTTTAGAGAAAAGAGTAGAAACTATCACAATCGTATATATATAAGTGTAGAGTAAATTAATAATTGACGATTCAATTGAATTGAATGTCAAAATTAATTTAGGATCACACTTGACCATCTTGGGGGAAATTTGGAGGACTGGGAAGTCCAGTGCCAAGAGTAATTGTGATATTGATTACCGGATCCCCATTGCTTGATAGATGATCACTCTCCTCACGAATTCTCGCTTTCAATTCCATTTTATTTTCATTTTCTATTCTTTTTATTAACGAATTATATATTAATGGTAATTCTTGATGGCAGTTTGATTGAGAATTATTAAAATCGCAATTGCTGAGTGGAGATGTGGATCTGGAAAAATAAAAAAGAAAATAATTGTCTTAGCTATTCTTTTGTATATATAAATAATGAAGAATTAATATACTTCACCCCTTGTGTAGACGATCGAAAAGTGATTGGGCATTCAGTTCAGCCCATTCTGATAGATTCAAGTGAGATCGACTGAGTTGCTCGTTACGCTCAAAATTTCGATTTATCGCCGCGTTATCAACTAGACTCAAATTTCTATTCGTACGATAATGAACCTTATCGATTAATTCAGCTTTTGTTTCATACAAATTCTCACTGGATTTGCTTATCCTTTCATTACACTTGCACATTTCATTTCGCGTTATTACTGGACAGTCTTGAAAAGAATTGCATATTCCCAAAAGAAGTTCTTTACTCGTTTGAATAGATAGCGTACGTTTTTGCACACTGTTTCTGTGACTTGAACCTGAAACAATTCATTATTTAGCAAACCTTTCATTTATTTCTAAATTCAATTATTCAAAACTTAAATAATATTGTCAAATAAATATTTAAATACTTCCTATTTATTTTTCCATAAGAATTAAAATTTTTTAAATTTCAATTTTAAATGTTCTAAAATTTAATTAATTTTAAAAATTACAACAGTAACCCTTCAAAAACTATAATTAATTTCTAGAATATTCAACTAAATTTCTTCTCTGCATTAATTTTTTTTTTAATAATTTTCCGAAAGATTTTACAGAATTTAATTTTTTAAAAACTAAAATTCAATTATTTTTAATTGAATTATTGAAAAAATCTATCCAAAAATATTGAAAAAACACCTGATTTTTAAAAAATTATAACAAAAAATTGTTAAAATTAGTTTATTAAAATTTTTTTAATTTCTGAAAGACTATATTTTTTATAATTACAAGTATTTAAAAAATTTTTAAATAATTGAAATTTAGTAAAATTTTTGAATTTTTTAAACGAATTTTTGGAAATATTAAAAAATAATCAAGTTTTTCAAAGAATTTCAATTACAAATATGAAAAAAGATGATTTCTCTGCAAAATTTTAATAATAAGTTTTAAAAAGTAGATTTTTTAATAAATGTCGTTTTTAAATTTTTATTTGAAGATTTTTTATTAAAATTCTTTATAAATTGATTTTTAAAATTGTTTATAAAATTATTTATTTTATTAGAATTTCAGATGTAAAAAGTTTTAATATTTAATTCAATTAATTTAAAATATAAAAAATAGGTAATACCTACAATACAATTTCAGATTTAAAAAACGTTAATAAATTTCTTATAAATAACAGGGTGGCCGCTGGATCGGGAAACCGGGAAAACCGGGAAATGACAGTGAATTTTTTTGGACAGGGAAAAACCGGGAAATGACAGTGAATTTTGATCTTGACCGGGATTTTGGAATTTTTTTTTAAAAACACGCATTACTTTGTGAGAAAAAATAGAAATATTTATTTCAAGACTTAGGTATTAACTATATTTCATTAAAAAAGATTGAATGATCTTCTATAAAATCTATTTATATTTTGTCAGAGAATTTTATAAAAAGTACTATAAAAATATTCAATTTCTAGAATTTATAAGAAAATTATGAATTTTGTTGTCCAACGTAACAGACTTAGAAAAAGAAAATATTAAATTTAATTTTAAATTCTTTCTATTTCTAACAATAATTAAACAAAATATAATTTTAATTAAATTTGTCAAAAAAATTTCAAAGAGAAAAAATTTCACATCCTATAAAATAATGAAAAATAAATCAATTTAAAAATTTTTTTGCAATTAATATTATAACAAAACAAATAAGAATTATTAAAAATTTGAACTAATTAGAATAAAAGTGATACGAAATTTATAAAAATGAATTTTTGAATAATAAATAAAGTAAATAAAAATAAATAAAATTTCTTTTCTTAGAAAATAAATTTTAAAAAACCGTATTTTTCATTAATATCAATTAGTTTTTTTACAATTATTCATAAGCAAATTTTTCGATTTTTTAGAATGTTAAATTAATATTACTAATATTATTATAGATTGAATTTTAAAAAATTTCAAATTGAAGTTTTAGAAAAGTTGAATTTTAAAAGATTTTAATTAAAAATTCTGAATAATTTAGTCTTTAAAAATATTTTTATTAACATTTTCTCAAATTAGTTATGTTTTTAAATATGTAATATTTAATTGAAAAATTTTCAAATTATTCAAAATTTCATGAAATTGTCTTGTAAACAAGTGGATTTTAGAAATATTTTAGTTATTTCTAGAATATAATTTATTGAATTGAAATTTTGAAAATAATTTTTAATAAGTTGCAGTAGCAATTCTTAAAAATTATTCAAATTTAAAGGATTTGAAATTTGAATTTTTTTTTTGAAATTTGAATACCTACTGTATGGAAAAATAATGGATAATAATTAAATATTTATTTCAAAAAATCTATTTAAGTTCAAAATTATTTTTAGAGTAAACTAAAATATTTTTAGGGTTTGGGAAAAAGTCAAAGTTTTGTCTAAAAATCAGGAAATTCTTTCAATCTTTCATGGAATAATTTATTTTCAGAGTTATTATTTATGACCGGGGAAAATAATTTATGACCGGGAATGGACCGGGAAATGACCGTGAATTTTTTTTTACAAAAAAAGTGGCCACCCTGTAAATATTAAAAATAGATAAAGTATAAATTAACAAAATAAAGTCGACAATAAAGAAAAATAAAAAAGGTACCTAGATAATAAAAAATAGAAATAAAGAGAAAATAAAATATTTCGATAGAGAAAATTATTTTTCATTTAAACTGTGAGTGTGTAACAAATTAAATTTGTCAACTCGAGGGGAATAAAAACGTTTTGAGTCTTATTTTCTTCGTAAAATAAAGCGTATGATGGAAACACTTATAAACTTAGTCGTAAAATTCCTTTAATTGGACTGTTAAAATGTCCTCGTAATTTTGATGGTTTTCTTCATAGTTATTTACAAGATGCTTCGTTAAAATAATGAAACATTGTAGTTTAAGAATTTTCATTCCAATAATTTTTCATTTATTCCTTTTTGCTTTATTAGAAATAAAAAGATGTTTTCAATTCTGTTTAATTTATTTAATTGAAACTAATTAGTTGAATTTTCATTTTTCTTTACATTTTTTTTTTCATTTTTTTTTTTTTTTTTTTGTCAATGGTGAATTAATATTCTTTCATCATTAGAAAATGAAAATTTATTGAATCAACTTGATATAGGGAGTGATTTCTTACCTTGAAATCTTAAATCATCAGAGCCAGAAAGTCGATAAATTGCTTGCTTTGCTGGTGGCTCAGCTATAGCGGCAGCAACTCGAGCTCCAATGTGACATCTGATGGATTTACTGGTCGTGAATAACGCACGATTATTGCGTTCCGGTCTTAGCACGATAATGTATAATTTCGGCAGGAATAGGAATATCAAGGTCACTGATGCACTTAAGGTCACACACATACACATGGTTATCACCTGGAACAATGCCTCTAATTAGTTTCATTTTACGAGCAAATAAACGTTGTACTCTATGAGTCTTCAAATAAGATACATATTATACCAACAATTTCATAATAATGACAAAGAAAATTAATAAAAACTGAATTCGTTCATTTTTATTTATATTTAATATATTGTATATATTGTAATTTGAATTTAGATTCGTAATTTTTAAAAATTAACTTATTAACTAATTAATTAAATTAATACCTATATATATATATTACCTAATGTCTAAAATATTAATAAAATTCTTTGAAACAATTCAATTATTTTCAATAAAATTTTAACTAAATTCCTCGAAAAATTTTTTATTTTAGCTTTTAGACAATTATTATTCTATAGACAAACTTCTATAAAAAAAAAAATCCAATTATTTTCAACATTTTTATAAAAAATATTTTTGTAAATTCAATTATTTTTAAAAAATTTAATCAAATTCCTATTCCTTGAAAAAATTTAGTTATTTTCAAAAATTTTGACAAAATTCTTTAGAAGAAATCCATTAATTCATGTAAAATTTTAATCCAATTTTTTTTAAAGAATTTAATTATTTTGTAAATTTTTTAATAAAATTTTTGGAAACAATTCAATTATTTTCAAAAAATTTAATATAATAAAATTAGGTGCAAGAATTAAATTTTTTCAGTTTTATAATAATAAAAGTTAAAAAAAATTAGATTACACTCTTTATAATAAAAAATTCATTTTTGAAAATTAAGAAAGCCACTTATTAACGACAAAATTATGAAAAAAATATTACTTTTAAATTTTTCTTGCAAATATAGATTAAATTTTAGTTTTATTAAAAAAAAGAAATAAAAATGAAAATACTTGTGTTATTATTTTAGTGTTTGGAGGAAAAACATAATTCTCGAATAACGAATAAAGAATAAATTACCTTGGATTGACTGCCAAAATAAATAGGAACAAAAGCCACCCAAATAACGCACGTTGTATACATTGCAAATCCAATGAATTTTGCCTCATTAAAATTTTCTGGAACATTACGAGTTTTTACAGCATAAAGAGTACAAAGTCCAAGTAGTAGTGCATCGAATGCAAAGGGAGATAAAACAGCTCTATAGGTCGTCGCACAGGTGAGAACCGCTCGATGAGTTGATGGAAATTCTAAAAGTGCTATTGGAGGATCTATGAAGAGCATCGTTGATACCACACCGACTTCGATCATTATTAAAATACAAGTTATCACTATCTGTAACAAAATTTTTCATTCCCTAATTATACATATATACCTATTTTTCTTCTAAAACAACATTTCTTTCTTTCAAATATAGAAAATTTTTTATTTCATTTTCATTTAATTTAAAATAGATATTTTTAATAAATTATGAAAATAGGTGAGAATAGCAGACAAATATGAAAAATTAGATAATTAAAAGTAAACGGACGTTGACCCATTATACACGAATAAAGTATTAAAACAGAGTACAGTAAAAAATTGAAAGAGAAAAAAAATCCATAAATCATATTAGATTCAGAAAAAAAGTCGAGTAAAAACGAAATATTAATTTAATAAAAGGGACATCATACTTGAGCTGTAGCTGACATGAAGAGCATCTTTCGTTTAGGAAAACGTTTCTTTGATCCTGCTAATATTCTCGCGATTCTATTAGTTTTAGTAAATAAACTCGCGTATATCATCGCGAAACTAATTCCAGGCATCAGTCTACTTAGAGTACACGATATAAGTGCAGGTTTTGCTAAAATTGGAAAAACCTGTAAAACAGATTCAAACAGATTATGTATATATTCAAAAAGTTACACCATCATTTTTGTGATTTATTTTAAATTTCCTTTTTGCTTTTTTTAATTTCCCCAAAAAAGTGTATCTCAATTAAAGTTTCATTCTTTCATTATCACTTTTACTTAAAATAAATGAGAGACGATTTTAATATTAATTTCTTTTCAAGTATATAATTATAGACATATGTATATGTAAAAGGATATCAAGGATATTAATATTGTATAATTAAAAGTGCTATATTAAATTGAAACTTACAGCAATATGAGCGAGACTCATTCCAGCCAAGATGAGATATGATAATTCACGAGTACTGGCTTTCACGATTGGAGTATTATTATGACGAATAAATATGTGACAAGTAACAAAAGTTGCCATCAAACCAACGGCACTCGATGTCATTGCCACCACTGCTTCTACATCACCCCACGAAATATATTCCTCAGGAATTTTCAAGCAACCTGCAATAAATAACAATATATCACATTTTTTTATTATAAAAAAATAATCACCAAACTGAAAAGAATAGTAAATATTGAGGAATTTTCAAGCGATCTTGAATCAATTTTGCTTTTTGGTTTCCAAACATTTTTTTTTACACTTTCTCTTTTCAAACGTTTAAAAATTGTTAAAATGATATAATTCTAATTTAATGTTTTGAAGATTAAATAATAAAAAAAATTAATCGAACAAAATTGCTTTGAATTAAAAATCATAATTTAATTTGTAAATTTAACTTAACATTCTAAAACTAAAAATACACTTATAAATCATTGTGGAAAAACTAATTTTTATTAACGCAAAATAAGGTTAATGTTATTTATTTATTATGAGAGAAACTAACTAACTGGCTTTTATTTATTTTAATGTCTCGTTCTGTCTAGAATTATATAATTAATCTCTAGAAATGCCATTTCACTATTCTTGTAATTACAGTTGAAATTTTTATTAATTCAGATTTAGAGAATTTGTTTTGTGATACTATATTTGCAAGAAAAATTGAGAAAATAAATTATTTTATTTTACATACTTTTGCGTTAATAAGTATTTTTTTTTAATTTTGAAGGATAAAGTCTTTTATGAACTTAAAAAGCATTATAATTCTTAAAAGTTTTAAATTCTTTCCAAAAAGTTTGATTACAATTGTATTTTTTAAAGTAATTGGATTTTTCAAGGAATTTTATTAAAATTGTATTGAAAATAATTACATTTTTCCCAAAGAATTTAATAACTTATGAAAATAATTCAATAGATATACTCACGACGAATTTTATTAAAATTTTTGAAAATAATTTAATTCTCTCATGAAATTTGATTAAAAATGCATTGAAAATAATCTAAAACTTGTATTAGAGGAATTAAAATTTTTGAAAATTATTAAAATATAGTGTAATATGTTTAGAAAATTGTTTTTTGACGACTTTACCTGTTTTATTTTCATTCGGTAGATAACCTTGCGGACAAGGGCGACACTCCGATAGATCTTCAATTGTATAGGCATTTTCTTTACAAGGAACACAGGCCCAACAACATTTTTTCTCCTGACCACCTGTTTTATATTCCTGTAGAATGAAAAATTTCTTATAATATTCATATAAAATAATTTATTAATTACTATTTAACAATATTTATAATCAAGTCGGTAAATTACAATTAGATTAATAATAAAAATTAATAAAAAACTTGAGCTATAGATGATAAAGATAATTAAATTACTTCTAAATTGCTGAAATTTGATTAATTTTCATAATTATAAAAAAAGAGACGCGAAAAATTGGTACCTAAATCGTATCTATTTATTCTCTAATTATACGAAATAATGAAATATTCATTAAAATTAGGACAACTGGGTCGAAATTGAAGATGGAATTGACAGCAAATCGTATGAATAGAGGAACCGAGTGGTATCTATACTATACATATTCTAGTGCTTCAAGAGGATAGACAGAGCAATATAATTATAGATATCCAAACAAATGGAAAATTAATTGAAACTTTAGAGAAAACTTATTATTTTAAAGGTCAAGTGTAAAGATGTGATTCTATTATACCTTACGAGATCCTGGACCACATTCTCGTGAACAGACGCTTGTTACAATTTTTTGCAGTTCACCAACCCAACTGAGACTTCCATCGTTCCAATTTCCAATTTGCACATAGGCATACGATCCATTAGACAATAGTTGGTAATTTAAAATATCATATCTAAAAAAATTAAATTATCCTGTATTACATTATTATATACATTTCATTTTATTAATAATTTTATTTGAATAATTATTTTAATAAAGTTGAAATTTAAATACAAACTTAAGTAAGTAAAATGTGAAGCATTAAAACTTTTTTTGTATACACATACGCACCGACCTGCCCGGAGGATCCCCTTTACTATCGAACTCGACGACATCATCATCATCCCAAGTGAAGGAAACATTCAATAAGTGCTTCTATATAATTTGAAAAATAATCAATTTTTTTTAAAGCCTCTCTCTCTCTCTCTCTCATATACAATTTTAAAAAATAATAACAAAATAATAAGAAAATTATACATACCATAAAGAGTGTGCCATTAAAGGGGAACATTTCACGACAAGTTCCCTTGTACTTAAAGCCACAAACGTCTTTCAACATATTATCAAGACCATAAGCCATTGTCCAAAATGATTTAATCACAAAACTCATTTTCGGATCCTGACGATATCGTTCATAAAGTTTTTCATTTCCTGAAACAATAATTAAAAATCTATCTTAATTATTACCTTATTTAAAAAACTAATTTAAGAAAATAATAAAAGGAATTGTAATTTTTCATTAAAATCCCCTTTATAGTAAAGAAAAAAGAAAGTATCTGATAAAATAAAAAGTGAGCGAGACCATTTTTCGTGATACAAGTTATTCACGAAACTTGGTTGAAATTGAGCAAAAGTAGACGACAGCCCGAGGCTCTAAATATTTTCTAAAGATTTCCCACAAACCACAAAAAAAATCGTCTCAACTTTAAATATATTTTTTTCTCCTTTGTTTTTTTTATTTTATCTCATAAATTCTTTGCCTTTGGAATTTAGTCTCCGCGTTATATATATATATTATGAAACATTTGATGAGTCACAATATTTCAAGAGAAGAAATACTAAAATAGAATAAAATACATTTTTTTACTAAAGAAAATAGAGACAAATATTAAAATTTTTCTTTTTTTTTAATTAAAAATAAATGTATAAATCATTAATTTTTGAAAAAAAAAGTATTTTACACAACATCAAGAGAGTTTGTAAGAATTTATGGAAAAAATACCAAGTCAATGTATGTACATGTTCAAGGAAGAAAACTGACAATCATTTTTATGAAAACCGCCCAAGTAAATTTCTTTTTTTTACGACAATTCCAGAGTTCGCAATTACTCTCACTTTATTTTCAGTGAAACATGGTTTAATTTAGTTTCTATTAGCAATAGATATTGGAAGGATATATACGTATGTCTTTCCAGTTACTTGAGATCGTGTAAATGGAGAAAATGGAAATTAGATGAGACAAGTGACAAACGTGTGTATTTTAATCAGGAAATCTGGATTTGCCTTTTCCGATGTACACAATATCCAACTTGTCAATGTATTATTATAATCCATGAACGTGTGATCTGATAAATCTACAGAATACAAAGAACATATTTTTATTTTTAAACAAAAAAAAATTAATTTAATTAAAAAATTTATTTACATATTTTTTATTTTTTTATTTAGAGATAGAATAATAGAAGCACTCATCGGATTGACTTTAAAGGTAAAAAAATCATTCTGTAGTTGATTCATAGTTGATTCGAAAAAAGTTGAACATAAACAAAGAAAAAAATCAATTGCTTTATTTATTTAAAGTCGCAATTTTTTAAAACAGTCGAAAACAGTCGAAAACAGTAGAAAAAGTCAAAGAAAAACAAAACAAAAAGGTAAAATTAAAATTATTTTTTAAAAATGTTTTTCAAAGAAATTATTTTCCTAGCGAATTTGAAATGATTTGAAGAATGAAAGAAGGACTTAATAAGGACTTTGAGAGAAAAAATAATTATTAAGGACAAAGCTCAAAAGCGATCAATCAATCCCTGTACAACCTTTGTATCAGACCTACTTGATGAGTATAAATGCGGGATAGACATCTTCGATTGAAACCCCCTCCCTATTTGGTCATTGTTAATTAGAGATTTTGAGCTCACGTACAATATGCTTTCAATTATGCATGATTAAACATTTGCCAGTATAATAGTCCAATAATGAAAAACCACGAGTGATGATCAGTAATATGCATGATTAAATTACAAACGAATTAAATATTTTCTTTCATTTTTTAATTAAACTTATTTTCTTTAATTGTACATTTTTTTCTCATTTTATTTCATTTGAAGAGAGAATTTTATTTTCTATTTTGACATTTTCTAAAATACGATTTTCAAAATTTATATCCACTGTAAAATTTCTATTCTACATTCTCTATGAAATAGGTACGAATCTAAAATTTATGTTCGCTGTAAAACTTCATTATTTGATAATAATGACATTAAGTATCTTAAATTTTATTTGCGTCTTTACTGTTTAATAAGAACTCAGTAGCCATAAATTTTACTCGGTAACCCTTGATTTCACGGCCTTTATTTACGGTGAAGGTAAAATTTACTCGAGCATAGAATTTTTCTTTTTTCCTGTTTTGAAAATTATAATTATATTTTATATTTATTGGTCTTCTGACTGTCTGCTGGATTTAGTTCCATAAACAAATAAAGAAATATCAATCCTCTGATCGGTTTTTAGGTGAAAAAAAGTGTCTTTAGTCGATTAAAGGTAGAAAAAAGTCGAAAACGTCGTTTATTTTATTTAGTGTTGTTACAAAAATTTCAGTTTGCATTTTCCTGAGCTTTCACTGAGTTAAAAATTTTAATTATGCAAAACTCGGTTAATTTCTTAAAATAAATATATAGGTAGGTAATTACCTACTTATTTATTTATTTTAATTATTTCTAAACATTACAACTGTAATCCTTTCAACACTCAATTTAATTCTATAATTTCTTAAGTACATTTCCTCTCTAAATCAATTATTTTTAATAATTTTACAAAAGTTCTTAATTAAGAAAAATGTGTATGTAATTAAAAATATTGAAAGTACTTGATTTTTAAAAAATTATAACAAAATATTATTCAAATCTGTTTTTCTTAATATTTTTAAATAATTTTTGAACGACTTTAGATTTTTTAATTATAAGTAATTAAAAAATTTCCAAATAATTCAAATTTAGTATAATTTTTGAAAATAAATAAATTTAAAAAAGAATTTATGGAAAATATTAAAAGAAAATCTTAAAAATATGTAGTGATATTTCATTTTTCGAAAATAATTAATTATCTTTAAAGAATTTTTAAACAATTTCAAAATTGAATTTTAATAATAATTTAAAAAAGTAGATTTTTTTATAAATTTTGATTCACTTTTTTGAAAATATTTAAACTTTAAAGAATTTTAATAAAAATGCTAAGAATTCGTTTTTCAAAAATTTCCAATGTAATTTTTGGAAAATAATTAGATTTCTTTAAAGAATTTAAAAAAAGGAACAAATAATTATTATGATTAAAAATTCTAAGAATTCCTTTTTTAAAAAATATTTCATGGTATAATTTTTTAATTCAAATTTTCCTTAATTTTCAAGAATAATTTTTGGAAAGTTCTTCATAAATTCAATTATCTATTTAAATACAAAAATTCAATTTTTTATCAAAATGTGTCCTGTAATTTCTCTAAAATTCAATTATTTTCTAGAATTTTTTTAACTAAAATTTTTTTCTAAATAAATTATTTTTAATAATTTAGAGAAATTTTTTTTGAGATTTCAACAAAGAAACAAAGTTCACTAATTTCAAAATAAATTTCAAATAAAGTTTTTTAAATACTAAGTTTTTTTAGAATTTTCAATTAAAATTATTCCAAATTCAAATCTTTCAATACTGAAAGAAAATTTAATTTTTATTTTTATTTCTTCTAAAAAAATGTTCTATTTGTAATTTCTCCCATATTCAATTATTTTTTTAGAATTTTGACCTAAAATTTTCCTCAAAAAATTAAATTATTCAAAAAAGAAAGTCCACTTAAAATAAAATTTTAAATTGAATTTTTTCTAAAAGCTTTTGCTATTTAATTTCCTTGATTTTTATTTGAAGATTCTTTATTAAAATTCATGAAAATTTGATTTTTATAAATGTTCATAAAATTAGAAAAATGAATTATTTTCAATAAAATTTCAATTATTATAAACTTTTTAATTATATAAATATTTATAAAAACAATTTTCTCAAAACAGTTATTAAAAAATTATATAGTTTTTGAATGATTTAACTAGTTATTACTGTTTTCAATCGAAATAGGTTGCATTTTATCCTAAAAATTGGTATTTTGATGTAATATTCGAAAAAAGTCGAAAAAGTCGAAAAATTCAAATTGTTTGAAAATAGTGAGAAAAAGTCAAAAAAATTATTCTAACCGAGGCCAGTATAATTATATATTTATTGAAATTATTATATGTAATTATATTTCTAATCAATTAAAAATTCTTTTACCATTTTAATAAATACAAATATTCAACTATTAATTATTTTGCAACTGATTAAATTGAATTCGCAGTCATTATTATTTACTTGACTAATGAAAAAAAATTCTTTAAAGAAACTTTGCTTCTTCGTTTCCTTCTGTTTCCGGTTTGTTATCAACTTACCCGTGCAAGGTTTCTTCTTCTTATTCAAAGGAGATTGTGTGGTGACGGCGGTCCAACTCTTATCGTCAGTGGTGATATTCAGAAGTTCACAATTGAATTTGTGCTGCCAGAACTCGGCGAACCAAGGATTACGAGTGTTGTTAAATGGACTCAGAGAGAAATAATGGTCATCGAACTCGCGATTGTATGGCGAATGAATTCGAATTGAAATACTGCCCTGTGCTTCTTCCTCCACGTCCTTTACCACCTCGTCACGATCCGCCCATCCGTCACTTGAAAAATTATCAAAAAAGAAGACGATTTTTAATTATTTTCTATTCTGTTTTTATCTTCATCTTCAAAAGAATATTTTTCATTTTTTAATATTCTTTTCCACCAGTTTTTTAAAATTTTTTATATTCTTTTTTGAAATACTTTTTCAGTGAAAAAAAAAGTAAAAAAAACATTCCCAGACTTCGCACTCGATAATTAATTTTTAAAAAGTGTATCAAAAAAACTCGTTTTAGACACTTCACAAAACTGACGAAAATTCCATTCCATATTTTTTATGTTTCTCACTTTTTCCTCATTTTCATCAAAAATATTTACTTCTTTCTTAAATTATTATGATGCTAATATAAATTGAATTCATGCAACTAATTTTATTATTCATCAAAGAATTTAAATATTTATAAAAATAATTTAATTCTTGCGAAGAATTTTTCACAAATTTTTAAATAATTAATTTCCTATTTTGACTAATTTTATGCAAATTCTAATTTAAATAATTAAATTCCTGAGAAATGTTTATTAATCATGAAAATAATTGAATTCTTGGGAAAAATTTAATTAAAATCTAAAAGAATAATTTAATTAAAACTGTATTTAAAATAATTGATTTATTTTGAACAATTTTATTAAAATATTTGAAAATAATTGAATTTCTGTGAAAAATTCTAATATTTTTGTGAATACTTGAATTTTTCCAAAGAATTGTATAAAAAAACATTTTTTAAATAATTGATTTCTTCGAGGAACTGAAATTAAATTTTTAAGAATAATTATGTACATTTTTCGAGCTCTTCCTGTAAAATTGTATTAAAATTAAAAATAATTCAAAATCCTGCGATGAATTTTATTATTTATGAAAATACATAATTGAATAGTTGCTAAGAATTTTATTATTTAATAATAATTAAAAATTGAATTCCTGCGAGGAGAATTTTATTATTTATGAAAATAATTGAATTATTTCGAAAAATGTTATTAAAATTTTTGAAAAGAATTGAATTTCTTTGGACATTTTTATTATTTTTGAAAATAATTAAATTCTTTATAAGAATTTTATAAACATTATTTTAAATAATAATTAATTTTTTCGAAATATAATAAATATTATGAAAATTTTATTTTAAATAAATTAAATTCTTGTGGAAAATTTTATTTGTGAAAATAATTGAATTTTTCGATTAATTAATTTAAAATAGTATTAAAAATAATTGAAATTCTTCAAAAAAAAATTTTTTATTTATGAAAATAATTGAATTCTTTTGCGAAATTTTCTGAAAATACTAGATATTGAAAAGAATTGAATCGTTTTAATGAATTTGATTGTAATTTCTGAGAATAGGTTTTTGATTTCTAGTCTTAGCGAATTTAAAGCAGTGGAAATTCTAAAAGAAAAAAAACCGAAATAGTAGCTTTTAGTGGCTACAGAATGCTGAAATGAAATGCTGAATGAATGCAAACTTGCATTTCCTTTTTAATTTAATTGGATACCTAATTTTGGAAAAAAAGTTTTTAGCCTGGAAAATATATTCGAAAATATTTGATAGGTATATTAAATTATTATAGTCTTTTTTTTAAGTAGCAGCGCAAAAAACGGGTCCGAAATTATTTCTGGAATGACCCTCTTTTTTTCTAAGAAGGTCGAGAGACGTCGAGAGATGATACTAAAGTTTAAGAACGAACGGAAATTAGTTACAGAACGGAAGCTTGGTAAGTAGCACACCGAGTAGAAAGGTGACTCTCGTTGACTCCCTTTCCGCGACTTGAGGCTCAATTCATCCATAGTTCCCAATTTCCTATGTGAGAGAACACAGAAAACTTGCCTCCAATATCAGTTTCATTCTTTCCTCTCAAATCAATTTCTCATTTCTCATTTCTCTCCTTGTGTCTCATGAAATGTAATTTAATTTTTTTTCTTTTAATAAAAAATGAAAATAAATTGTTATTACCTATAAACTGTTGAATTAAAATTTAAAAAATTTGAGGAAATTTAGTGGTTTTGACTGGTTGATTTGAAGAAAATGTACTTAAAAAGAAGATAATTCGATAATACCTTCCAATGTACATGAAGCGACCTGTCATATTTAAACGTTTCGAAGCTTTCAAGAGTCCATTCATAGTCATGCCCTCACAAAAGCAAACCACGATTTTCGCATTGCTGTCTTGATTAAGATTTCGAAGGACTCCATCAAAAACTGAGTCCTCAGCGGTTGACAATGCTGAATCCTCACGTGCTACACACACTCCGCTCTTCTCTGCTAATTCACGAAATGCCTGGATTCCACTTTGACCATAATTTTCTAAAAAAGCCAAAAAATAAATTATTCTCAAAACTGGAGATGAACTTTCTTTTTTTCGATATAAATTTATTGATATGTAATAAATAAAGGAGGAGGTATATAATAATAGTAATAATGATCGAGATATTCTCTCCTCACATGAAGTAAGCCTTTTTTGATTCCAACTTGTCATATCAAAAATTTAACAATTAATTTGTAAATAGAGTGCAATTAATTCGCCTAGAATTTTTACAAAAACAGGACATTTACAGGATAGGGAAAAAAGTAAAGTAAGGAAATTTTATCCAAAGTATTCGAAAAATATCAAATTATTCAAAATCTTAAATAGTCTATGAATTTTCTTTCAAAAATTAAAAAAATCCACAAGTAGAGTTACAGTTGCAATTTTTAGAAATAATCAATTATTTATTTTTGCGTAAATTGTATTTAAATAACTGAATTCTCCTATAACTAGAAACAATCAATTGTTAAGAATTATAAAAATTGATTTGGAAAAGAATTTCAGTTAAAATTTTAGAAAATATTTCAAGAATTGGAAGAATTGCTGTTCAAATTTTTAGAAATAATTAAATTTCACATTTATTGAACGAAAAATAACGAAATTTAAAAAATTGTTATTAAAATTTTTTGAAAACATGTAGTTGAATTTTCGAAAATAATTTTTAAAAAAATTGGAAAAACAAGAAATTTTCTCAAATTTTATTAAAATAAAGTTTATATTCCAAACAATTTTATTTGCTCACTTTAAAAAATTATTTTCGAAAATATTATTATATTATTTGAAGAAATGCAACCAAAAATTTGAAAAATAATCAAATTTTACAAAAATTTTGGTGTTTAAATAATTCATTTATCATTGAATTCTAATAAAAATATCTAAAATAATTTTAAGAAATTAAAAAAGGACATTTTCTCGAATTTCATTGAAATAAATTTTATATTTTAAAGAATTTTATTTTCTCACATTAAAAAATTATTTCTAAATACCTATTATTGTATTTTTTGAAGAATTGCAACTAAAAATTCGTAAAATAATTAAATTTTACAAAAAGTTTTATATTTAAAATTTAAATGATTCAATTCTCGAACTTTCTGATAAAAATTAAATTGAAAAAGAATTTCAGTTAAAAGTTTAGAAATTATTTGAATAATTGAAAGAATTAAATTTCAAAAGGTTTTACATTGAAAGTATTTTTTTAAAATTTTAATTCCTTAAGGACAAATAAATAACAATAAGCCTATTCACAAATATTCATCAAACAAAAATGAATGAAATTTAAAAAATTTTATTGAGAAATTTTGAAAGAATGAGGTTTATAAAAAATCGTTATTAAAACTTTTGAGAAATAGTTGAAATCCCAAAAATAATTTTAAAAAATTGAAAAAATAGTAAATTTTCTCAAATTTCATTAAAATAAATTTTATATTTCAAATAAGAATTTTATTTGATCACTTTAAAAAATTATACTTTAATATTAGGATTGTATTTTTTGAAGAAGTGCAACAAAATTTTGGAAAATAATTAAATTTTACAAAAATTTTTTCACTTTAATAGTTATGCTAGTAAATAATAATAAATAATAAAATTTGTAAAAAAAAATTCCAGCTTAAATAGGTACATATAGAAAAATATTTCAACTTAAATCCAATCCTAGAAAAATACTTGATCTGAATTTTCAATATTTTAGCTTTCAATTTTTAATATTCTCATACGAATATTTTATTTCCACATTTATTAAATTTCGTCTAGCACTTTATTCTTGGTTAGAACATAAAGATTGTCTCTATTGAAGAGTAATAATTTGTAACTTCTTTTTTATATTGTATATTTTTTTCTGCTGAGAATAAGTCTCCTAGAACAATAGACGTTCGCTTTTACATTTTATCGACTAGATGCAAAATTATCCAACTTATATCCTGTAAAAGCTTCGCTCTACCGCAACATCCGTTTCCTGAAGAAAATACGATTAAGCGAACCGCGCGATGATTTTATCAGTTCTTATTTACCCGCCAACTTCGTAGAGCTTTAGATTTTCACAGTTCGGGAACTCTATTTGACGGTGGAGGAAAAGGAGGTGGAAAATTTATTATTTCCCATTGGTATTTCAATTAATAAGCAATGTCCGTTATTCAAGATGGGGATCGAATTTATAAGTGTCAACGTATTTTACAAACTTCTGCGCTTTCTCTAATTTACCATTAACACTGACGACTTTCATTAATTTTCCATTTTCTTAAATTTAAAGTAAATTCAAATTTCAAATTTTTATTAAATTTAAGAAAATATATTTTTTTCTTATAAATTATTAAAAGTTTTTTTCACAAATTTTAATTACGATGATTTCTAAATTTGTATTATTCAAAAACTTGAATAAAATTATAAACAAAAACTTGTTTAAATCACTGTTTTAATAATATTTTTAAAATATTTTTTCAAATAATTGAACTTTAGCACAATTTATTCTCGAAAATAATTGGATTTTTTAAAAGAAATTGTGGAAAATATTAAAAAAATAATCAATTTTTTGAAGAATTTCAATAGGTATTACAAATATAAAAATACATGATTTCTCCAAAATTTTAATGACAAGTTTTACCTACAAAGTAGAATTTAAAAATATTTTAATTTAGTTTTTTTTAAGAGAATTAAATTTTAATAAATTATGATTAAAAAATTCTAATAAGAATTGATTTGTTAAAAATATTTTAAGTAATTTTTCGAAAATAATTTAATTCTCAATTTTTTTATTCAATATTCCTCAGGAATTAAAAATGTTGAAATTTCTAAAATTTAATTATTGCTAAAAATAATAACCGCAAACCTTTCAAAATTCAAATTGTTTTCTAGAATTTTAAACTAAATTTCTTCTCTAAATCAATTATCTATTTGTAATAATAATTTTGAGTATTTAAATATTTAAATCGAAAAATTCAATTATTTTTTCTTTTGTAACTGTAACTCTAATTCTTTTCTAGAACTTTTTACTCAACTTCTTCTCTAAATCAATTATCTTTAATAATATTGCAAAAGTTGTTCGAGAATTCAATTATTTAAATACAAAAATTAAGTTTTTGAAGAATTTTTTAATTACAAATATGAAAAAAATGATGATAAAAATTTTTAAAATTTGTTTCTTAAAAATATTAAAAAGTAGTTTTTTGAATGTAAAGCAAAAAATAAATTCTTTCAACAACTTTTATTTTAGACAATTTAAATGAATTTTGAAATTGATTATTTTTTTCCAAATTCTTGAAAATTTGATTTTCAAAAATCCAAATCTCAAAAAAAAAAAAAAAAAAAAAAAAAAAAAAAAACAATTCGAAAAAAGTAGATTTTTTTTTCTAAAATGGACAAAATCGTTTTTCCTTTTGAAAATAGTCAAGGCCCGATAATAATTTCTTTAAATAGATAATTGTTGAAAATAAAAAATGTAGGTGTATTCTCTAATATTAGTGAAATAAATTAATGTTCATTAAATGTTCGCGCAGTCTTGCGTCTAATTCATTGTTGGAGGAATTAGATTTGTTACTCCCGTACAATTACCAGATCAATTGTCGTCGAGATTGCAGGGTTTTGTTTCGGTCACAAGAGTTAATGGGATTACTCCAGCTAAATTTATCCACTTTCCCTCAACAAGCATTTAGAGAGCCAGTGATATCGATTGACTAACATTTCATTTAGCTAATTATTTCTTTTAAATTAAATGCCATAATTAATACTATCAACGAGAAATAATTATCAATTATTCAATGAATATTAAAGCCCCAAACGAAAAAAATGCACAATACAACCAAGTTAATAATAATAATATCAGGAAAGAATTTGTCGCAAAAAGGAAAATGGAAGGGAAGTCTATTGTGAGAAAAAAAATTACCTTCCGTATGGACAATCGATACATAGGTCCAATTGAAGTGGCGCAAGATATCCATGAGAAGTTGTGCCTGGTACTGATCGGATGGAACAACACGAAAAAAAGTCGAGTATCTACTCTTGATGCTGAGATCTCGAGATGTAGCCGAGTAGCCTATCTGAGAAATAAGAGAGAGAGAAAGAGAGGAAAAAACCCCATGAATTGAATTTAAAACTTTTGAAAACCAACAATGGAAATTAAAAAGTTTCTCCATTTAAATTTATATTTATATTTATATTTATACAGACAGAGAAATAGAAAAGTAGTATTTAATAAAACGGCTCATATTTAAAATAAAATCATAAAAAACTTATTTACTTGCGGAATGGAAAATAATTGAAGGAGATTTTGTACTTGAAGAGTAACGGAACTGGAACCGGGACCAACAACTCCAATCATTGGAGCTTTAAAGCTCGTCTCCGTCTGTAATATAAAATAGTATATGCATATTATTAATTCATTAATTCATTAATTCTTAATAATTAATTTAGTTAACAACTAATTTAGCTTAGAATTAAATACTTTATTAATTACTAGGTAACTTGTATTCCTAATTAATAAATTACTAATTACTATGTAAAAAAAAGGCTAAAGCACACGGGTGGTTTCTTATTTATTAAAACTTTTCTTAATAACACATTCAATTTTTGTTCAATTGATCATATTGATAAATTTGATTAATTATTCATATTAATAAAGATCGTTAGGAACCGCGCAAATTTTTACTTTAAGTATTTAGAAAAATTAATATACCTAAGTAATTTTTTCGACTTTATTCAAATATTACAAAAAAATTCTAGTCTCTTGATATAAAATACCATTGAAATTTAAATAGACTTTAAATTGAAATTTTTCAAATTTTAAATTTAGAATAATTTAAATTATAAATTCAGATGAATTACTTTTTTCAGAAATTTGTATTCATATTTCAAATTTTTCAAAAACTAATTCAAATTTTAAATATATATTTTGAAAATACTTTTCTTCTTTTAAACTATGTTCTTTAAACTATTAAAATTATTAATTTAATATAGATAATATATTTAGAAAGGAATTTTAGTTAAAAATTTTAGAAAATAATAGAATTTTGGAAGAGTTATTAGTAGAAAGTTTTAGAAACAATTAGATTTCCAAAGTTTTTAATAATTTTAGTTTTTTGAAAAGTTATAATTCAAATTTTTTTTATAGATCAGTTGATTTTTTTAATAAAAAATATGAAATCTCAATGAAAAGAAACACGTGTAAATCTTTATTTGCTTAGATTCACCTTGATATTTCTCTTGTTCTATTTCGTCGTGTGTTTTTGAAAGACAAAAAATATTAAAAAATTGGAAAAAATTATTTAAAATTTAAAGAGTCAATTTTGTTTAGAAATTAGTTCAATTTTCAAATACATATTTAATGAAAAAAAATCTCGAATAGTCAAAACAATTGAATTTTCAAAAATTTGTTATTTTTAAATTTCAAAAAATTCATATCAAATGAAAATTTCTATACTTATTTAGCTTCAAAAAATTATTCAAATACTTTTTAAAAAAGTAATGAAATTCTTCAATTATTTTCAATATTTTCGGAAATGTGTAAATTGAAATATTATTGAAAATAATTATTGAAATTTCCCCTTAAATTCTACAATATTATTTACAAACTTTGCTATTTAAAAAAATCTAACTTTATTGAATTATTATTATTATTATTATTATTATTATTATTAAAATTCTGTTGAAAAGCAATCAATTTAAATATTAATTATTTTTTAAAATTGTTGAAAAATTGTTTTAAAAAGTTGAATTATATTTCAAAAACTACGCTTTATAAGAAGTATTTTTAAGAGGAAAATTCAGAAAATTACTAAAAATAATAATTATTTTAGAAAAGATTTAAAATGTAAGAATTACAGTTGTAATTTTTTAGAAAGTTTGAAGTGTAAAAAAATGAATAACAATAATTATTTAAAATAGTAAAAAGAAAAGTTACTCACCTGATTGGCGTCTGTTTTACAAATCGTTGATTCGTCATTAGTGAAAATTTGATTTTTCGAAGATATTGGCGAAATTGCATCACGAACAAGTTCAATGCTTTGTTGCAATGCAACAGGGGAAGACCAACAGGAATCTCTAACTTCTAAACCTAATTGAACACCTGAAGCAAAAGTGATTTCTTTAATAACAATTAAATTTAAATAAAGAAAATGTCACTGAAAATAATGAATAATTATACTTGCGAATGAAACACAATACCATTTAAAATTGAATCATCATTGTTGATTTTGTCGAGGGTTATCAAAGCAGTTTCAACTCGTTGTATACCATAAGTTTCTCTAATTGGCCCGCAGACTAATGTTCCTTTACTGCCCCTTGGTGTCTCATGAACACTGAATAAAGCACCGAGTATAAAATCGCCTTTGACTCTTGCGGAGAATTCACCATTTATCATGTTGTTGCACATCAGGCAAATAATCACAGTAAGTAAAAGCATTTTGTTTTCAAAAAAACCAAATTTCCTTATTGTCATCTGTTCATTACTTTATTTTTTCGAAAAAACTTCTAGCCGAAAAAAATGCAAGTCTTGTAAAATATTCCTCGACATTCCCAACATCTTTGTGATTTGAAATTTTTTGATTTTCCTTTCATTTCTAATATAATGGTATATAGTAGATTTTCTCTCAACTTTGTTCAAATCAGTTTTTGAGAACGATTTGAAAATTCTCTCGGGAGAGTGTCTGAGAAAGAATGAAAATTCTATTCAACAGTTTCCAAAGGGAGCGTGCGCCTGTAACTTAAAGTTTCCGATTTCTCGATAAGATTTGCCAAGTAGTTTAAAAGATACGATATTAGAGAACAATTTCATAAATTCACAAGAAGAAAATGTAAAATAAGTTAAAATCAATTTTTCAATTAAGATAATATTTTGGGAAAAATAGCATTTTTAAATTTACGAAAAAAATGAGATTCTAACTCTAATTTTCTTCTTATTTTAAAGCAAGGAATTTATTTTTCACAAAAATATTTCTTCCTTTTCATTCAACGATGCTTCTTTTTAATCTTCCTTTTTCCATTCTTCAAGTACACTTCTTCTTTGACCGCGTAATAATATCAATATTAGAATTTCTGTTATTTAAAGGAATTTTCTTTGTCACAAAGAAATTGTTCTCTCTGGGGGCGAAAATATTTTTATTTCAAAATATAAATTAAATCATTTTTCAAAAGTATTCTTTTTAAAAATTGTGCAATCGATTTTGGAGATCCTACTCAAATAAATCTTCATGTTTTATAATTTTTATTAAAGATGACCGAGTAATAAAATAATTATTTTATATTATAATACTCTAACCTCTTCAAAATTATTTTCATCATTTCAATTCAATTATTATTATTTTCTACAATTTTTAACTAAAATTTGTCTTCAAATCAATAATTTTTAAAAATTTTTGAAAAAGTTCTTTGAGAATTTTCAAGTCCATTTATTTACAATTATTCAATTTTATGAAATTTTGTTTATTCGGAAATTCTTATTAAATATAGATTAAAACTTGAAATAATTAAAAAAAAAACATTCAATTAAACTTTTCCAAAAAAATTAATTCTACAGAATTGTTAGTTAAAAGTATGAAAAATTCAAATTTTCAAAGATTTTAATTTGAAACCTTTTCAAAATTCAATTGTTTCTAGAAATTCACAATACAATTTTTTTAATTATTATCTGAAATTTTAACTAAAATTCATTTCGAAATCAATTTTTATTAGAAAATTTTACGAGAATTTAATTATTATAATACAATATAATAAAGAACCTTTTGAAAAATTGAATCTTTCTTAAAATTGAATTCTCATAAAGAATTTTATTAACAAATTATTAAACAAATTATTCGTCTTTTGACGACTTTTAATGAAATTTTTAACAATAATTGCCTTTTTTAAGGAATTCCATTAAAATTGCATTAAAAATAATTGAAAATTTGCAATGAGTTTTATTATTTATGAAAATAATTAAATTCCTAAATAAAATTTATTTTTTGTAAAAATAATTGAATTATTGCGAAGGAATTTATAAAAAATTTGTAAATAATTGAATTCCAGTGAAATTTGTATTATTTGCGTAGAATTTTATTAAAGTTTTTTTTAAATTATTGAATTCTTTTGGAAAAGTTTATTTAAATAGTGGATATTGAAAATAATTGAATTTTTGTGATGAATATTGTTATTTATGAAAGTAAGTGACATTTGCAAATAAGAATTTCATTAAAATTTCTAAATATAATTGAATGTAGGAGAAGAATTTTGTTATTTACAAAAATAATTGAAATTTTGACGAGAATTTCATTATTTTTGAAAATAATTATATATATTATATAAGAATTCGTGGAAATTTCATAGTTTATAGGGAAACAAAAAAGACATAAAAATTCAGTATTATCTTTGGAATTCTAAAAATTAATTTTTTCCAGTACTTTTAATAAAAATTCCTGACTTTTCCCTGAATTCCTGACCTGTGACAACCCTGAGAGTGTACGTGATCGATAATTGTAACTCTAAACTAAAATAAAAAAAAAAAAAAAAAAAAAAAAACAAAAAAACAAAAAAAGGGGGGAAAAGAGCTCGTGAAAAATTAATTTTTCACGTGCGACTGATGCCTTAATTCCATTTGAGAGAAATGAATAAATTCTCTCGTAGTTTTGCAATACTTGAAGGGAAGTGAACGTTTGACGCTTCTGTCTGGGACTAGATAAACGAAAACCCATGAGTAATTAAATTTTATCGACCCTATCCTTACAAAGGTAACTGCAGTTTGAAAACTTGCCTGGTTCATAATAAACGAGTCCGTAAAAAGTTTTCCAACATTTCAGAAAATTGTTAAATTTTCAAGTATCTCTTATTCACGGTAACTGTCTTTTATTGTTATACGTTTCATAAGTTTAAAAATACGAATTTTCTTGAAAAAAAAAAAATTATATTATTATCACTAAAATAAATAATAAACATAATTAAAATTCACAAATGAAAATAACTGAAATGATCACATTGTATTATTTATCAAAGTGAAGATAATAAAATTTTAATCATTTTCTGTTGAATGTTTTGTAGAGATAAATATAATAATGAGGTGGCCTATAAAATGAAAAGAGTCTTATTAAGAGTTTTGTGAAAGTGTTACCTACCTCACAAAGCATCAAAAAATAACAGGTGGAAGGTTAATTAATGAGAGGCGCGGTAATTAACATTTTTCAAGAGTTCTGATGAAAACCTTACAAATGAATAGAACTACACGTGCACTGTATCATCTCCTTTTTTCTTTGGTCCAATTCTCATTCATATTCCTGCACAGAAAAAAAGAAATAAAGTGAAATAAAAAAAAAACTTGATACAATTTTTTGAGGAAGGGTTCACATAATATATTATGAGCAACTTAACATTTCTAGTGGATTTAAAGATAGAAAAAGAGAATTATTAGAGAATTATTTTTAGATTTAAATACTCTTTAATCAGATAATGTGAATTTTTCTTTTTTAGTGTCTACTTAAAATTATTGATAAACCAGCAAATGTTATCAATTATTTTCAATGCAATTTTAAGTAAATTTCAAGAAATAATTCAATTATTTCCCAAGGATTCAATTATTTTATAAATAATAAAATTCTTCAAAGGAATTTAATTACTATCAATATATTTTAATAATATTTGTCTTCAAAACAATTCAAACGTTATCAAAAAATTTAATAAAAATTCTTCGAAACAATTCAATTATTTTAAAGATAGTAATATAATTCTGAGAACAATTCAATTATATTCAACACAATTTCAATAAATTTTCTCTAAAAGAATAATGCAATCATTTTTTTTTAAATTTTGCGATAATTCTTTGAACAAAGACGACAATAAATTATTCTCAAAAATAGGTATATTAATAAAATTCTTCACTAGAATTCAATTATTTTTATAAATAATACTACAATTTTTGATTGAAATCTAATTATTTTCAGTATAATTTTAAAAAAATAATTATATCCAAGAATTAAATTTATTATTTGAGATTTGAAATTGTAAAATTTTCAAAAAACGCAAAACATTTTAATAAAATTCAATAATCAAATTTTTAATTAGAATTATGAAGAAACACGATTATTTTGAGAACTTTAAGGAAATTCTTTGTTAAATTAAATTCCTTTTAAAATATTCAATTTAAATTATATTAAAAGAATTGAATAAATTTCAAAAATTTTAATAGAATTCTTTGAAGGAATTGAATTATTTTCTAAAATTTTGATAAAATTCTTGATAAGAATTTAGTTATTTTTAAGACATTTATTAAAAAATTTAATAAAGCAATAAAAATGAAAAATTATTAAAAAAAAAACAGACAAAGAAAACTAACTTGAAACTATGTCAACTTTTATTGTATTCGCAATTGAATGAATTGGGAGTGGAAATATGTGCCTTTTATTGTATCGAAAAAATGTTTATTTCTTTGGCAATTAAAGAAAAACGTGTTTGCACACAGATGCGGTCAAAGTGGTCCAAAGTGACCCTACCCGAACTGAACCCATATGTGCGGCAAATTCGAGCAGGTATGAGGGAAGTGTTCGTTGTCAGAAATTATATTACTGAGGTAACAGTCCTGGACCGTTTTCCTACTCTCGGAAGAGTTCTCATTAATTTTAATGATCGTTTCAACTACAATCAACGCTCCAAACATTCAAAGTTTAAACATTCAAAAAGAACAAGAGAACAATTTAACAAATGTAATTTTAAGAAATTAATAGTATAAAAAAAGAGAGGATTTCCGTGTCGCTCGTGCGATAAAAAGCTCTTTTTTCCTTTTTTTTTCCTTTTTTTTTTTTTTGTCTATCGGAAAAGCATACGTGATACGCATAGAGTAAAGTTATCAGGCGTGAATTTCCGCGGAATCAAGGGGAAAAAATGAAATGGAGCGAGTGAAAACCGTAGGGATTTGTGGTGAAATGTTCGATTGAATGCTAATGGTTTATAGACTTTTGCATAGAAAATGCTTCCATAGACCACTGAAGTGAAAGCGATAGACGAATAAAGTACAAGCGTTGCGTTGGACTTATATAAATTTTCGGATTACCTTTTTATAATGTATGTACAGCGGGGAAAAATATGTAGTACCAGAGGAAAAATTCATTTTCTACGTATGTAGAAAAATCAGAGAAAATAATAGAAAAAAGTCTTTCACTATCGAATACCGATTAACCAATCGCATGACCTTTTCACAAAAATATCCTGGAAATTGAGGTCTTAAGCTTAATTAACCAGAAGACCTCATTCATTTCCATGCCATTCGCCACACAGGTAGTTATACGAATTGATGGAAAAAATCCACTAGTCGTTATTACTTTCTCTCAGAAAGAAATCATTTTAAATTGATACAAATAATCACCAAATCAGATAAACTAAATTCAAAAGAAAGAAAATAATTTTTGCCTCTATTTTCAATTTTTAAAAGTAAAGAAAAATATCCAAGCAAAAAAAAAAATGAAATAAATAGCGACTAGTTGTGTGAGAGAAACTGAGACTGAAATATTTATATAAAGAAGAAACAATTTTCCTTTTATATAAACAAAAACAATTTCCTGTTTTTTGAAGCAACAAAGAAGATATTTTATAAATAAGAGAAAAAAGGAAATAAAAGTAAAATAAAACTACTTCGCAAAAGAAATATTCTCTACTCTAAGGGGGTTTCAAGTATATATGTACATTTAAAAATTTACATGTTACATTCTTTAGATTCACACATACGTATAAAGTCGAAATAAACCACGCTTCAAATTGAAACTGAAAATTTTCACTGACCACGTTCTCTATTTCCTGTTGCATTTCCATTCTTTTGTTTCGTTTATTGCAAGTGTCGAAAATGTTTTGTGCGGTTTAGAAAATAACTCTTTGTTTTATAGTGAATACTTATTGAGACTGAAAAAATTACAATTTTTAATGAAATAAACAAATTTTTTTTCTTCATATTTTAAATAGTGTGAAAAAAACTTACGTTCTGTAAATTTTTTTGATTTTGGTTTAAGAATGGAAATTTTGTACTTTTTAAAAAATATTTATACACCTCAATAGGCAGACAATTGCAGATATAATTGCAAATTTACCTTCAATTCGAAATTTATATTGATAATTTAAAAAAATCTATTTTAATAATCGCTATGTATTTCGGATGTTTGTTCGCAATATAAAAATAGTTTTTTTTTCTTCTCTGCTTCAAATTTTATGATAATTCATATTAAATGTTTCGAATTTTAAATTTTATGAAATTCTAATTCAATGTTTGAAGGATTAAATAATAAAAATAACTAATTATAAACAAAACTGTTATGAATTTAAAATCATAATTGAATTTGTAAATGAACTTTAATCACTTTACATAATTTTGGGTTAATAAGTTAATTTTTTTAATTTCAAAGAAAGACATTTTGTTAAAAAATGTAATAATTCTTGTAACTTTTATAATTTTGAATCTGAATGAAAATTGAATTCTTGAATAGAATTTTATTTAATTTTCGAAAAATAATTAAATTGTTTCAAAGATTTTTATTAAAATTTCTGAAAATAATTAAATTTCTTAGTAGAATTTTGTTATGTATTTATGAATTGAAACTATATAATATTGAAATCCTATAAAAAATTTTATAATTTATGTAAATAATTAAATTCTTGCCTAGAAATTTATTAAAAATTTTGAAAATGTTTCAAAGAATTTTTATAAAATTTATAAAAATATGTACATATAAATTCTTTAAAGGAAATTAATTAAAAATTCATTGAAATTATCTGAAATCATTCAAAAAACTTGATTAAAATAATTAAATTATTTCAAAAAATTTTATTAAAACTGTATTGAAAATAATTCAAGTCTTTCGAAAAGTTTTTGAAAATTAATTGAATCCTATCCAGAAATTTTATTAAAATAGTATTGAAAATAATAGAATCTTCAAGGAATTTATTTTAAAATATATAGGGGAGACTGGGGCGAAAAGTTAAACTGCCAAAACCGTTAAAATTCATTATCTTTCGAACGAAAATAGTTAGAGCATTGCAATTTTAATTATAGAAGGGTGTTATCACCCTAAATAAATGTCCGGAGTTGTGTGCAATTCTGTTCATTTTTGTGGTGTCTATATTAAAAGTTTTTTTTTAACTTACTTAATTGAAAATTTTTTCGAAAAAGAAAATATCAACTTTTAAGTATATTTTTTGAATTTATTCTCATTGCGATTTTTTTAGATCCTTATTTGGGTCCCCTGAAGAGATACCTGAAGGTATTTGCTAAATAACTTTAGTCAGATTTTTTATATTTGTTGTTAAAGCCGAAAACGCACCCTGGGGCGAAAAGTTAAATGTATTTTTACATGTTGTTAAAAATTTTTTTTTTATTTTTCGTTTTTTTGAGTTTATTTGTTTAAAAATTATTTACTTGACATTGGGCAAGTACTTTGTCAAAAAACAAAACCGTTCACGTGAAATAAACCAAAAAAAATTTTTTTTTTTGAAATTTCAATTTTTTAACTTTACAACTATTCTAAAGCTTTTGTTAAATAAACAAAGATCTTTTATTTACTAAATTACTTGTTTACGTATACTTTAACTTATCTACTACTTATCACCTGTCAGAAAATAGTTTTAGTAGGCTAAAAATAGAATTTAACTTTTCGCCCCAGCATGGGGCGAAAAGTTAAAAAAAAACAAAATTTTCAAAAAAGGTCAAAACATGTATTTTATGCGAAAATATCAAAAACTTTTTTATTGAAAGTTGTAGAGGACAAGTTGCCCTACAATATTGATTTACAAATATTTGCATCTAAGCGGATTATATTGACAAAAAAAATCATTTATGCAAAATTTAACTTTTCGCCCCAGTCTCCCCTAGGTATTGAAATAATATCATTTAAAGAATTTTATTAAATTTTTTATAAAAATAATTGAATCTTTCGAAAAAAATTATTAAAATTCTATTGAAAGTAATTAAATTGCTGTGAGAAATTTTATTATTTATAAAATAATTGAATTATTCTGAAGAATTTTATTAATATTTTTGTAAATAATTGTCTTTGTTTAAAGAATTTTTGTAAAATTTATAAAAATAATTGGATTCTTCTATAGAAAGTTTATTAAAATTGTATTGAAATAAATAAACGAATACTCAAAAGTTTATAACTATTTTTCAAAATAATTGAATTATTTTGAAAAATTTTATTAAAACTGCATTGAGAATAATTGAAGCCTTTCCAAAAGTTTTTGAAAAATAATTGAATCCTTTCGAGAAATTTTATTAAAATAGCATATTGAAAGTAATTGA